TCCTTTTTTCTTTCTTTTTCTTTCCCTAAGATTTGTTCATTTATTTGAAAGGCACAGTTATGGAGTTAGGGGAGAGAGAAGTCCTCCATCTGCTGGTTCGCTCCCCAGGTGGATACAAGGGGTGGAATTAGGTGTTGTGCCGCAAGGCTGGATCCTCCCTCGTTTTTCTTCCCACTAACTCCCCCTGCTTCTCAGAGGCAGGTGCTATTTATTGTTTCCTGTGACTCCTCCAGGCCACGTTGTCAGATGTACACCCCACGTGAAGGTCTAGCGAGAATACACGTGTTGTTTATTTCTAATTTTAGGTGGAAAATTGGTAGTCCTTCAGCTTGTTTTCTTCACTTGTATGTTTCTCGAGTTCCAGTCTTCTGTGTCAGCAGATCTTTTATTGCATTATTAAGCTTGGAATCCAAGTTCTTGTTTGTGTTGCTGGGCCGCTCACAGATTTTAACTTGCCAGCCTTCTGAATCATTCCTTTTCAGAGACATACCATACCATCCACACATCTTCTGATATTTGTGTTTCTTTCTTTCTTTCTTTCTTTTCTGAAAAAAGATTTACTTATTTTTATTGGAAAGTCAGATATACAGAGAAGAGAAACAGAAAGACTTCTAGCTGCTAACCAGATTTACAGAGAGAAGGAAAGACAGAGAGAATGATGTTCTATATTGGTTCACTCCCCAAGTGGCTGCAGTGGCTGGAGCTGAGCCAATCTGAAGCCAGGAGCCAGGAGCTTCTTCCAGGCCTCTCATATGGGTGCAGGGTCCCAAAGTCTTGTGCTGTGTTTCACTGCTTTCCCTGGCCACAAGCAGGGAGCTAAAAGGGAAGTGGAGCTGCCGGGACATGAATCTGTGCCCATGTGGGATCTTGGTGCATGTAAGGTGATGACTTTAGCCGCTAGGCTACCAGGCTAGACCCTGTTATGCTTTTTAAAAAAATATGTATTTTTATGTATTTGAAAAGTTGTTAGAGTTTGAGAGATTTGATCTGGGAACTCACTCCCCAAATAGCCTTGTCAGCTGGGGCTGTGCTGGGCCAGATCCAGGAGCCAGGAGCTTCCTGCAGGTGTTACCACGTGCCGTTAGGGGCCCAAGTACTTGGCCCATCTTCTGCTCCTTTCTCAGGTGCATTAGCAGGAAGCTGGATCAGAAATGTAGCAGCCCGGTCTCCAGCTGGTGCCATGTGTAGTGTTAGTGCCACAGGCAGGCATTTAACCAGGAAGCCACACCACTGGCCCCCTGATATCCATGTTTCTGGCTGTTGTCGCCTTCTGGCTCAAAGCGACTGAAGTGGAAACAAGTTCAGTGTCATCTCCTTTAGGGACTTAATTCATCTCCCTGGGCTCTGGGATACTGAACAAGCATCCCTGGGCTGCGCAAACCCGGCAGATGTACCTTTCATCCTGGAATATTCGGTTTCCACCAGGAGATCCATTCTCCTGCATGAGCATGTGCATGGGAGGGGAGTAGCACAGAGCTCGTTTCTGGTCATGGAGCCCAGCGTCACCCCCAAGACGGTATCCTGTGCGTGACCCTCTGCAGCGCACATGACTGCCAGGGCCTGTCTAGTTCCCCACCACTGGCCAAGCCGGTGCCAAGAGGCTGAGTTCTGGGTTCTGTGGTGTGGCCCCTCTGCAGTGCTCCTTTTTGCTGTAACTGTGCACCCCCTTCAGGGTGATTGTCAGGTTTTTTGGGGAGGAGGGGAGAATCTCAACAGCCTGAGCGCTGATAATATTCTTCATTCTCACAGAAGGCGCGACAACCAGAGCGTGAAACCCATTGTTATTCATGCGTGATGTACATGCTGAATTCATTGATTGTGAATAAGCACAGAGTTCCTTCTATGAAAATACCACATTTTTAAAATCTGATCTTCTATTGGAAAGGCATTGTTGGTTTTCACTCTGTTATAACCAATGCTAGATTTGGAATAAGTGTTTTCAGGCAGAGGTCTCGTTTTGGACAGATACTGAAGTCTATTTAATAGGTGCATATTTAATGAATGTATTTAATTGGATGTTATTATTTATCCACTGCTTATTTATTATCATCATCTGTTATTTAATAGATTTATTTAATTGGCTATTTAATAATATCCAATGCCTGGAAAAGTGATCAGATAGTTAGTGGATGGATAAATGAATCGGGCCAAAAGAAAGCCCATTAACTGTGCAAGAAGCACACCCTAACCTGTTTGTGAGACCTCATTCAAGGTGCTTTTCCATGATGGATTCTGATCGTTTTTCTGGTTTTTCTAAGTTGAACTGAAGGTGTGACCAACTATTTGATGTTACTCTTGCTCATTGCATGCTGTCCCTTTCATGTGGACACCTGAAAGACCAGCCAACTAGAGCTCCAGTAGGATTTTCTGATCTTGTTCATGTTGCTTTGTTGTTTGATTATCAGGGAGAAAATTGCCAAGTCAGTAGCTGCTTAAAAACATTTAAGACCCAAGAGGATAAAATGCATGAAAGAAATTGAGAGCATTACTCTGGAAGATTACTCTGTGGGCATGTCTAGAGGCAAGGGCCCACTTGTGCAGATTTAACCAGCCGAAAAGATCCAGTGGGTTAGAATCCAAGTCAGGTCTTGCTTTTTCCTGTCTGGTCTGTATTGCTCTTCTAGATAACGAAGAATTGGGCTTCAGTTTCCCCCAAGTTATTTACATGGCTGCAACATGCTATTCTAGTAATAATGCGTACTCCTCCTTGTTAAGCCAGCGCATGTGCAGCGTTAGGCTGTGTGATGGTCTCATGCGACTCTGGCTGGTGAGTTGGCCGACTCTTGCTGTGCCAGTGCAGACCTGCCGTGGCTCAGGTCTTGTCCACTGAGGTGTAGCTGCAGTCCTTGATTTGAGGCTTTCGGTGAGCTAAGTCCCCAGCATTGCTTTCTCCTGGAAGCAGATTGTAGAAGGTTCTTAGACCTGGTGGAAGCGTGTCTTGCTCCACTGCTAGTGCCTACACTACTGATCCGTGTCAGGATGATTCAGGGCAAGGTAATAAGGATGACACCTTTCTCTTTCTGACATACAGTCTGGGCGTCTGTAAGCCTCCGTGCATGGAGGTCTCTGTGTGGTGGTAGGCGTCCCGCCAAGGAAATGAGAAAATGAAAGTACTTAGAACAGTGCACCATATCTACTAAGCACTCAGTGAACAAAAGAAAACAAATGATTTGCTCAATTTCTGTGTGGTGTTGATTTAACTCAATTTTTTTTTCACAATTATGCTTGAATTACTCGTGAAAATTTCATGAGAGACCAGGTGAAGCATCGCCTTACATTGCTTCCTTGTTGAGACATTTTGTATCATAGAGATAACACGAGCTTACTTGAAATAATAAGCCCAGGCATAATGAAAGCTGTGTGTCTGCGTTGTGTGTCCTGTTGACAAATCTGAAGGCAGAGCCTTTGATGTTTTGCTAAGTTGACAGTGTTTCCCCACAAGAACTTGAAAAGGATTTAAGCCAGTACTAATTTTTTTTCCCTGAAATTCCTAGAAATTCTTAAATCATATAAGCACTAGTGTTTGCTTACATCTTTTGAACACATGCACGTGTGTATAAACATGCAGGCAGGCAGCAGGCAAGAACCTGCAGCTTCTTTCCAAGTTTAGCCACGTGTCAGGTACAAGCATAAACTGACTGGGTTGTGAAGGAAACAGAATCCAAGCAGAGCCTGTAGCAGGGAGAGCAAGCCAGCAGACCTGTTCAATTAGCCAGCACGTTCTCATTTGCATAGTCTTAAGGATTCTTAAGCAGTCTCTTTTTGTTTCTAGATGCTTCTGCGTCCAAATCACAGAATGCATCCTATCGTCTCTGAGGGGGTCAGGACCCCTTCTTTTCTGAGCCACTCCTGAAAACAGATAGGTAGCTATCTTTTTTTTTTTTGAAGATTTATTTATTTTACTAGAAATAGTTGCAGAGAAAGAGGGAGAGACAGAAACAGAGATCTTCTATCCTTTGGTTCACTCCCTCCATGGCCGCAGCAGCCAGAACTAGGACTGTCCAAAGTGAGGAGCCAGGGGCTTTTCCCAGGTCTGCCATGTAGGTGCAGGAGCCCAAGGACTTGTGTGTTGCTATCTCAGGCCATTAGTAGGGAGCTGGATTGCAAGCAGAGCAGCTGAGATTTGAACCAGCACCCATGTAAGATGTGCTGCTGCAGGCAGAGGATTAGCCTTCTGTGCCACCATGCTGGACCCCTGAGTACTGAGTAGCTGTCTTATGCAAGTTAGCTATTCTCCAAGTGGCCAGTGGCTCCAGATTATCTTTTGTAAAGTTCACTCATTTTTTTTTTTTTTTTGTCAAGGTGCAAGATGCTAGCCCAAAGTCAGTTCTGGATCAGGTAGAACCCCTCTGTGGTGTTAAGAAATATTTGAGAGGTAGAGAGATGGAGACATCTGGATTGATTTTCCTGTTCTTTAGCCTGACCTGGTCCACCCTGGGCATTGTGGGCACTTCAGGAGCAGCATATTTCTGCTGGTCCTGGCTCTGGGTTTGAGAACTGCTTTAGGTAAACATATTTCCTCTAGCACCTAAAAGGATTTGTACTACTTGAATCCTGCTCTTTTTTTTTTTTTTAAAGAAAATTAATTAATTTTACGATACAGTTCCAAAGGCTCTGGAACTTGCTCTCTTTTTTATTTATTTTTAAAATTTTAAAATCAGATTTATAAAGAAAAGTAAGATCTTCTGTCCACTGGTTCACTCCCCAAATAGCTGCAATGGCTGGAGTTGAACCGATCTGAAGCCGGGGGTCAGGAGCTTCGTCTGGGTCTGCCCCGCGGTCTGGGGTCCTAAGGCCTTGGGCTGTCCTCACAGGTGGGAAGCTGGATGGGAAGTGGAGCAGCCAGGATACAAACTGCACCCAAATCAGATCTCGGTGCATACAAGGCAAGGATTTTAGCCCCTAAGCTGCACCAGGCCTGGGACTTGCTTTTAACTGCTTATGATTGTTGTTATTTTTTTTGGAAACTTTTATTCACTATTTTTTTTTTTAAATTTCAGAGTTTTCTTTCTTTGATCCTAATGATGCGTCATGCCAGGAGATTCTCTTTGATCCCAAAACTTCAGTTTCCGAATTATTTGCCATTTTAAGACAGTGGGTTCCTCAGGTCCAGCAAAACATTGACATTATTGGAAACGAGGTAAGGAGTCCTGGTGGCTTAAGCTTTGCGTTGTCAGAACTGGTAGCGTGGGAAGATGGTGATGGGGGAGAACCCACCCCGCCAGCTTCTGCTGTGTGGCGTCTGGGTGTTGTGGCTGCTCACGGGGCTGCGTGCTCAGTCTGTGCATGCTCAGTCTGTGCGTGCTCACGGGGCTGCGTGCTCAGTCTGTATGTGCTCACGGGGCTGCGTGCTCAGTCTGTGCATGCTCACGGGGCTGCGTGCTCGGTCTGTGCGTGCTCACGGGGCTGCGTGCTCAGTCTGTGCGTGCTTCTGGCTGCGCCCTCTCGTTCCATGCTTTCTCCTAGATCCTTGGTAGGAGCAAGGGGAGACAGGAATTCTTTTGTGTGTGCTATAATGACGAATAAGAATGCCCCCATCTTATCGTCTGCCTAGGCACCAAGAGCCTCACACCCCCGCCTGGGCCAGGGGCAGTTTGCATATTTGCTTCTTTGTACAAATGAGTTTGGCAAACTTGATTGCCATCATGGTCTGTCCACACTTGAGGATGGTTTCCTAAAGATCTCAACTTACATATAGTTTTTAGAAAAATATTTGATTTCTTGCAAGAGAAGGTTCCTTGTTGAGCAAGCTGTCATTCTGTGCGAAGAGAGCACTTAGCCTTTATTCCTTAATATCGTGATACCCACTGGAAAGAAAATTGCGCTCGTTCTGAGAGGAGCGTGCGTCTTGGAGTGCTAGATTACCTCGCAGGGATCTTTCAGAACTCTCTGCCATCTCGTGACAGGTTCAATTTTCATTACTGTTGCTGAGTGCAGACTTAAGATTTTGTATAGACAGAAGTCAGTGTCTGTATAGATCACAGGAAAGTGAAGTAATTGAGATAAGTAGAGTGACTTGGTTCTCATCGCTGATGTGAAAGTAATTGATCCTTGAGTTGTCACGTCCTAAATCTGTTTTCCTCGGCTCCCGCAGATTCTTAAGAGAGGTTGCAATGTGAACGATAGAGATGGCTTGACGGATATGACTCTTTTGCATTATACCTGCAAATCTGGAGCTCACGGCATTGGTAAGTGTGTGGCGGGTCTGCTCATTGCTGGATCGTCTGCGTTTGTGCTTGTATAATCTCAGTGTGTGCCAGTCAGCATTCCTGGTGATGGAGACAGTACCCAAGTAGGTGAGGCTTCGGAGCCTCCTGGCTGGCTTTCTCAGGTGTTTGCTCATGCCCGCCTGGCTCCTGGCCTCTCTCCTGGGACAGTCCCCCTGCCTGATAGCTGACTAGATGAGAGTGATTGACTGCACCCTAGAGACTTCCTGCCAACCCAGGCTCAGTTTTCCAGGCATGCCAGTCCCAGTGGCCACCAGGCCTGCTGTGCGCATGTTTTACCTGTAGGCTTAGACTGACTGGTCCTACATCTCCCAAAATTGGCTTTCTCCTGTGCTTTACCATTTGATAAACCCTCCTCTCATCCTGTACTATGTCAGCATTTTTTTCTTCCCGTTTGCATTGTTCAGGAGAGAGTTTTAGGCCCTGCGCAGTGGCCTAGTGGCTAAAGTCCTCGCCTTGCACACACTGGGATCCCTTATATGGGTGCCAGTTCATGTCCTGGCTGCTCCACTTCCCTTCCAGCTCCCTGCTTGTGACCTGGGAAAGCAGTCGAGGATGACCCAAAGCCTTGGGACGCTGCACCTGCATGGGAGATCTGGAAGAAGCTCCTAGCTCCTGGCTTTGGATTGACTCAGCTCTGGCCATTGTGGCTACGTGGGGAGTGAAGCAGAGAACAGAAAGTCTTCTCTGTGTCTCCTTCTCTCTGTAAATCTGGCTTAGAAAAAGAAAAGAAAAATTAAAAAATATATATAGAGAGAACTTCTTAAACCATGGATGGAGAAGGATTTGTTTTCTTTTTTCTTCTATTGATGTTTATTTACTTATATTTTTCTATTGATATTTCTATTTATTGATTTCTATTAATTTCCATTGATGTTTATTTACATATTTATGTTTCTGTGATATTTATTTCTTCTATTGGTGATTACTGGGCTAGTAGTTTTTTTTTTTTTTTAAAGATTTATTTTTTATTATTTTTTCATTGGAAAGGCGGATATACAGAGAGAGGAGAGACAGAGAGGAAGATCTTCCGTCCGATGATTCACTCCCCAAGTGAGCGCAACGGGCCGATACTATGCCGATCCGAAGCCAGGAGCCTCTTCCGGGTCTCCCACGCGGGTGCAGGTTCCCAAAGCTTTGGGCTGTCCTCGACTGCTTTCCCGGGCCACAGGCAGGGAGCTGGAAGGGAAGCGGGGCTGCCGGGATTAGAACCGGCGCCCATATGGGATCCCGGGCGTGCAAGGCGAGGACCTTTAACCACTTGCGCCACCGCGCCGGGCCCATGGTCTAGTAGTTTTATAAAATAAATTGTAAAAAATGAAATAAAGACATGAATAAAGGCCCTACGTGGGCCTACATGTTTTATTATTTTTTTTAATTTGAAAGGCAAATGCACAGAGAGAAAGAGAGAAATATCATCCATCCACTGGTTAACTCCCCAAATGGCTGCAGCGGCTGGAACTCAGCAGATCTGAAGGCAGGAGCAAGTAGTTTCTTCTCTGTCTCCCACATGGGTGCAGGGTCCCAAGGCTTTGGGTTATCCAGGCCATAAATAGGAAGCTAGACGGGAAGTGGAACAGCTGGAATGTGAGCTGGCACCTGTATGGGATCCTGGCACTTGAGAGGGGAGGATTAGCTAATTGAGCCATTGTGCAAGACGCTCCCCCCTCCCCCCCCCCAATTTTTTAAGGCTTAAAATAACCTTGAAAGTAATAGAACAAGAAGGAACATAAAGAGAGGGACAAGAAAACACAGATGACAGCTGGGCTGGCAGTAGGTGCAGGCCGCACTTGCAGCAGCCCTGGCGTCATTGGTGGTGGCTCCTGGTGGTCCATCGAGAGGACATCCAATGTGTCTGTCCCACGTGCTGCTAACCAATGTGCTGAACTCTGCTCATAACAAACAGCGGGGAATGAACATCTGTCTAGCCTCGTGTCTACATCCCTGAGAATCAGTTCCTCCACGTGGAGTTTTGGGGTGTAAGTGCACACTCAGGGTGCTTTTTGCTTGGGTTTTTAACGATGAGGTAGTAGAAAGCCGACATTTGCACCCAAGAAGACTGATTTAGGAAATCCTCTTCAGGTGACGTTGAGACAGCCATCAAGTTTGCGACCCGGCTCCTGGACCTGGGGGCTGATGTCAGCTTGCGCAGTCGCTGGACCGACATGAACGCCTTGCACTATGCTGCCTACTTTGACGTCCCTGAGCTGATTGGCGTAGTACTGAAGATGTCAAGGCCAAGAGGTAAGTGTCCCCATGCGGCCGTGAGACACCGAGGGGTCAGACCCTCCGGCCGGGACGTGAGCATCCTGGTTCGAGGAGCCTTTGCCTGTTTTGTGTGTCTTCCTGCCCCCCATTTTATTTCTGAGATAGTTTAAACTTTTCCTTGTTGAAGGACTCTTCTTTCACAAGAGGATTAGTGCAAAAAGCTAACAAAAGTGAGAAAGGATTTTCTCATATCACTGGACTCTCCAGCATTCACATGGAGCTTTGTATGTAATTGATTCCGTGGACCTCACAGTGGTTGGTCTTGTGTGGGTGCCCAGGAGTTGGGCGAGGAAGCTGGGAGCGAAGTGGTGGAGGGTGTTTGGTTTTGATGGCATTCAGCTCTGAAATTCTGCGATCCTGCGTAAAGATAGGGCTTCACTCGGTGGTGGCCACTGTCTCTGTCTTGATGGTGACGTCCTGCATTGGAAGATCAAAATGTTGAAACATCAGCCTGGTATTTTGCCTTTCTGTCTGGTTCTGTTCTTGAGGGCCAGTTTTCTTTTGATTAAAAGAGGAAGGCATTGCTTTCGGTTAACCATGGTGCTGTATTTCCTTTACTAAGGAAGACACATAGTAGAGACCTCATAGGTGGTTTTGCAGAACATTCGTTCAAAAGCTCTGATTTCCTTATTTGTCCATTTCTTCTTTTAAATCCCATCTTTTCTGAGTAATGTTGGAAAGAAAGTTCCTGTTTATGGTTCCAAGTCCAGTTTGCCCTGAGTGTGTCTGGGTTGTTTACAGTTCTAGATAGGGTGTGTGTGTGTGTGTGTGTGTGTGTGTGTGTGTGTGTGTGTGTGTGTGGGCAGGTGCTGTCCAATAGGTTAGAGTAGTATTTGTGAAATCAGAGGAATAGTAATCTCTTGTAATAGAAAACATTCAAAATAGGATTCCCAGATCAGGGAGATATTCTGAGTTTAAGTGTGAGGTGATAATGACCTTTTTTTTTTTTTAAAGATTTATTTTTATTATTTTTATTTTTTGTTGGAAAGGCGGATATACAGAGAGGAGAGACAGAGAGGAAGATCTTTCGTCCAATGATTCACTCCCTAAGTGAGCGCAACGGCTGATGCTATGCCGGTCCGAAGCCAGGAGCCTCTTCTGGGTCTCCCACGAGGGTGCAGGGTCCCAAAGCCTTGGGCTGTCCTCGACTGAGCTGGAAGGGAAGCGGGGCTGCGAGGATTAGAACCGGCACCCATATGGGATCCCAGGCGTGCAAGGCGAGGACCTTAACCACTTGCGCCACCGCGCCGGGCCCGATAATGACCTTTTGAAAGTTCCAAATATACTTAGAATTGCAAGATTCCTTTTCTTATTGTACAGCCCAAAGTAATTCATTGAGTATTATCCACCTATCTAACTATCTATGTAAACATTTGCATGTTTAATCTACAGCTGATCTGGATATTTTGATTTACTAATCAGAGATTGGCAGTCTTTCTCTGGATAGGGCTAGATAGTAAATATTTCAGAGGTTTTTGGACTATGTGGTCAATTTTACAACTACTCAGTTCCATAATTGTGATGTGAAAAACCTGGAGAGTGTATGCCAATGAGTGAATGTGCTTATGTCCTGGTAACAACTTCTGACAGCCAATTGTGAGTGATGGTAAGCTGCTGGGTCATAGAGTGCTGATTTTGGACCTAAATTAAACTACTTCACTTTAGTTGTCATGGCAAATATGCATGAGATGTAATGAGATTATAGTACACAAGCTTTGTAAATATGAATTATTACCATTATTTGCTTTAGAATGGTTTAGTTTGTGGTAGTGGAAAACCCACGATATCACTCCATCTTGTAAAGAATTTTATTGCACAAAGAATATAAACGGATTCTTCTAACTGGGTTATAATACAAGGATTTTGTCCTATTGTGAAGTGGTGCTACTAGTGGGTTCATTTATGTGATACCAGCAGCTAAAAATAAGACGCTTTTCTCCCCTCCCCCAAGATCCCCTGTCTCCTTTTAAATTACAAGGGTTAAATTTAAGATTTTAGTTGACATACTTGTGCTATTTAATTGCAGATGTGGATGCCACTTGCAGCGACTTTAATTTTGGAACGGCTCTGCATATTGCTGCATATAATTTGTGTGCAGGTGCTGTAAAATGCTTATTGGAGCACGGAGCAAATCCTGCATTTAGGGTAAGAGGTTTCATTAAGACTGCACAGCACTGAGAAGTCTTGTTCCCAGTAGAGAGTCGGGTGCGGTGTTACAGCTATGTGGGCCAGCAGTTGTCACTGGACTCTGCTTTGATAGCCACAACTTTTAAAGAGGACCTGATGCCATAACTGACCACAGAAAGCCTTCTTAACGTTATTGTCACTGTCATCGTTGGATGGTCATTACCCCTGTTTCCTCTCCTTACTAGAAGTTCTCACTTCCCAATGTTAGGATGATAACAGAAGCTGGCTCTGAGAAACCAGGGCAGAGCACACGTCTACAGTTAGATATTCCGGTATTATATGTTATTGGTGCAGGTTTAAAAGATTTTTGTTTTTTAGAGATAATTTCCCCCCCCCCCCATCTCTTGCTCTCCATTCTTTGAAGAGTTAGAGTTACTGCTCTACATTTTTTTTTTTTTAAATATAGTTTGTAGTTTTTGTTTGAAATCTGGGGTAAAAATCATCCACCACCATCCCAGCAATCTGATGACAGGTCTTCCTACTGTGTTTTTACTTGGAGCATCCTGACTTGAATTTTAAAACCAAAAATGTGAACCAATGGCAAGCTATGAGTCGAGTCCCCGGTCATCCACATGGAGGCATTTGAAGATGAATCAATTATGGAGAAGGAAGAAGAAAAGTCTGTTGGGTAGCAAAGGGATCTTAGTTTCTCATATTGAAAGAAGATGTGATATCTAGACTCTCATGAAGGTCTGAGTCTTTGGCCACGAGAGTAAGAAGGAAGGTGACGGGACACGAGCAGGGCAAGTCCAGTGGGTTTGGTTGGCGTGCAGATGGCGTGGGCTGCCCTGTTATTTCCACCAGCAACCCTGGAAGTGGCTCTGTATTACGTCACTGGCATCTCCTCACCTGATGTTCCCAACTGGCTTTTTGGAGAGAAAGTTAATATTATCTCGCTTTCTGCAATGTTAACTCTGAAAGGGAAAGGGCTTTCTCATCTGTTTTTCTCTTGTTGGGAGAACCACATGGGATAATCTCAGTGGCAGGTTTCTGATTCCTTAAACACCCCGGGGGTGACATGGGCTTGGATCCAGCCCTTTGTCCCTCTCACAGGCTGAAGGCCTTTAGAGTGAGCACAGGACTGTCTTCATTAAAGCCACGGTTTTAGGAGGACCTTGGTGCTCTGCAGAAGCGTGTGTTGCCATTGAGCCTTCCCTATGCCCATGTCTCCATTCCCTTCTCTGATTAGTTCCTGTGTTGTCTGTAGTCCGTCTCCCACCAGAATGCGTGCTGTCCATGGCCTGGCCCTCTTCCTGTGAAGCCTTCAGAACCTAGCCTGGTGTCTGGCGGAGAGAGACTTTAAAAGTGACTAGATGATGGCTTCCACTTATAGGCTCTTCCCAGAAAGATTTTGTGTCACTGCGCTGGAAGACAGCATGAGTTGAACATTGCCTTTTCGTCCGCAGAACGACAAAGGACAAATCCCCGCCGACGTCGTCCCAGACCCCGTGGACATGCCCCTGGAGATGGCCGATGCCGCGGCCACTGCTAAAGAAATCAGGCAGATGCTCCTGGCTGCAGTGCCCCTGTCGTGTAACATCCCCAAGGGCCTCCTGCCCAACTACGATCCCGTCCCCGGCAGGACGATGCTTGCATCACTCGGCCTAAAGTTGGGGGACCGTGTTGTCATCGCAGGACAGAAGGTACTGTAAGTAGCTGCTGTCTCACAGCCAAATCCAAGGCTATCATTCCATGGCCTGCCTTTTCAAAAGCATGCAGGATTAGTATTCAGCTTCTGCAGTTTTCCTGTACTATGTCTGAGAATGGATTTCGATCAGAGTTATTTTTGTTTGTATTTTGAGTAATTAGAATAGAGGCATATATACTGATTATGTATAAACCAGTCATCCAGGTTTAACTTTATTGATCTTGTTTCATTTTTACTTCCTCTCACTCTATTGCTTGTCTTTTTAAATTTCATAAGTATTTTTTTTAAAGTGTCAGTTTTGATTTTTGTTGGCATCTGATTTATCAACATTTTTCTTCTGTGGATTATGTGTTTAGTCAGTGTCTAAGAAATATGCTGCATTCGGGCCCGGCGCGGTGGCACAAGTGGTTAAAGTCCTCGCCTTGCATGCCCGGGATCCCATATGGGCGCCGGTTCTATCCCGGCAGCCCTGCTTCCCTTCCAGCTCCCTGCCTGTGGCCCGGGAAAACAGTCGAGGACGGCCCAGGGCTTTGCGACCCTGCGCCCGCGTGGGAGACCTGGAAGAGGCTCCTGGCTTCGGACCGGCACAGCATCGGCCGTTGCGTTCACTTGGGGAGTGAATCATCGGATGGAAGATCTTCCTCTCTGTCTCTCCTCTCTGTATATCTGCCTTTCCAATAAAAAAAAAATAATAAAAATAAATCTTTAAAAAAAAAAAGAAATATGCTGCATTTAAAGTTTGTATTGACCTTTGATTTCTGTTTGCTTTGGAGTGGTTTTTTTGTATAGAGAATTAAGTGCAGACTGAAGTTTGCTTTTCCAGATGTGGTTATCTATTTTTCAACAATTCATGGAAGAGACTATTTGTTCTCTACTCAATGACTGTTGTACCTTTTCCAAAATTCAGTAAACCAAGTATGGCGTGTGTCTTACTCTAGCGATTTTGTGATTATCATTCCTTCAGTTGCTGCTGACCATTGCTGATAACCAATGGCTATGTACTTAAGTCTTTAAAGTCAAATAGCGTTCATGGTTTTCTTTTTCCAAAATCATTTTACTTTTCCTTGTGTGTTTCAAAATCAGTCTGTACATGTTTATTTAAAAGAAAATCCTGCTTGGATTTTAACTTGTGTTGAATCCATAGATCAGATTGGGGAAAATTGTTGTCTTAAAAATACCAGGTTTTTTTTTTTTTTGATTCACAAACGTAATATGCCTTTAATAGTTCTTTGGTTCATTTCATTAAGATTTTATGGTTTTAAACAAATAGCTGTTGGGCATGCTTTATTGGATGTTTACCTACATTTTTCATGATTTTGGTGTTATAAGTACATTGTGTTAAAATTTAAATTTCCAGTTATTCATCACTAGTGGTTGATTTTGATGCATTGAATGTATGTCCTGCAGTCTTAATAGCATGTATTCATTCTCTTGGCTTTTTTTTTTCCAGTTTGTGCCCTGACTGGGCTAGCCCATGTAAACAATCATGCTGTCTTTGTAAAAAGGCAGTTTTGCATCTTTCTTTTTAGTCTTGGTGTACTTTATGTGTTTTTCTTGACTTATTTCCTTGTCTAGGTCCTCTAGCACAATAAGGAATAGGAATGACAAGAGCCAACTCATTGGCCTTCTTCCAAGTCTTAGGAGATGAACATGCAAGTCTTTATAAAGTGTGATATTTGTTAGTTGTAAACTGTATAGATGATCAGATTGAGAAAGTTCCCATATATTTTTAGTTTGCTGAGAGTAATTTAAAAAATTATTATCATGAAAGAATGTTGAAATTTGCTATTTTTTTTTGCATTGACGAAGATAATACGTCTCCTCCCCATTCAGTCTGTTGATATAACAGAATACATCTAGCCTAGCTCTGAGTTCCCATTTTCAACCTCACTTAGTCATGTCTTAGTGTGTTGCTTGATTTGACTTTGTTATTTTATGAAGACTTGCTTTCTGTATTCATGGGTAACTATTTGGCCTTTAGTTTTCTTTTTTAGTTATGCCTTTCTCTGTGATGTTAAGGTAATTCTGACTTCATAAAATGAGTTGGGAATTGATCTTGCCATTTTTATCTTCTAGAAAAGCTTGCATAAATTTGAAACTTTTTTTTTTAATTGTTTAGTTCAATTCACTGGTGAAGCCATCTGAGCCTGGAGTTTTAGTTTGTTTTATTTTTTAATTTTTAAAAGACTCATTTATTTTTATTTGAAAGGCAGATTTACAGAGAAAAGAAACAGGAATATCTTCATCCACTGGTTCACTTCCCAAATGGCTGCATTGGCCAGAGCTGAGACAATCCCCAGCCAAGAGCCAGCAGCTTCTTCTGGATCTCCCACATGGGTGCGGGGGGCCAAGGTTTTAGGTTATCCTCTGCTGCTTTCCAGGCTCCAAGTAGGGAGCTGGAAGGAAAGTGGAGCAGCCTTGACTTGAATGCTGGTGCTTATAGGTGCAGGGTTAGCCTGTTGAGTAGCTACGCTAGCCCCTGGAGTTTTAGTTTTTAAGAACTTTAAATATTCATTTCAGATGTGAACTTTATAAGTTGTGTCTTTCAAGGAATTTGAACAGAGAATTGTTCATAGTATTTTCTTTTAAAAATAGTTATTCAACTGAGAGATGGGCTGGTAGGAGTGGGGAGGAGGAGAAAGGGAGAGACAGAGAACGCGGTGGTCCTACCTACTGGATCACTTTCTAAATACTGACCACAGTTGGGGCTGCGCTGGCACGGAAGCTGGAGCTGGGAACACAGCCCAGGTCTCCTAGGTGGGGCACAAGAACCTAGCTGTTTGAGCCATCCTTGCTACCTCTCTGATTCTGTGTTGGCAAGGAGCTGGAGTGAGGAGGCAGGGCTGGGAGCTGGACCTAGGCATTTTGCTGCTGGATACAGATGTTTTAACCACTTCACTAAATGCCTGCTCCTGTTCATGTCTTTTCTTATGTCTTTGTAAATGACTGAAAGTCTGCAGCAACGTTCCACTTGTATTTGTGATATTTGTTTTGTTTTTTTGTTTGTGAGTTTTTAATTTGTATCCTTGATCCTTTCCCAACCCCTTTGTCTCCACTAGAAGTATGTTAATACTTTCCTTGTAAAAGAATCTGCTTTGGGATTGTCTTTTTTTTTTTTCTCCATTCTCAGCTGGTTTTTTAATCTATTATTCCCTCCTTTTGCTTGCTGCTTTGCCTCCCTGCTTTCCCTTTGCTTGTCTTGAGGTGGACATTTAGATCATTGATTTGTGATCTTTTCTAACTACAGACATTCAATGCTATATGCAAGTTTGTCTCTAAATCCTTCATTTGTTGCATCCCACCCATTTTGATACATTATCATTCTTACTTAATTCAAAATATTTTTTAATTCCCCCTGTGATTTTCTTTTTTGCTCTTTTACCTATGGGTTATTTAGGATTATATGATTTAATTTACTGATATTTGTGAGATTTCCATGTATTTGGGGCACTAGTCTCTGGTTTAATTTTTTTAAGAGTTATTTATTTATTGGAAAGTCAGATATTCAGAGAGGAGGAGAGACAGAGAGGAAGATCTTCCGTCCGATGAGTCATTCCCCATGTGAGCGCAACAGCCGATGCTATGCCGGTCTGAAGCCAGGATCCAGGAACTTCTTCCAAGTCTCCCATGCGGGTGCAGGGTCCCAAAGCTTTGGGCCATCCTTGACTGCTTTCCCAGGCCACAAGCAGGAAGCTGGTTTAATTTTAACATGGTTTGAGAATATGTTTAATGCTTTTTTTTCTTCTCCATTTTTATTGTTAGATGGAGTATCACCCATTTATAGGGGGGTAATAGTCTATAAATGTCAGTTGAGTCAAGTTGGTTAGCTGATGGTTTTCATTTTTCGTTGTCCTTGCTGATTTTCTGTCTCCTTGCTCTGCTGGTTACGGAGGGAGAGGTGCGATGAAGTCACCAACTGGAGTGTGGGTTTACGTATTTCTCCCTAGGTGTCTTGATTTTACTTTGTGTGGTGGCTCATTTGTTGGGCGCACACACACACACACACACACACACACACACACACACACACACACACAATTTGGGCTCCTTCTGTCTTCCTTATGGATTGATTCCATTGGCATTATTTGATGGCCTTTTTTATTATTGCTGATGCCCCTTGCTCTAATGTCTACTTTGAGAGAATAAGATTTATTTAACGTTCATGGTAAAGTTATAAGTAGGACCATTAGTTATTATTATTATTAATAATACTTAAAAACCATTCTTATATATATATATATATTTTTTCTTTTTAGGTTGGGACGTTAAGATTTTGTGGAAAAACTGAATTTGCTAGTGGACAGTGGGCAGGCATTGAATTGGATGAACCAGAAGGAAAGAACAATGGAAGTGTTGGGAAAATCCAGTACTTTAAATGTGCCCCCAAGTATGGTAAGGCTGGTACTTTTTGACGTAATAAGAATTAATTAAAGAGAAAAACCCACCAAATTATACTGTTTTTATAGTTCTTCAATAAAAGGTTTCTCTCGCTTGCTTATGTGATCAATGGGGGGATATGGATTTAGGGAGAACTTTTTCGAGACAGCAAATGTTTTGTCACATTTCTCCACATTGCTGAGAGCAGTAGGATACAGGATATAGGATACTGGAGAGAGAGAGAGAATGTGAGAATGTAGGAGAGTGTGGGATTCAGGGACCAGGCTAGACATGCGTTAGGGCAGGTTTGCCCCACCATAAGGAGGGATGTGCTGGGGATACGAGGTAATTTCTCTTTGATGGTTTCTATTTTCTCAGTAAATAGGAAGTGAGGTGAGGAGGTTGTTAGTTGACACTGGAGGCGGGAGGGGTGGATGGAGGTTTGAGGGGAGAGAAGGAGTACATGGCCCTGTGAGGCAGGGAGAAGGCGCGCAGTGCAGAAGGTGGTGAAAGACGAGCGCCCCGAGGCCCCATTGGGAGACTGCGGTCATAGGTGCAGGTGAGACTAGTGGATACGGTGAGAGCCTTCCTCAGCTTGGGTATAGATGCTGACAATGCGGAGAGGTCATTTTCACTCAGGAAAGTGGCAAAGGAGTTGAGGATGTCTGCCGGGAAGTCATTAGATGAATACGGAATGTAAGTGAGCTGGGCAGGCAGATGAGGGGCATGGTGAAGGGAACAATGGACCAGGAGGAAGTGATAGCGTCAGTGTTTCCTGACAGGGCTGAGAAGTCTAGGAAAGCATCACGGATGCAGGAGGAAGCTGGCCGCAGGGTCGGAAGCGGTAGATGCTTGTAGGGCCAGTGGTGATCAGGTCACAGTTATGATGAGATGGTTGTAGGGACACCTCCTTGGTGGAGACAGACCCAAGGAGCTGCCAGCCAGGGTGAGTGTTACAGGAGCACCATGTGCCAAGGCACGGGGAGTGCAGGAGAGAAAGGCAGGATGCCAGTCTTATACTGCAAGTTTCCTATGGACAAGGAGGTCTGACTTCCCCATTTGGCCGGTGCCCTGTGCCCCACACCAGACCCTCACCAGAGAAACCATCGCTGCTCTGCATTTGGCCAGGGCGGTGAAACAGATCAACAGGGAACCTGCTCTGTCTCTTCCAAGCCAGGATCAGCTGATGGTGTGGAACAACCTGCCATGACTGCCTGGGAATTTGGGAGAGCCGGAGTTCAGCTGCAGGAGGAGGGCAAGGAAAGCAGCTGTATGAGAGACCCTGCGTTTCCCAGGGAGTTTCAGGGTTGGGAGGGTTACGTCAGGGTGGTGGGTTTAGAGAAGCAGCTGATTAAAGTCTTGGGCATCTGGTAGGAAACAGGGCAGGTGTGGGAACTGGAACGATGGTCTTGCTGGTTTTATTGGGAACCATCCTCATGGTTGCTGTCTCGGGAGGTGATGAGGACAGTGGGGAGGGACCTTCCCATCCCTCGCTTGGAGAAGGCATCCATTCACTTCCCTTGAAAAGCTCCTCCCTCAGCCATGAGGATGCCACAGGCAGAGGCTTCACTCCCAGGGAACTGCAGAGCTCTGGACTCCACTTAGAACCCGGAAAATCAAAGCAGTGAGTGAGGCTGACCTCCTGCTGACTACTGTGCTGGCAAATGTCTTAATTAGTGAAACTTGTTCTCGCACACATGCTGGTGTCCACATGCACACATGTGTTTACATGTGTGTGTCTGCATACCCTGCCACATACATAGGTCTGGTTTTGTCCCTTACTCTGGGTAGATGGATAACACTGCCCTGGGTCACTGTCTTTCCTGGGTGCACAGTCTGTCCTCTCTCAGCTGTGAGAACAGCAGTGATGATAAGGGCACCAGTGTCACTCTGGCTGTACCTGCTACCTCCCTGCTGTGTGGCCTGCACCTATGACAGACTGGGAGCCAGGAACCCCATCGCAGGGACCCAACCACCCGAGCTGCTGCCTGCCAGGGTGCAGGCTGTAGAAGGAATCTGGCGTTGACAGTGGTGCTGGGACTCGAACCCAGGCACTCCTGTGTGGGATGCAGGTGCTCCACTCTGTTCCCTCGCCTCCCTTAGTGCTTGGGAGGTGAGAGGCTGTCAGTGAGACCTGGAGTGTGGCAAAGCTGAGCTGTACCAGGCCAGAGGGCAGGCTTACCTGGCCGGTGTTGGGCTTAGTGGGCTTGGCATCTCCGCAGTGTCCCCTCAGCCCTGTGTGGTGGTGACAGAGCCACAGGGAGTGGGTAAGTGCTCCAGGCTGTGTGCTGGTGCAGCTTTGCAGGGCCGGGGTGGGGAGAAGTGTCTGACCTTTATGATCGGTGTTGGAAAGTCTTGCCAGCTTCTGGTTTTGGCCTTTTTCTTCCTCAGAAGCTCGTACAATTTCTTTTCTTTTTTCCTTTACCATTTTTATTCTTTCTTTCAGTGATACTCTGGGAGGAGATGGAGTGAAGCACATATGTTCACATGGGCCCCGTTTGTCTGGAACGTTGTTGATCTCTTACAGCTGTCCTCCCTCGTGTGTTTAGTCGTTGATCTCATGTTTGGTTACAGTGACAGGTGTCTGGAGTCGGAGCTCAGCTGAGTCCCCCAGCAGCCCAGCGCCCTGTGTACCAGTTCTCCAGTCTTAAATGGTTACCCTGGATCACGGGGGCCTTTTCTGGAAAGGCTTTGAAATAAACACCCCCCCCCCCCGCTCCCAAGATTACAAAGAGAAGACATTATTTCTTTTCTGACTTTCAAAAATTGTTGTCTTCTATAACATTAAAAACATTATTTCTTAATGCTACAATTCAGATTTCAAAGATAAATTGCACTCTGATTAGTCTCAGAGGTATGTTCTAGTTTTCAGGTGTTTTTTTTGTATCTGTATATCTACACATACCATTTTTCACAAATGTAATAATGTTAAATATGTAGCTTAGAGCTTGCTTCCTGGATTTGTTTTCCATGTTTTTGTATGTTTCTAAAGACTCTTGTTTTACTCATGGTTGGTGGCACAGTAGTTCATAGATAGTGATAATTCATCTGTTTACAGTCAATCCATTATTTTTTCCCCATATTTGTGAGCAATTTTGCACTAGGAGCATATTAAGATGTGAGGTCTTTCCCTCCTATTGGGATTATTTTCTACTGATAAATTTCCAAAGGTGTGACTGTGGCATCGAAGTAGCAAAAAGATGAGGACGGTCTAGTAAATAAGAAACTGCCTTGGCTCTTGAAAACTTTCTTTCCTTTATAATCAAACAGAAACCTGTAATCTTTGTGTTTCTATAAATGCAGTGATATCCTTATAATTCATTAGAAGGGGATTGGGTCAGAAGTTTTGTGTTTCAGAAAGGCTATGCGCACTTCTGTTCACAGAATATAAAATAATCTCTTTCTTCAAACCCTGGGCAATGCCATACATCATGCAATTCCCATCCCCATCACCCTCCTCAAGCTGTGGAGTGTGTGTGTGTGTGTGTGTGAGGCCATGAAAAGAATTGAAGGAAAAAGAAAGTCAAGGAAAATCTCATTGGGAGGAGCCAGGAAAGAGAACATTGCAAGTAAGTGAAGCAGAAGAGATAGGGTGGCTGAGATGAAGCCACACTGAATCTAAGGGATGGGGCGTGGGAGGGATTGTTTTGAGATGAGCTATATCATGTTGGTATGTTCCAGCTGTAAGGAAGCACTCTGTTTTGTTGGAGTCTTCAGCGTTTCTGTCCCTTCGAAGCCAGTTGTTTTTGCTAGATGAGGTTTTAGTTGTCACGTGTACTTGCTCAGCATGGGAGCATAAGGGGGCACTTAAAAATATCCACGGAAAAATGGACTTAGGTGATAAGGCACGTTCTCCACGAAGACCCTGGTCTGCTTACCATGACTTCGGTGTCTATTTTCAGACGCCTTAGCCACACAGGCGCGGTGTTGGCAGCCTCCGATGTCTGCGTGCTCTAATTGACGCCGGATGTTTGGCCACCTGCACGAGCGCCTTCTTGGTAGAGCTGTGTCTTCCCCGCTGCTGTGGATGAGCCCTTTCCTGGGCCCCAGCCTCTCTTGAGTAGCACACACTGTGCGTTTCTGGTTGGGAGGAGGAATTGAAGGCCTCGCCTTTAGGAAGTCTTGTAGTTTGTCCTCAGCATAACTGAGTGCTTCCCTGCCGTGTGCAAGGCGCTGTCGCTAGGCAGGCTCGGGGAGTATGAGCAATGTGTTGTGTTTTGTTTTTAAAAGGCGTACAGTGTGGAAGAGAAAGGAGACATGGACATAAACAGCTGTAATGGGGGGGGGAGTGTAAGTCCTAAAGAAGTCATAAAGTGACACTAAAGAATAGCTTTAAAAAAACTATATATAGTTATCACTTACCTTTAGCTCAGAAGGAACAGAAACCCACAATCCTGTATCTTTGGTGTGCTTCTTAGACTATTGCATGTGATGTTCATCTTGATAACTGGATTGTCAGCTCTGCAAAGGGAAGCTCTGTGTCTTACTTGATTTTAGTTCTGTCTCTTCCTATGGTATGTGTAGTGGACACTGCAAGAACTTAAGAAGATTTATACGACTAGATAAATTGCACTTGCCCTTGTATTTGAAATGGCTTTCATTGCCTGACTCAAATTTTGCATTTCCCCATTAGGTATTTTTGCACCTCTTTCAAAGATCACCAAAGCAAAAGACAGAAGGAAGAATACCACTCATGCAGCTTCCACAAAAGCTGTCCCTCTCACCCGGTCCCAGAAGGTAGATGTCACTCACGTCACGTCGAGAGTGAACACTGGTAGGTGGAACCACAGAGCTCCCTGTCCTGTTTCCCTACTGGAATCCCTGGCACTTACACTGCCTCCCTCTTTCTTCTGGCCAGCCCAGTGCGAGAAAATGCTTGCATCTGCTGCTCTCATCCCTCCAGTAAGAATGAACAGTTCTATCACCCTGTAATCTTGTCTCAGAGCCAGATTTGATATCTCCAGTAAGTCTTCTGGAGTAAAGCCAGTTTTTGGCCCCTCCTGTTTAGTGGTTTTCATTTTGGAGTTCAGGGAAGTCCCAGACCTTGTCATATGTGGTCAGAGCCCTCTGGTGTGGTCGTTTCCTGCCTCCATCTTTGAATTCTGGGTTTGGGGATCGCTCCCTGGTATTTTGCCTCTGTTGTTCTCACCCCTTGCCCAACCCTGTGTCTCACAGTCCATCTCTGGGTGCAGAATTTGACTCTTACCTTTTGATGTGCTTGCCATTCCATACGGGAATCCTGTCCCTCCATGCAAACATGCCCCGTCACGCAGGTTCATTTTAATCTCTTCCCTCTCCTTGCATATACTTAAAAAAAAAGCCGTACTACTCACTCACTTGCTATTATCTTGAGTTTTGTTCTCTGGTTGCTTACTTGTGCACTTCTTCCATTCTCTCAGCCAGTTTGTAAGTTTTAGATGGACCATAAGGGTGTTTTCTGCCTTGGAACTCACATAGCACAAAATAGATTCTCAGTCAAGACTTTTTAAGGCGTCAGTAACCGAGGCAGGAAGGCTTTGGGCATGAGGAAAGGATTGTGTCCAGAACGTGCTTGGCCGTTCTCTTCTGTCCCTCCCAGCCGTCTGTTCATACATTAAGTTTGCATCTCATAATTACTGTAGGTTTACAAGAAAACAAATTCTTGGTTTTGAGAAAAACTTGCTGCCTCATTTATGAACATTGTCTTGCATGTTCTGTAGCCCATATAAATCACACTTTCATATACATTTTAGGATAAACTGCTTACATTTCTTTTAAAAAATTCTGCCGGGTTGTTTTCATTGGTACTAGATTTAAGCCTTAAATTGTTCTGGCAAGAACTGACATTTTTATCATAGTCAGTCTTTTAAATTATAAACTTGAAGTATCTGTCATTTAATTAGACCCTTCAAAAATACCTCAGGACTGTAGGATTTTTTTTTTTTTCTACAGGTATTTTGCAGCAGGACCTGTTGGGTTAGGTCTGTCTCCAGGTGCAATATTTCACACTTTCCCAGACTATTCTACATTTTGCCCCTTCCACCCAAAGCCCGGATGTGCACAGGACATGGGTGGTGTCCCTAGTGGGCTGCCTTCTGTGTGTTTACTGCTCAGCTCCAGGGGACTGTGCGGCAGAGCAAGGAGGCTGAAGCCCCAGGTTCCACTCCAGTTAGAGGGACATCTTGCTGATGAACATGTCAGCAGATCAGGAAGCAGGGAGACAGTTCAGAAAAGGGACCTCAGCATGCTGACCATGAGCTCCCAGGCCCGCTGCCAGGTGAGCGCAACCTGGATGTGACCGAGGACATTGGTCTCCAGCTCAGACCCAGGCAGTCCTGCAAGGGCTTGGAAATGTGAACTGACACAGGAAATGCAGTCTCAGATGGTGGCCAGGGTCTTCCAGCCTGAGCCTGTGCACCTTTTAAGACAAAATGGTAATCATTTCCCAGAGGACTTAAACAAGATTTAGTGCCCCATAACATATTTAAAATATGAAGAGCTACTCGAAGTAGAACAAACCATGGAGATCTATATCTTGCAAGGAAACAGGCAATCCTGGGGTGACACAGATGTTTCAGTGAACCCATTAAGCTGTTAAAGCTATCTTATATGCATTTTCCAAGAACCAGGACTGAGGCCTTTGAAACAAATGGGAGGTTTCAGAGACACAGAAGGTCTGAACAGACTCCACTGGTGGAGGTGTGCACCCTGGCACATGCTCTTATGTGTGCACATCAGTAAGATTGGTGAACTATGTCTACATTAGGGTCTTGCTTGCGATGTAGTGCTACCATTTTGTAAAGTGCTTGCCTTGGGGGCAAGTGGGCAATGTATAAAGGTTGTCTCTGTGTTATTTTTAATCATCATATGTAGATTTTTGACAGTTTTGGCCATAGGCACCATTGAAAAGGACTCAGTGGATATTATAGAGCTGAGGAATGTGAGCTGGGATTCAGAGGTTCACTCTACAGGGAGCCCTCCTGCAGCTGCTCCTGCACCCTCCTGCCCATGCTACTAGGGGACCCCCTCTCTGCTCCCCAAGGCTTCTAGCTTTCTTGGCTCTGGCTTCTCTTTAAACCTTGCTGTCCTAGGTATGTTGTTAAGCTGGAACTGTTCATCGCAGTCCTCCTCCTCCAAGCCCAACAGACACTCTGTACAGAAGGGTTCTGGTCCACTCAGTGGTGTTACTGTCACCTGTCTCCATAGCTTGACTTTGCCCATGTCTGCAAGTACCCTGTCACAGCCAGGCCCCTGCTTGCTGTTCTCTGGGACCCTCTGTATGATCTTTTCATCCAGCCAGAATCCATACCCACCAGTGTTCTCTGGAACATTCTGAATGTCCAGCTCAGTATGGGCTCTGGCTGAGGAGGCCTTGGTCTGTCTGTGCAGTCGCTGCTGTCCCTTCTTCCTCACATGCTTGTTATCAGGATGGTGATCCCCTCTGAGTCACTTATACCTTCCTTCAGGGCTTGGGTCCAGTCCCATTGCTGCTTGTCATATTCAGTGCACCAAGCACAGTTCTTCACCCAAAATGCCTTGTGGCTGAGTGGGATTGGAATGGGTGCCTGGTGGGCTTATAGTTGGGTGTAGTCCATCAGATTTCTCCTGTAAATGATGTGGTTCTTAAAGAAAAGTCTTAGTAAGGCTGTCCATGATCTCAAAGGCCTTTTCTGTTTGTTTTGTTTTATTCCAAATGAGATTTTTTTGTGGGAGTTGGGTATGGCAGGAATGGAGTGGTTACATATCAGTGGCAGATGATGTGGGGCCTCTTAATTGAATTCTTGGAATAAAAAGTTGCTGTAACAATAAGCAAAAAAAAAAAGTTGCTGTAAGTACATTATCTACACAAAAAATTTGCTAGAATGAATCGGAAGGCACACACCAGTGAACTCATGTAAGTTGTTGGTCGTTCCTGGCAAGTGTGTAGCAGCTACAGCTCAGCTGGGTAGATTTACCTCACTGGCTGGCACGTTGCAAACCCAACCCAAGTGGTTAGTGTCAGTCAGGCCGGGTGTTTTAAAAGTCTCCTATTATTTAGCAATGCTTCGTTCAACATGTAGTGATGTTTGGAGAAATAGAGATTTTTCAGATGAGAGTGTGTCCCTTGCTTTTCCTCTTTAAATCAAGTGCTGATCCTTGCTGTGAATTTATTATACCAGCATGTTTCCAGACGTGGGTAAGAGTTTGATAATGCATGTACTTGGAAAATTGGAATTCTCTCTTGCCAAAAGTGTTTTGCTTCTATGTCCTAGGATTGATGACATACAAGAAAGACAGTACATCCGAATCCACACTTTCGTTGCCTCCTGGTGAAGAATTGAAAACCAAAACAGAGAAAGATGGTAGTATAGTTTATAACATCTACTTCTCAAAATGTGACTTACTGATAGGGCTTTAAAATAGTGGAAAGGCAGCTTATATAGAAGTTAAATTGGTAAGGGGAAACTCATTATTGTAGAAATTACCCTTGGAAATCCACTAAGAAACTCATAATAGAGTAGATATACAGTTTTTTATTTTAAAGAAAATCCTCTAGTTTGATTCTTATGTATACATCAGAACCACTGGACTAGGTGAAAAGAGTGAATGAAGGAAAATCCATAGTCTAGATGCCTTGGCAAAAATTTGCAAGCTGCCTCTAACTGTGAGATCGCCAGGCAAATAAGACATAGTGATTTTTGCTTCAATATTACTCCAAAGCACCTTAGTATTAAGCAGTTTGGGTTTGGTATGAATCGGGGGGGACTCCACCAACGCATGTGGAGTGGGAGCTGAGTGACTGTGGTGAGGTTCGGTAGTCAGCCTACGTGGTTTGCCGGGGTGACCCCTGCCATGTGAGATGATGACCTCTGAACACCACTGCGTATGTTGCACAGTTTGCGTTTAAGCTGGCGCTAGCTAATCCACAGCGGGGCGTGCCTCCCAAGGGTCTACCTGGAGATGTGCCTCGCTGCTCCCTGTACCCCTGCATGTGCTGACATATTCTTTCTCCTCAGCCACAGTGCTCGGGTCAGCCAGCTCTTCCTCCTCCACGTCTTCCCTGGAGCACAAACAGAACAACCCCAAGAAAGTGAACACCAGCGGCCGGGCCAAGAAGACCTTGAGCAAAAGCCCATCTCTGTCTTCTCGAGCCAGTGCTGGTATCTATGGCTTTTTCAACCAGGCTTTCTTGGTGTTTTTTATCTTAGTTTCTTTGTAAGTAGATCTGCTCTTTTTAAGTGTGTAGAAGGAACCCTTTCCTCCAGGCACTCCGATTTGCTCATGTTCTCCCCAACGCCCCCAACTCCCTAGAAGCCAGAAGCGAGGCCTCCCCTGCTTGTTTGCGGATGTCCAGTGGTTTTATTCTGTCCTGAATTTGCCCTGATTTTGGTTCTCCCACCTGAGCCTTTTGGACCTTATTGTCTTCATGAGGTTTAAAAACAAACAAACAAACAAACAAAAAACCCACCAAAAAACGCTGCTTATAGCTGTGCAGGAGAGAGCCCGGTTTCGGGGAGGGTTTCAGCCGGCTGGCTGGATCCCTCGGTCCATGTTTCTTTGGTTCTGGTTTCATGTGCAGGTGTGCCAGACATTCCCAGGCTTGCCAAAATCCTCCGGGGCTGAGTCCCTTGCAGCTCACTCACTTATCTGTGGAGTGAACTTAACCGTGGAAGGCAATGAAGGTGTTTGGACAAATTGTTCTGAATGATCCTCGTGTTAATGATCAGGTTTTGTTTCTTGTATTTCTAGTGATCACACAGAAGCAATATTTTGCCACAGCAAATGTTCAGGGCAGGAGTTCTTTCCTTACAAAAATACTTTTTTGAATGGGGCTGGGGGCAGCGCTCCATGGCAACAATGATGTGATCAGCCTAAATGTGGGACCCTAAAAGTTGGATACCCAGAAATTTTGCCTGACATTGTTGACCTGGGGTATTAATTCTGGAACAGCCACCCCTCCTCACACCCCAACAATGCAGTGAGGAGCAGATGTGGAGCAGGTGCGATGAAGCGGCAGTCCTTTTTATGCTCATTTGATTTATGGGTCAAAGGCCTCTGCATTTAGCATTTGAACTGTTGACATCCACTTGATTTTAAAAATTTATGCTTGAGCACAGGTTGTTATTTTAAAAAATGTTTGGTAAGAAGTAGTTATGTGTGGCTCCGTATGTCTCTTGTTTTTCGTGAACTGGAGGGCTGCTTAGCCGTGATAGTCCAGGTGGGGACAGGTACAGAAGCGGGGGGTTGCAGGACAAGTAAGTCCTTGTTTACAGTCCCAGAGACATTTCCTGAGCACGTTTTCCTAGAGCAAGTAGACATCTGACCTTTCCCATGGATGATGATGCACTTGAGGGAGATGTGGGCAGTCGTCGAGTCAGGCAGAAGATTAAAGAGAAAGAGAAGAAAGAAAGTCTCAAGGGAACCAGCTTGTACTCGGGGCCTCAGCCTCCCTGGGCCCCAAGGTTGCACTTGCTGTCTTGGGACCACTGTCCACTGGCAACATGGGGACACACTGGGGTTTCTGACCACTGGTGGTGAGTATGCCACCTGTTAGCTGTGGCACTACATCTTTGGAGGTGCTGAATTTGTTTCTTGTTTGCCGATGACAGTTTTTATGTATCACACTTTGGGAATGTGATGTGCTAGTCATTTGAGTATTAGTGACTCTGGGACCCAGTTCAGTTGGCTTCTAGCCCGGGTTTCCCTCCCTTTCATGTGTGGCTGCGTTTCCAGTTTGTCCACTCTTCACAATATGTCTTAGCTTCTGTCCCACGCCCTCACCCGGGCTCCTAGACCTTACCAGATGGTTGAAACCACCGGTGGGACAGGGCTCAAGGACTCATCAGCTCTCTGTTGGCTGTTCTGCAGTAGCTTCCGATGTAGCATTTCTGTGGGACTTCAGTGTTCACTCTTGGGCATTGTGAGGTTTACTTATGGATAAAGTTGAGTGGGGAGTAATTCTGTTTTTGTATGGAAGCCAATTTGGGGTTATTGGCCCCTGATAGCAATTTTTACCTTCAAATCACATTCCTATATATAATATTAACAGAGTCCGGGTGAACCACTGTGGTTCTGTAGAATTTTGTGAGAATAGCAATTGGTGAATCTGACTTCCTCCCCCATCTGTTGCACATATTTACTAATAAAGCTTGCTTAGCACGTGGCCATGTACATGTTTTAAATGGGTTGTGTGTACCTGCTGTAGCAGCAGAGCTGTGATGGGAACAACATGGCTGGCAGAGTCCATGCTTCTTTACGACAAAGTCAGCTAAACTCCAGGCCCACTGCTGTAACAGGTGATGCCGGCAGAGTGAAATTTCCCATGGCAGTGTTTTTCTTGGGGCCCTTACACATCCCCTTTGAATGTCTTCACCTTGTGTGAGAGAAACAATGGTAGATGCCGTATAAAATAAAGACGTTGAACGATGAGCCGGAGTATCCAGGTATCCAGTTAGAGTATGTAGTTTGAGATTTTTTTTTTACTAATGTGCCTTTTGAGTCTTTCCCCCCTTTGTGTTCTTTCTGCTGTTCCTACTCCCTTCTTTCCCACTCCACCCCAACCCTCCTAATCCTCCAAACAGGTTTAAATTCCTCAGCAACATCTGTAACCAATAGCTCCCGCTGTGACGGGGAACTCCAGCCTGGTGACAGAGTGTTGGTCGTGGGTCAGAGAATTGGCACCATCAGGTTCTTTGGAACAACTAACTTTGCTCCAGGTAAGTCCTCTGTATATTCTTTGTTCCGTTGTTGTCCTTCCGAGTACAAAAGGTGTCAGCCTCTATGTGGAAATGCAAGTCTGGGCACAGAGCGGTAGCCAGCTGGGGTGGAAGGGGGATGGAAGCAGACTGTTGTCACTCTGGTTGACTGTTGTCACTCCGGCTGACTGTTGTCACTCCGGCTGACTGTTGTCACTCCGCTTGACTGTCACGGGTCAGTGTGTTAGCACATCTCCGAGCATGCTCAGTGACTGGGAGAACATCTCAGGACTGGATTTTTTTTTTTTTTTTTTTTGCCAAGGATAATCTTTAAGACCAGAAGACCATGAGTTAACTCTTTGGATTCCAGCAGAGTGGTTTGGAAAAGAAAACACAAAAGGATTCAAAGGAGCTGGGAAAAAGGTTGTGGGTGACTTGAGCCTTAAAAAGCACATTTTGCGTTTCTGTATTCATTGCACTCAGTAGTTAATATTGTGTTTCTGAAGGTAAAGACTGTTTCCCTTTGTTTTCAGTGCTTATCATTTTAATTATTGTTTTAAATATTTAAACAATTATTTTAGGGGACTGATGCCATGGTATAGTAGGTTAAGCCTTTGCCTGCAGTGCTGTGCCACCCCCTATGGGCACTGTTCTGGTCCCGGATGCTCTACTACCAATCCAGCTCTCTGCTTATGGCCTGGAAAGGCAGCACAGGATGGCTCAAGTCCCAGGGTGTCCCGGGTGGCATCCCTGTGTTGTATGACTGTCCCCCACTTGATTGAAATCTTGAGTGTATGTTTCAGATAGCGTTACCCTATTTTAACACATGGTGGCATTGTAGCATTTTAGGAAAAAAAAAAATTACCTAGAACATTTTTTCTTAGAAGAAAAGTTGGTCAGATGTGAGCTTTTTGCTCTAGTAGCAAGCCAGCCAATTAGCCAGCGACAGGTTCTTAGCTGTGGCTAGACGACGAGACAATTCTGGGTCAGACTCTCAGTGACAGCAGCCAGCAGAGTCCCCAACCTGCCCCTCGCTGCAGGGTGCAACCAGAGGGCCCAGGGGGCTCCTCCACACCCATTGGAGTTCCTGGAGAGGAGTCCTGAGAGGGGATCAGCACGCCTGTCTGCTCCAGGGGCAGGCTCCCCTCCAAGGCTGTCCACTGCACGAGTACCTGTGCAGGTGGTCTGGGGCAAAGGCAGCCGGAGATGTGCAGGGACAGAGCTGGAGGGCATTGGCTCCAGCACATTCCTGTTTCATTAATACCACTTTAAAAAATGTTTATTTAAGAGGGAGAGCAGGAAAGAGAGAGAGCAAGCGAGCTTCCATTCACTGGTTTGTTCCCCAAATGGCTGCAATAGGTGGAGGCCTGGCTGGACTGATGCCAGGAACCAGAAAGTACGCCCAGGTCTCCCTAATCGGTAGTAGGGTCCAAGTACTTGGGCCATCTTCCCCTGCCTTCCCAGGAACGTCAGCAGGAAGTAGAAGCAGAAACAGAGAAGCTGGGACTCAGACCAGAGCTCTGGTCAGGGAGGCTGGCTTAACCTGCAGCATGGGAATGTCAGCCACTTGTTAACACCACTCTTCATTGCTAGCCAGCTTGTTGCCTGGCTTATCTGTCTTAATAATTCGTGACTCTGTTAGGCCTCCCATTTGTAACTGAGATTACAACAGTTGCCAAATGAAAATGTGGGCATTCCACAGGTAGGTTATTTTCCACAATTATTGGATACATTTGAGTTCTCTCTGATTATATGACACAAGGCTGGAATGGTTTAATTCTTTGGATATAGTTCATCATTTGGGGCAGACTTAATTTGAAAATTCTTAATGTAAAGCACTCAGGTAGTTGTGGGAGTGTGGGGGGAAAGTACATACTGAAATAACTTGGAAACTTTTTTGTAAGGTCATTTTGTCCTTGAAGGGAGCATGGGGTATGTATTTCTGTTGGCATCCAAGTTTAGATCAAATCAATGCTTTCTATAGAACAGCGGCAGACTTTACAAGAGGTCTGGATTTGAGAGAGATCTGTTGAGCCTCTTCAGCATTTTTATCTGTGCCACCTCGGAGAAGAAATTAACATTTAGATGGGTGGCTGTCCATGCACACTGCTCCTAGAGCAAGTATAGTCACTGTTGGCCAGCCCTTGTCACAATGTGTTTCTGCTGAAGCATGTTTTCAAGTTACATAGTAAACATGTAACATTCACATGGCCAATTCAAATGGGACAGTGCAAAACCTGTGCAGGGAAGCATCGAAGGACAAACATTTGGAAAATGACAAATGTTGCACTCCCAGGAACAGCACTGGCAATCAGGCTGGCATGGTTCAGGGTACTCTCAAATGTGTTGTCTTGTTTGAGAACCTTAGTGTGGTTAGCAGCAGGATGGCAGGTGTTTCTTGTCCTTTTAATGTTTTATTTGTGAGTTTTCAACCAGAGAGAGGGAGAGAGAGGGAGGGAGAGGAACAGGGAAGAAGAGAGAGAGAGAGAAAGAGAGAGACCTTCCAATTGCTGGTTCCCCTCCCAGGCTCCAGCAGCAGCTGGGGTGGGGTCAGGTAGAAGCCAGGAGCCCAGAACTTCATCTGATCTCCCCCATGGGTTACCTGAGCATCATCTCTGTCTCCCAGGGCTTTAACCAGCAGGAAGCTGGATTGAAAGTGGAGTAACTGGAACTCGAAGCAGGCACTCTGATCTGGCTGCAGCTTAACTTATTGTACTGCCATGCCTATCTACTTCATTAAAAAAAATTCTGAATTCTTTTATATTTTTAGTGTTTTTGTTTTATTTATTTGAAAGAGAGAGAGAGAGAGAGACCGTTCATCTGTTAATTCATTTCCTAAGTGCTTATGATAGCCCTGGCTGGACCAGGGTGAAACTAGAAACCCAGAGCTCTACCTGGGTCTCCCACATGGATGACAGGGAACTGTCATCTGTTGCCTTCCAGAGTGCAGGTCAGCAGGAATCTGGAATCAGAAGCTGCATTGGGACTTGAACTCCAGGACCGATACGCAGGCAAAGCCAGCGGCATCTGAGCTGCTGTACCCAAGGCCTGCCCCTAGACATTCCAAATGTCAGGTGGTAGAACTAGCAGAGTGCAGAGGGACTGGACACACCCTCATCTCTACAACCCCTTGGACACTGGCCTCTGGAAGTGGATCCAGGCATGTCCACTTTGTAAGCAGGAGAGGAAAGCAGAAATTAAGAACTTGTAGGTTGACTTTCGAGAGGTTCCATGATTGACCAGGAGACCAGAAGAATGTTTGTGATGCTTCTTGACATCTGTTTGATATCTATGTCCTGTTTTACTTATTGGAGAGCTGATTGTAAGAGATCCAGTGCTGTCACGGCCATCCTCCCCTCCTAAATCACACAGGATGGACTTGGCTAGTGGGGGAAGCCCTGCTGTGTCCTTTTTCCTTATACTGGTGGAAACGTACTCCAAGCAATTTCCCCACTTTAATTTGAGGCTCTACAGATGAGGAAATCCTATTATTTCCCATAGAATGGCCCTTTTGCATATTGAAAGCATTTCTTTCAGAACATTCTTATCGGCCAACCCAAGTCTTCATTTAGGTCAGAAAAGATTTTTCTTGTTAATCTTGGGTTGAAAAAAAGAGAAAACCGAGTCTCTACGAAGCCTGGTGGTATTTTCTGTGTCATATTCAACCTCCTTTAATTATTTAAGAGCTGCTTGTGATGTTCTAATATTGGGAGAGTGAGATGAAAAGATCGCATACCCCTTTCCTGATTTATGCATCTTGATATCATGCTGTATTTCTGTCACCCGAGCATACTCTATCACCCAGTCAAGGACAGTTTCTTACTCATTATACTCCCGAATATATTTCGGTCGTCTGCTCCTTGCATAATGACTAATCCTTGCTGAGTTTGTGTACGTGCATCTTATTTTCCCCGCCTGATGCACTACCGTGCAATTAGGCTTGTGCGATGCTGCCCCCACCCCCCACTTTTCACATTTTGTAATGTTATCATCTGAAACCCTAATGATCATGATCTTCCATCATTCCGGTCATTTGTGAAAAATGTTAAGCCATCCAGGCTTTGGATTTGTATAATAGCAGAACAATTTTGAATAAAATGCGGATGCTTTTAAAACGCAGTGTTCACATTCCAGGCTATTGGTACGGCATAGAGCTCGAAAAACCCCATGGCAAGAATGACGGCTCCGTTGGAGGTGTGCAGTATTTCAGTTGTTCTCCAAGATACGGGATATTTGCTCCCCCATCCAGGGTGCAAAGGTGAGAAAAAGCAAAGGTGTGTTCACTTACAGGAGCCCTCTGTGCCTGGCCGGGGTGTGTCCGGACCCTCATCTACCGCTGGAGGCGGGCACTGGCTGCAGCTTGCGTCTTCTTGTAAGGGGTTAACCAGCCACCTTCTTCAGAGAGAAGGCTCATGGAAAGCTAAATTTGCTTTGCTGAGGATTTGCAATTTTAAAAACCTCCTTTATTCCTCATTTGCAAACCCTATGAGTATGTGTAGGCTATTAGAAGTGGCGTTTGCAGCTAGAACAGTAAGAACAGCAAGCTTAATCTGTCATGCAAACAAAAGTAAAAATGCTCTCTGATTGCCTCAGTCACATCCTAACTACATTAAATTTCCTGCCAGCAGGCACCCCATTCATTCTGCCGCAAACCTAATGGAACCAAAATGGCTTTTTTCCCTCTGATTTCTTTAGTTCTCCAAAATAGACAGACAGCCGATCTGGGAGGAACACAGGGCTTCAGGGATTGATATTTATAAGTCACCTCCTCGCCGTGCCTTCCATAGATAGCACACTTGTGTCCCACCTCACTCTGCTTTCCAAAACCAAGTTGAGCAGAAGCAAATCCTCATGAAATTTCAGGTGAAATCTGAAAGGGCCTCTCTTGTGTGCTGGAGAAGTGGGCTTGGTCTGCCTTCCAGCACACAGGAAATGAGATCGTAATCTTTAAATAAGAGATAAAATGCATGGCCTAATCACGTTTGTGGGAGTAGTTGCTGTTGTGATCAGAGTCACATCTCAGTCTCTGACAGCTAGACTGTGCACCTGCTTGCCTCTCGGCAAATTTAACTTTTTATATCCACTTTCTTCCCCAGTTTATTTTTCTTACTGTATAATGGCATACAATTTGTGTGTGTGTGTGTGTGTGTGTGTGTGTGGTGTGTTGATTTCCTCATTCTAGAATGTGCATGCTTTAATTCTTATTTTAGGCAATATAGCGTTTAGCAGACATTACTTTGTAGCTTAGAAAGCATCTTCACTTACATATAACTTTGTTTGATCCCAGGATTTGGCCAGGTAAGCTGGTTCACAGCAGCAGCTGTGGCTGAATACTTTCTGAGCCTGGAGTGAGTAGGTGGTGGGCTCTGCAGTGCCTCCCCAAGTTGGCCCCTGCAGCCACAATCATTCCAACTTTGCAGGTCAAGAAACACATTTCAAAGGAAAAAGTGGCTTAGGCAAATTTACAGACCCAGTTCATGCTGTAGCTGGTTTGTTACTTTGTTGTTTTTTTCCCCCCTAAGCTCTGGCTAGATGGTTTGTTCCTTTATGGAGTCATTCTGTAGTAAACACAGGGAAATTGATAGCTGGGAGTAAGTAGCTTGCAGGCATGCTGGACACTGTGTTTGGCCCTCTTCCTTGGGAGTAGGGCCGCAGGTGTCCCTGTTTCACAGTGAGAGGTCAGTGGGAATAGGGATCCAGGCCGTCCATCCCCGGGACGTGTGTCCCTCACCACACCCTGCCACAGTTATGGGAGCTTCAGGAACTTCAGGACCTGTGTCTTGAAAATGCCTGATTTGGGAATAAACCCATGCAGAGTCACCTGCCACAGTTCCGTGTTCTGTTGCTTTGGGTGTGTCCTGCTGCTGTCTCTGAAGGTTTATTCATTTACTCGAAGGGCAGAGTTCAGAGCAAGAGAGAGGCATTGAGAGAAAAGATTTATCCATCCACTGGTTCACTCCCTACATGTCTGCACTCAGCTGGGCTAAGCAGGCCTGAAGCCAGGAGCCAGGAGCTCCGTCAGAGGCTCCTCTGTGAGTGCAGGCAGAGGCCAAGCACTTGCTGTATCTGCCACTGCTTTCCCAGGGAGCCAGATTGGAAGTGAAGCAAGTGGAACATGAATCTGTGTGCCTGTATGAGATGCTGGCGTGGAAGGTGGTTGCATTGCCATAGAGCTGGCCCCATGCCTTAATCTCTCAAAGTGTTGATTGTTTCCAAGTCATAAGTACCTGGATTCAAACCCCAGGGAACAGGGTTTGGCATATATTAAGCACAATAAATATTGATCACATTGGATTTCTGCTTGTTGCTTCTCACACTGGTACAGCTGGCCACCCACTTCTGCACGGCTCTTGCTATGTTCTCTTTGTTTTGTTAAGGGAGCACTGGGCCTTAGCTTTTTTTTTCCTTGCCTTCCATTTGGTCTTTAAGGTGGTGCATTTAAAAGCAGCCCCCCCCCCCGCCTTCTTAAAAGAAGCCGGGCTCCGTCTGAATGAACTGCTGCCTCCAACAGCTGTCTTCCTGGCATCTTCTGATTGTCTCATTCATCACCATAAATACTATTAAGTGTGTTTTAGTGCTTTGTGCTGCGTTAGGCATTCTACAAACAAGTAAAACATACATAGACCCTGCTTCGGAGGAGTCTGTAGCCTATACCAGCTCAGAGCCCTTTGAAGGCATTGCTGGTCCATGCTCGGGCAGCCTGAGGACTGTCTTCACCAGATACTGACCTGCCACAGCTTCACCTGACTCCTCCTCGGAGCTGTGGCTGGCCTGCCCCACTCTCTCCCCAGTTTGAAGATGTTGCCTCCTGTCTTTGCGCACAGCATTCCTTCTGCTTGTTTGGATTTTGAGACCCACTTGTCGTCACTCTTTTCACTTAATGCCTTGTCTGGTATTAGTATATCAGTCATTCAGTGTTCCTGTGGAAAACTCTGAGACAACCCAAAGGTGAAATCAAACCCACTCTCATACTCCTGTGCACGTGTGTGCATGCGCTTGTGCGTATACATTGCCCAAGTGACCGCCATTGGCACAGTTCACACCGCTTAAGTCGTTAATACCAATGAGCCAATCACTTCTAGAATCAAATTCCTCCTGTCACCACTTCCTTCACCTTGGATGGGCACCAAGCTGTAATGTTTGTGGCCATCAGCCTCTGATTGGTTGCTGTTTGTTGTGGATCGTGGGAGCTGGGCGATGCAATGGCAGGTGTTGCAAGCGTTGCAGGAGTCTTTGATGGTAAGAAAGTGTGCTTAGGGAAGTGATGGACAAAGCCCACGTTTGTTCTAGGTCAGTAAATGGTTGAAAGAAGATAAGGCTGACAGCGCTGACTTTTTTTTTTAAATAATGATTTGAATATGAAAAAGTAAAGGGAAACCCATCAGGAAAGTAACCTTTGTAGCATTGTGCCTGGAGCCAATTGCAAGTAAGACATACTGAATTGTGGGAACCATACTGTTTCCTCAGAAAAGTCACACATATACAGAAACTTTGGCCAAATATGTATGGTACCCGATGTAAGAATTAATGATGATTTTACAAGTATAGGCTAACATTGATTATTCTTGAATTTCACCTCTTGAGGTTAAGCTATATCCTTTTTAAAAAGATTTATTTATTTCTATGTGAGAGATTTACAGAGAGAAGGAAAACATAGAGAAAGATCTTCTATCCACTGATCCACTCCCCAAGTAGCTACAATAGCCGGAGCTGAGCCAATTTGAAACGAGGAGCCTGGGGTTTCCTCTGGGTCTCTCATGTAGGTGCAGGGTCCCAAGGCTTTGGGCCATCCTCAACTGCTCTCCCAGGCCACAAGCAGGGAGCTGGGTAGGAAGAGGAGCAGCTGGGACATGAACTGGTCCCCTTCTGGGATCCAAGCTGTTGAGATGGGAAGATTATCCAACAACACAGGACTCCCTCCTCTCCCTTTAAAAAATTAAAAAGATTTATCTATTTTTATTGGAAAGGCAGATTTACAGAGGAGAGAGAAATCCATTTTTAAACATGAAAAAAATTTATTTTTCACTTTGAAAGACACACGCAGAGAGACCTGAGCACAAGGCTTTGGCCTGTTACTTCACTCTCCGTATGCCCGCACAACCCAGGCTGGACCAGGCCAAATGCAAGAGCCCTCATGTGGGTGTCAGTGACTGAAGCACTCGAGCCATCACTGCCTGTCAGGATGCACATCACCCAGGCAGCAGGGTGGGAAATGCAGGAGCAGGGCCTCCAGCCAAGCTCTCAGATACGGTGCAGGTGTTCCAGGCCGTTCTACGGCTGTACCCAAGCTCCATTCCAGATCTCTAGTTTCAATGACTTCACTTTAAGTTGACTTTCTCCTTTAGAAAGTGATAACTTCTTTTATTTGCTTATTGCCTGTGTCCCAAGCTGCCTTAAAGGTCACCTCTGGATCAAAGGAGTGTTCAATATATGTTTGTTGAACGAATAAATGAATAACAAGTGACAGTTGTGAAGAATTCAGTGGCGAGCCCATCTGGGGGTCTGAAGACCAGCTGTGACTAATGAGGTACACTTTGTTTTCTTCACAGAGTATCGGATTCCCTGGATACTCTCTCAGAAATTTCTTCAAATAAACAGAATCATTCTTACCCTGGTAAGATCACACACTTTTGCTTTCTTAACAATTGTGCCTTCACTTTCATTTACTGGGAACATGTTTATTGTGGTGGGTATGTGTATGTAAAAGAGTAGACATGAATATTTTAAAAAGCACATGGGAGCAATGAATTAAAAGAGACATTTATTTTTATGCAAAAAAATGGAAATCTGCACACAGTTTTCATCAGACTAATTTTCTGAAGACTTCTCATCAAATGGTGTTTGTATAGTGTGAGGAATCATAGTGTAAACACCTGTTAGCTGTACCCACATCTGCAGGATACCTTTGCTGTGCTATAGACAGCCTCGAACCCCGTCTCCATCATCTGCCTGCTCATCCAATGGTCATGCTCTTGGATTTTATACCAATTATACCCTTGATTTTCTTTCTTTCTTTTGTCACGCACATATGGATGCATCAAACAAGTAATGAATGCTTAGTTTTAATGTCTGGTTGCTATCTTGTTAAACATCCTATTCAAACACATGAATCGTGTACGTTGATGGTTCTTAGCATTCTATCCAGTTTTGTTTTGTTTTGTTTTTGGTTTTGTCTTTTTGCATTGCCAACTCTGCCGGTGTACACAAGAGTAACAGTTTGTTGCCTTGGGGTAAGCGCCTCTTCCCCCTTTCTGTAATGCCAGCCCTTGCCGTACACCCTCCCATCAGCAGCAAGCCCATCTAGGTAGTTCTTCATTTCCCTTCTCCACAAAGCTAGTCCTGGTTAACTGAGAAGTCTTTGGGTTTAAATGTTCTCTCATGTTGTTCATAGGCAATGTATGTTTTCTCTTATAGGGAGTACCTGTTCAAGTCTCTTGCCCATTCTCTTGGGCGGGTTGCTTTTATCAATTTGCAATGAGTACTAGCGTTTTGTTGTATTTATGTGTTAATATTTCTTGCTCAGTTTGTGATTTGTCTCCACTCACCCACCCTCCCTTGCTTTTTGGAGTGTGTGTTGATGAGCACAGATTTTTATGTAATCAGGGTAGCAAACTGAAGTTTGTTTTGTTTATATTAAGAAACCTTTTCCTAAAACAGGAATCGTAAAGACTTCTTCCTGTTTTGCTTTCAGAAAAGTCTTGTGTTGTTGAGTTTCTCACATGTTGGTTTACCAGGAGATGATTGTGTATACTGTGTAAGGCTCTGAGTTCAGTCTCCCCACTCCCCGCTGGCCCCATCCCCAGGTGGATGACCATCTGTGAAAGAGTTGTTTCTGTAATGTCTGTCTTTAGATTTGTTGAGGTTGACCTCGTGACCTGTTTTTTGGCGTTCTGATGATACTGTTTTAATTAGAAGCTCCCCAGTGATGCGTGATGCTGTGTACCTTGGCAGACATAGACTTACAAGTCTGGGAGCTGGAAGCCCGCAGGCCAGCAGACCGTGTCCTCCTGTGTTCTCCTCATCCCAACCTCCTCTTCAAGTCCACGGGTTAGGGCCCACCCACTGGACTTCATTTTACCCTCATAACCTCTCTGGGAATCCTGTTTCCAGTACATTCACATTACGAGTCATTCAGCTTAGAACTACCGTGTGGCTTTCAGTGGCACAAAATTTAACCCATAATGGATGTGGCACACCTTTTCTTGTGTTTATTTGTCATCTGTGTATCTTTGAAAAAATATTTATTTATTGTCATCCACTTGAAAGGCAGAGCAAGAGAGAGAGCAAAGAGTGAGCCAGTTGAGAGAAAGAGATCTTTCAGCTGCCGATTCACTCCCAAATGCTCTCAAGCAGCCAGGGCTGGGCCAGGCTGAAGCCAGGAGCCCAAAATCCATCCAAGTCTCTTGCATAAGTAGCACAAGCACCTGAGCCTCCATCTGCTCCCTCCCAGACACATTAGCTGGGTTAGAAGTGGAAGAATTGGGACTCAAACTGAGCACCCTAACATGGGATGCAGGTGTCCCACATGGTAGCTTAACATGCTGCACCACAAAAGCTTACACCCACTTGCGTATCTTCTTTGCTGAGAATGAGCCCATTTCCAGGTTCTGGGGCACCCTTGCATGGAGATCGACAAGAAGCCAATGTGCAACCCAGGCAGGACTTTGCTGTGGGCTTGTGTTTGAACACAGAGTAGCAGCACACCAGGGAGAGAGTCTGCTGACTGGCTCCGTGAGAGGGGCTGAGCAGGGGTTTTCTCTACCAGGTAGAGAGGAGAGTGGTGGTTTCTCCTTGGCATGTGACATTTTGCTTTGTGCTGGTTTGGCATTCTGCCAAGGTGCTGTTGGGTGCCCCCAGCTCCCTGTACCTGACATGTTCAATATGGTGGTGTTACTCACCGTCATACCCAGGGAGGGTCACATGCTGCCCCGCCAGGCTGCTCTGAGCATGCCTGCAGATTGGGAGAGTCCCTCACAGGATGGTAGGGAGTCTTGCCTTAAGTCTTGCTCCTGGTGGGTTTGGAACTGGAGCCTGACGCATGTCGGGTCCTGAGGGGCTTCAACGATGAGTCCTGTTTCTCTCCTGTCTCATGAAAGACCTTTAGTCTTTTGCCTTTCCTAATACTGTGTGTGTTGTTCTCTGAATGCCGTGTTCTTCCTACTTTTACTTCCCAGACCTTTATCAGGTAGGAGTGTTGAAAAAGCTTCCTCTCCATCTGGGGCTTGTCTTGCTGTTGTCTTCATGGTGCCTGGCACAGAGCGGAAGTTTTCCATTTTAGTGAAGCCTGAAGTTAGCCAGTTGTTTTCCTTTCGTGGATCGTGCTTTTGGTGTTGTGTTGTGTCAAAAAAGTCACTACCAGTCCCAAGGTCATCCCAGTGTTATCTTCTACTTGTGTATTACATTCAGATCTGTGTTCCATTTTGAGTTTGTTCTGTGCTGGAAGGGTGCATCCAGAGAGGCTTCTTGCACGCTTGGGTCCACTTGTTCCAGCACAGTTTGTTGGAAAGGCCCTCCTTTCCCTGTTGAATTGCCATTGCTTCTTCACCATGGTTTGGTTGATCATACTTGTATGGATCGCATTCGGGGGCTCTGTTCTGTTCCATGGATCCATCTGTTGGTCACTTTGCCAGTTTCACACTGTCCTGACCATCGTGGCTTTGTGGTGCCTCTGCAGCTGAGTTGTGCCAGTGCTCTCTCCTCTATTGTGTTAGTTTTCCTAGGCCCGTTTCCTCCCCATATGAACCCCACCGTTTGTCAGTACCCACACCATCAGCAGCCAGGATTTTGATTGGGATTGCCTTGAATGCACTTGGGGGAACCAACATCTTCCTACTGAATTGTTCGTCAGTAAACTCAGAGCATCTCTCCTTTTCCTGCACCCCCCGCCCCAGTTTTCCCCCTTGGTATCTATGGTCTTGTTTGGTTATCTACTGGCAACGATGGTCCAAAAAAATACTAAATGGAAAACATCCCAGAAATAATCGATGGATGTTAGGTTGCCCACCATCCTGAGAAGCATGATGCAGTTGCTCCTGGTCCCTCTCCATCTCCTTGAGAGAGAGATGTGAGTCATCCCTTTCCTAGCATCTCCACCCTGCACATGCACTTGTGTCTCCAGGAACTGTCTGGGTTATCAGGTTGCCTGTCATGCTTTTGCTTATATGCAAACAACCTCTATTTTACTTACTGATGACCTTACAACACAAGAGTGGTGATCCCAACAACTCATATATGCCAGCAAGAAGGTGTAAAGTACCTCCTCTCAGTGGAAAGGCAGAGGTTTAACACACACGTGTGTGATCAGAAACAACCTGCACGGGCAGGATATGTTTGGGTACAAATTCCTTGTTTCAGGTGTCCTCCAGGGCCCCGACTACCTCCTGTGCAGGTCTCCCTGCGGATAAGGGAAGACCGTTTTTTTTCATTAGAAGTTTGTAGTTTGTAGTTCTCCTCAGCTATATGTGGTTGGTTAGATTTATAACAATGTATTTGCTTTTTTTTTCTTGGTGTTTATGTAAATGGCATTCTTTTTACAATCATTCTTTTTACCTTCTGCCAGCTTTTTTTGTTTTGTTTTGTTTAGGTATTTTCCTAACGTATCTTTTTCTGTATGTTCATTTGTAACTTTTTCTGTGTCCTTTTACTTTTAGAATATGTCCTAAATAGGACAAGGTTTGATTTTGCCCTTTAAAAAATATTGTCTGACAATGTTTTTTTATTTGAGAGAGTCATGCACTTGAGCTTACTGTAATTGCTGACATATTGCTGGTATTATTTATGCTATTCTGAAATTTGTCCTAATTTTTGTGCCTGGTGTTTTTTCTTTCTTGGCTTCATTCTAGTTATTTTTAAAAAAGATTTATTTATTTATTTGAAAGACTTACAGAGAGAGAGAGAGAGAGAGGCAGAGAGATCTTCTCTCTGCTGGTTTACTCCCCAGCTGACCTCAGTGGCCACCACTGCTTCAGGCTGAAGCCAGGAGCCAGGAGCTTCCCCTGGGTCTCCCACATAACTGGCAAGGGCCCACGCACTCGAGCCATTGTCTGCTGTTCCTCCCAGGCGCACTAGCAGGGAGCTTGACCACAAGTGGAGCACTCACCCATACAGGTTGCTGGTGTTACAGGTGGCGGCTTTACTGCTGTGTGCCACAATGCCTGCTCCCTGATCCACCCTTAATTTCTTTTGTTCCCCATTCCACGTGCTCCCTGTATTTGTGTAAAACCTGTACTCTATGAATATACATCTTAAATGATTATTTTGAAACTATTTAAATTATATGCTTAGCAAAATCGAAAGTCAACCATTATTACTGTTTCTGGAATGATAGACAATCCTTAGAAACTAAGTTGCCAACTTCAGTTTCTGCCTCTCACCTTGGCCAATCACGTGGTCTTCACACAATGATTGTTAGAATGTCCACCTGTGGCCCTTTGGTTTTTATGTTACATACAGCCTTTGCCTCTGAGAAGGAGCCTGTGGACAGCGACCCTCCCGGGAAATACTGTCTTCTCTGGCGAATGCCTTGCTGGGTACAGGGTGTCAGCTGGGAGGCTCCTTGCTCTGCACGCATTAGCACTGTCCCACTGTGGTCTCCTGACTCCGGCCACCATTGTTGGGAAGTCAGCTGCAGGCCTGGGAGTGCCAAAGGCTGTGGGCGCTCTGTCATACCGCTTGCCTGGGTGGAGGCCTCCTCTCTGGATGCTGTTTGTCATCCTGGGTCTCCTTTGGTTTGGAAGCAGATGAGATGGGCTCTGTAAAACTCTTCAGACTGAGGCTCTTTCCTCCTGTACTCCTTGCTGTTTCCTCCTGAAACCCTGCAAGGCTCCCGTCTCGCTTTCCGGTCCGCGTTTGGGTTCTGCACAGCCATCCCTCTGGATGGTTTCTGCTCCATCTTCACATTGCTCAGTTCTCTCTCTCAGGTGCCCTTGTTGCGGGGCTTCATCGAGCCACTAGTGCTTTCACATTACAGAATGCAACATTTGCCGATCTATGTGATGTTTCCTGGCATGGCTTGCACCCTGCCCGTGGTAACAGGTCTTTCTGTTAGGTCGTCTCCCGTTTGTGATGAGCTGCGGCCTTTCACTCAGTGTGAGCTGACTGAGGAGCTGGTTGGGAGTGTGACTCTCCCACCTGTTGATGTGGAGCGTGCCTGCTGGCGCTTTTCCCCTGGTGACTTGCTTACCCAGATTGGGACTGTGTGTGTGTGTGTGTCTAACTCTGAATCCTGGGTCGATGTCTCAGGGGAAACGCCGTTCCCTTCTGCCAGGTACTGCTGATGAGCACTGCTTTCCTGTGCCACCTCTACCGTGTTTGCCCGTGTTGCGTGGATGAGCTGATCGGGACGCAGTTTGGTGTGCAGGAGATTCTGCCTTCTGCTGAAGCTCGTGGCTTGACCCAGGCCACCTCCCTGTGTCTTCCTGTGCACTGGTTCCCGTCCCTGTCTGATTGCACCTTTCCACGAGCGTGGGTGGAGCAGGGTCCTGTCACTGTGCGGCCAGGCTGTGACCGGTCCAGCCTTGGCCATTGTGGGCAGTTAGGGAGTGGATCGGAGGAAAGGAGATCTCTTTCTCTATGTGTCTCTGTGTCTCACTTGTTCTTCTGAGTAGATGAACATATGTAAACAGACATTTATGTTTTTATAAAAAACCACATAGTTGTTTTAAGCTAGAGCTCTGTTAATCAAGAGATTCATTCAGCACATCTGGTTTGGCGTAATTACCAGAACTGGAAATCCGTTTAAAAACATCATTTTTTTTTAAAAAAAAAAAAAGTCTTTCTGAAGTCTTGTTGTTTTGTTTTGTTTTTTGTTTTTAACTGTGTTATCTGGAGATGCCAAAAATCTTAAGATTTGATGTATTGTTCCGTGTTTTAGAATGTTAATATTTTAACATTTGCTTTTCCATGTGATTATCAAAATGTTTTTTGATATTCTCATCTTTTTGAAAATCTTATCATAAAACCCTCCAGAATTTAAAGTCATAATCCTATATGTGCATAGTTTGATCAGGAAAATAAAGATAACATTTGTTAAGAAACCCCGGTGACTCTTACCTTCTGAGCGTATTTGTGTTAACTTCTATTTCCGAAGAGACACTTGATACGATAGAACTCCTGTAGCGGAAATGGTAACAGAGAACCCGTGCTGAGGACTGGGAAGCCGCAGCCGACTCTTCTTCTCTGCTAACCTTCCCTTCTGCCTTTAGGTTTCAGGCGAAGTTTCAGCACAACTTCTGCTTCTTCCCAAAAAGAGATTAACAGAAGAAATGCTTTTGCCAAGTGAGTATTAAGAAGATTAAAAAATTTTAAAAAACCACCTTTCAAGATGAGCGTGACAGGGACTCTGTGAAGGAAGAACAGTCAAATTTGGTACCTTGCGCACCACTCGGTAGGATGCTAACACTTAGGCAAGAAGGCGCCCTGGGTGCCTCGCGTTCTCTTGCCTTTGCAAGCCCCATTAAAAGTGTCACCAGTGACTGCAAATAACACACTGTGCAGAGTTTCTCTTCAAAGAGGTTAGTACTGTTAATAAAAGTTGGAGGACTTCACATGTTGGTGTTTTCATTGAGCAGGGTGGGTTGATTTTAAACTCTCCCTATTGAGAGCTGTGATTTAATATTGTCACAAGGCTTAGATGCATAGGACAGTCATATGGTTGTTCTTATTTTTTTTTTTTAAAAAAAGATGTATGGATTTTACACGACAGGAAATTAACAGAGAGTAGGAGAGAGGGAGGGAGGGAGAGAGGCAGAGAAAGAGAGAGATCTTCCATTTCCTGGTTCACTCCCCCAATGGCTACAACAGCCAGGCCTCAGCCAGGCCAAAGGCAAGCTTCAAAAACTCCATCCGGGTCTCCCTTGTGAATGTAGGAACCTAATCACTTGGGCCCTTCTCCGTTGCTTCCCCAGGCGTGTTAGCAGGGAGCTGGATGGGAAGTGGAGCGGCCGGGACTTGCACTCAGTGCTCACAGGGGATGCTGACGTCACAGATGCAGCATTGCCCGCTGTGCCACAGCACAGGCGCCTGTACGGCTAATTTGGCTGTGTTCCCCTGCAGCTCCCTGTTGAGTGTGCTGCTCCCAGAGAGAGATGCCCTTTTCTGTAATTCATTTGTATATGTGTTCCCCATATGCCTTTCCCTGCCCCTAGTGGTTCTATGAAACTGTTTGACACGATTTTACTTTTAGAGGAGCCAGGGGCTCTTCTAGACTGAATAAAGAAGTGAGTGCATCTTAGCCACCTGTCAGTTCCCCTGTGCACAGCGTCCTGGGAGGAACAGCTGTCCGGCAGGGAAGTGCACATGTTTGCCACGGTAGCAGAGCCCTGGGCCCCTGGAGGGGAGAGCTGGGCCCTGGCAGTCAGTGCTGAGCTGGGCCGGAGGCAGGTGGCACGTGCAGCCGGAGAGCTGAGATGGAGCTGAGAGCTCCGACTTGCCCTAAGTGGCCTTTAGGTGCTATTTAGAGTTGGGTGAGGGTTTGTTTTGATTTTCATTTTCATTTTTTCCCCCTTGAAATCCTCAGTAGTTTTCAGCATTATGGGATTGATCTGCTTGCCTGAGGAGCCAAGAGGCCCAGGGCAATTGCATTATGCTCCAGTTGACTGAAGATAGTCCAACATGCACACCCAGCCTGGGAGAGACACTGAGAAATACAAAACTCTGAAGGTGGTGAGGTGTCAGGGTGAGGGCAGTGCTGGCTGAGAGTGGGAGGACAGGATTCCAAGGAACCAGGGAGGGAGAGTGGGGGGCCCGGAAGTGCACGGCAGCACACTCCAGTTTCTGGACATGTCACCACCAAGGTTGCTTCCTGATGCTTGTGCACAGCGACACTGACTTACAGACAGACTTCTCCTGAGAATGTGCAATCAGTGCTTTACATTGTTTGTCTTGGTTTTACTTGCAGAGTACACAAGCACAACATTTGGTGGTTGCTGTTCTCTGGGGTCGGGGGAGCCATTTAGGTGCTAGCAGGTGCTAGGAGGGAGTACAGTGCCCTGGGCTGGCAGGCAGGCTGAAGGGTGTGCCATGAGGTGACAGAGGAAGTTGAGACAGCCATGCCCATTTACATGGAAACAAATGAGACTCCCAGAATGAGGTAGAAAAATGAGAGAGGATGAGAACTCCTGGGTGAGAAGCGGGAAGGACCTGGGTCAGAGTCCGTGTGCATCTGCTGCAGGTCCCTGGGAACCTGGAAGGGCAGAGCACTTGCCGGGTCTCTCCTTTGGATCTGGGGGTTGTTTCTCTAGGCCAGGGATGGCAAGGGTGGCAATGAACTCACTTCCTTCAGATGCAGAAGAAAAAGGTGGGCTGCTATTACTCTGACCTCGACCTTGGGTCTTCCTATAAGGCTGAAAATGGGAGTCATGAAGAAAACAAGCTTTTACTGAGCAGGCACAGGGCACCCTCCCTCCCATCATGAGGAACTCAGCTCCCTGCACAACACTGGGTCATCTCCAGGGAACCCGTGTTGCTGGCTTCCATTGGAATGTCTTCAGGTAGAACGCACGCAGTGACTACCTGGTAGTTTTTCTGCCCATCATAAAAGATTTTTCAATTTTCTCCTTCCCCACTCTGCAGCCTCCCACACCTGCTATCCCTGGACATAGGATGAGGGCCACGGACATGCACAAAAGGACATGCCTGAGTGGTGGCTCTGTGTCCCTGTGCCTCTCCAGGCTCCCTGTGTGGCCAGGCGGTACCCAGGAGTTGTGAATGCCCTTTGCCCCCAGGATGACTTCTGAGCTGGTGTCTTTCTGTTTGCCTCTTGGTTGGGATTGCACTAGTGTCACCACCATGCTGAAGTGGCCAGTGGAGACCTTGAGACCTTCCTGCCTGGGCTGTGGTTAGGGCTGCAGCATTTGCAGTGTGGGCCAGCTGTGAAGGCAGGTTCCAGTACCTGGCCCCAACACGGTCATGGCTAGGTGGCCAAGACGTGCCCGAGTGAGCAGCTCACTCTCAGGTTGCAGGCAACTCCATTCTCTGGGCATTTGAGCTTTAACATAATTGGAAATCAGTCTCATTAGAATGCTTAGTTAAACCATTAACATTTAATGTGGGGTTTTAAAAAGTAAGTAATTTTGAGTGGTAGAGGGAGAGAGAGGGAGAGAAATAGAGAGTGAACTTCTGTCTTCAGGTTCACTCCCCCAGATGCCTGCATTGTCTGGGGCTGGGCCGGGTAGAAGCCAGGAGCCAGGAACTCCATGCGGGTCTCCTTTGTGGGTGGCAGGGACCCCACCAGCTGATCTTGCATCTGCTCCGCCCTTCTTGCTCCCCGCCCAAAGGTGCCTTAGCAGGAAGCTGGAATTGAAAACACAGCCAGGACTCAGCCTCAGGGACCCTAGGATGTGCTGCAAGTGTGTCAGATGATGTTGTTAACCGCTGCAGCAAATGCCTGCCCTGGAATTAGTCATTTCTGATCTGGAGAGTGAATTGATTTATTACTTGTTTTTTTTAAAGGTATTGCTTGTTGAGAAATTTGCCTGTATAAAATGAGTTTTAAAAATTAAGACAAGGGAAATGCAGATAAAGATACATGGCTTTGTCATCCAGGTGAAATGATTACCATTTCTGGTATTTCCTTTTCTGTTTTTTTTCCCGGTGCACATGTCAGAACCTTTGAGCAGTTAGTAGAATCGTGCACTTGTCTGCCTTTCTGAAAGACGTTTATCCTGATGCACCGTGAGCCCACACCCTCGGTCTGTGGATAGTTCTCCCCACTAAGACTGTGTGTGCAAACACTGTGCTCTATTACCGAAACATTTTTTCCTAAATAGTTATTTGAACAACAGAGTGACACATAGGGAAGAAGAGGGAGGGAGGAAGAGAATGAATGATTCCTGTGTTGGTTAATTCCTCAAGTTCTCCTAGGAGCTAGGGCTAGGACAGGCTGAGCCCAGGATCCCATAGCTCTGTCCAGGTCACCGTGGGGTGGACAGTGGGAGAGCCGTCTTCTGCTGCCTTCGAGGCATGCATTAGCACCAAGCTAGATTGATAATGGAGTTGATCGCACTTCGGAGTAGGCACTGCAGCATGGGATATGGCAACCGAAGTGGTGCTTTAACCGGCTATGCCACAACACCCGTGCCAGAAGCATTTTTTTTAGGTCATAACATCAAAGGAGAAAATATCCAGTCATAATTTAATTGTAGATAGCAAGTATTTTAAGCAATGCCTTTCCTGTTCCCATTATCACTTTCCTCATCCATTCCTTCTTTGTTCTCTGCAAATGTGTGATTAGGTACATATCCATCTTTATTTTCATCTCTTTCCAATTTTTGTACCAAGTAATCTATTTGGAGTTTATTTTGAATCGTTATTCTTTTCTCCCAGATGGCTTTTTAAACATTTCTTTGAAAGAGTTACACAGAGAGAGAGAGAGAAGAGGGAGACAGAGGGAGGGATTTTTATGCACTAGGTAACTTCCCAGTTGGCTACACTGGCCAGGGCTAAGGCAAGACTGAAGCCTGGAGCCAGGAACTTCCTCCAGGTCTCCCACATGGATGCAGGGTCTCCAAAACATGGGCCATCCTCTGCTGCCTTCCCCAAGCCATTAGCGGGGGCTGGATCAGAAGTAGAACAGCCAGAATATGGACTGGAGCCTGTATGGGGTGCCAGCATTACAGATGCTGCTTTATCTACTATGCCTCAGCACTGGCCTCATGAACTAACTCTTCTGGTCCCCGTGGGTCTCCCTGGGTCAGTATCTACTCTTTGCATATATAGAGTGCTTCCACCCACTGGTTCATTTTCAAAATGGCTGCAAAGGCCATGGCTTAATTAGACTCATGCCAGGAGCCTGGAACCCCGTGAGGGTCTCCCACATGTGTGGCAGGCATCTAAGAACTTCTGTCTGCTGTTGCTTTCCCAGATGCATTTATCAGGAGCTGGGTTAGAAAGAGAACAGCTGAGAATGGAATCTATGCTCTGATAGGAAATGCCCACATGGTGAGCTGTGGCTTAAGTCTGCTGCCCCCGATGCATGCCCCACCTTATTTTTCACCCTTATTGCTGATCCCTGGTGAGGCTGTGAGCAAGTGCATGGTCCTTGTGCTGGGACGGCTGGGCCCTGAGCTCCATCATGTCTCCCTTTTGTTTTGAAGATTTGTTTATTTTTATTTGAAAGGCAGAACTGCAGAAAGAAAAGAGAGAGAGAGATTGATCTTCTATCTACTTTCATTCCCCACATGGCCTCACTGAGTAGAGGCTGAGGAGGCAGTCTGAAGCCAGGAACCAGGAGCTTCCTCCAGGTCTCCCATGTGGGTGCAGAGGCGCAAGGCTTTCCCATGGCATTAGCAGGGGGCTGGATGGAAATGGAGCAGCTGGGGCTAGAACTGGTACCCGTGTGGGATGCGGACGGTGCAGGTGGAGGATTAGCTGCTAAGCTGTAGCTCCCATCGTGTCTGTTATCCCTCTCGTAGGAGCAGAAGACAGGCTCATTTTTCTGAGCTTCAGTTCTTCTGTTGGGAGGAGGCGACAGCTCTGTGCTTGGGCGGGGTGGAGTGGGGTGGGTGAGACCATGTTGGGAAGTGTTGGGCACATGGTAAGTAGTTAGGGGGTGATCACCGCTGCTGTTACTGATGCAAAATCGCAGTAAGCATGTCAGCCACAGACAATCCCCATTTTCCCTGCGAAGTCCCAGGTCCCTCCAAATGGGGGGAGTTAACACGTCCGTGCTTCCGTCTAAGCAGGACTGCTCCATTCCCCTCTGTGTGTGCTTCCGTAGGCACTGCGCTTTTCCACGCAGGCATTTTGTGTTTGCCTGTTACATGTATTTGTCTGTGTACTTGCTAAGGCAAGTACTAACTTTAAAAACACTGAATTAAAATGCTGTCCCCTATTGGCAAATATGGCGTGAGACAAACCTTCGAGCCTTCTCCCTGGCTTTTCATAAAATCCCAGTTCTCCCTTCTTGGTTGTGGAGGGAGGTGTGTGTGATAATGTACTAAGGTACAGGAGGGAAAAAACCACAACAGTAAGTTGGAGGCAGAACTTGGTCCATGTGGTTTGAGTGACAGGTTCTGTATGGGAACTGCTGGGGCAGAGGTGGGGAAAGGCTGCCTCTGGAGCAGGGGCGAAGGGATGAGGGGCAGAGGCAAGAAGGCTCCAGGGGATTCCAGAGGTTCCTGGATAACCATTGTGGAAGGTCTTCTGTCTGTGGGTCAGCTCCTCCTGGTGGACAGAAGAGGGCGCTGTGATGATTTCCTTGCTAAGTGCCTGGTCCTTAAGTTAACAGGTGAGGTTGGAGGCAGGTGCCTGGAGGCGTAACTAATGCATTAAGGTTAGGGTCGCGTTGTGGAACTGCACTCGCTGTGACCCAGATCTTCTTCCAATGCAAGGATGGTGTCATACATGTTCATGTGTGGAAGGGAAGGTGTGTGTGTGTGTGTGTGTGTGTGTGTGTGTGTGTGACAGAGAGAGAGAGAGAATTTATCATTCAAGGTTGTGGATGAATGGTTTTTTCCATATCAATATTCCGAAAGTGAACAACAGGCAGTTTTAATTTACCACAGCCAAAATGCTAGCGGATCTTCATTTTGCTTTATTTGATGATGACAGCAGCAAAATAGGTACGTATATGTTTTCTTTAAAAATTTATTTGAATGGCAGAAACAGACAGATGCAGGCTTCCCATGAGCTGGTTCACTTGCGATGGCCGGAGCTGGGGCAGGTAAAGCCAGTCCCTTGGAACTCAAGCTGGTCTCCCACGTGGGTGGCAGGAAGCGCCCACCTGAATCGCCCTGTGCTGCCTCCTGGGGTGCAAACTGGCAGGATGCTGGAGTCGGAAGGGTTCCCTTAGATGCAGATGGCCCAAGCAGCAGCATTGACACTGCCTCATCCGGCATTCCAGGCCTAGTTTTATGAGAAGGTTGGTTTGATTTATTTGCTAGGCAGAAGAACAGAGGGAGAGACACAGGAAGATTCTACTCCCCAGGTGACTGCAACAGCCAGGACTGGGCCAGGCTCAAGTCAGGAGTCTGGAACTCTAGCCAGGCCTCCCATGTGGGTGGTGGGGGCCCAAGCAGCAGGGTCATTTTCCCTCATGTTCCCAGATGCCTAAGCAGGGAGCTAGATCAGAAGCAGGGTACGTGGGACTTGAATGGGGATTTGGATATGGGATGCTAGTGTAACCCATGGTGCCACAATAGTGGTATCTCACCCCTAATTCTTGCAGTTGTTGTTTTTACACAAACATAATTTTAAATTGCAGGAAAAATTCTTTTTTTTTTTTTTCTTTTTGGTTTTGTTTAGTTGAAACAGAGAGAACTAGCTCTCCTCCTCCTGGTTTTCTCCCCAGAAAGCAGTGGCTGGGGCTGAGCCACGATGAAGCCAGGTCTCCCACGTGGGTAGCAGCTGGGCCGTCTTCCACTACTGTCCCTGGCCATCAGCAGGGAGCTGGATTGGAAGTAGAGCAGCCAGGACACCCAGCTGGTGCCCACGTGGGATGCCAGTTTTGCAGGTGGTAGATTTACCTCTATGCCACCATGCCAGTACCACAAGTAAAATCTCAAATCTACATTAGGACAGCATTAAAATGGTCAAAAGCTGTCAAAGATAAATCTTGAAACTTAAAAAAGTATATAAATTGTCCTCTTCAGTGAATTCAAATAATGACTTTGAGTCTGGCCATAGAGGTGGATATGAAAGCAGTTCGTGGCTTTCTCAACTAACACTTCTTCATACTTTTCCCCCTTGAACAGGTCAAAAACCACTTTGCGCCGCAGCTGGAGCAGTTCCACGGCTGCGGGTGGCCTCGAGGGGAGCGTCAGGCTGCACGAGGGGTCCCAAGTCCTGCTCACGAGCTCCAACGAGATGTGTACCGTGAGGTACGTGGGCCCCACAGACTTCGCTTCTGGCATCTGGCTTGGCCTAGAGCTCCGAAGTGCCAAGGGCAAGAATGATGGCGCCGTGGGAGACAGGCGCTACTTCACCTGCAGGCCAAACCACGGCGTCCTGGTGCGACCCAGCAGAGTGACCTACCGGGGGATAAGTGGGTCCAAGCTTGTGGATGAGAACTGCTGACGTTACCCCCGAAGTGCTCAGTGAGCTGACATACACGTTACACGCACACAGACACACGAGTCCGTGGCAAACGGCTCACTTTATTTAGCCATCTTTTACATGCTGAAAACATGTTGTGATGTTCAGAGAATCCATGGTAACCATCTAGAGAGACTTGGGAGACAGGGTCCCGCTATTCCCGTGCCCATTGGGCACTTCGTGGTGGGTTTCCTGTGGTGCCATGCTTCTGAGTGGCTTCCTGTTCTTCTGTGCATTATTATTTGCAAATACAGCAAAAGGAGCATAGCTAAGGGACTAGTGGGCTTATTTTTTTTATCTTGATTGTTTTGGGGGGCGGGTTAAAGCTCTTTGCTCCCTGGGCCATGCCTCCTCTGGAGCTATGGTGGCAGTCCTCCGGGGTTGGAGGGTACCTGGAGTGGCCATGTTGTGGCCCTGAGGCCACATGCAAAAATCCCAAATCTCTCCCATGCTGGGGGCCGGCAGATGAGGAGTGGAACGTGGGTCTCCTGACCCCTGCCACAGTGTTCTGTCCCCTTTGCAAAGCACGCGAGCTCAGATGCTCCTTCTGCCGTGTTGCTGTCTCGTGGACATGAGCTACGAAAAGGCCACAGTGCAGGTTGATGAAGTTAAGTCATCATGGGAGGGTTTTTTTTTGCACATACTTGCTTAACTTCTCTTTTTTGGGGGAGGGGAGGACATTTTTAACACATGCACGCACACGCGCGCACACACACACACACACACACACACGAAGCACTTTTAAAACATGATGCACTTTCATCTCTGTGGACAGTTTGCCTGCCATCTTTTCCTCCTGGGATGTGAAAGGCATTCACAAAGAATGCATTAAACACAAGAGAGCAAATCAAGAGGTGTATGTGAGGTGTTTCAAGGTTTCTGACTTGTGAGGGTTTTATGTCTGTCTGCTTGTGTCACTCAAGCTGGTGTTGGCTCTGCTGTGGCTGCAGCCACTGCGTGTCTAGCTGCGGCAGGATTGTTGCAAAGCTGCAGGCCTGGGGTATGGCTTCATTCCCCCGTCTGGCGCACATTGACAAACGAAGCTTCCTAAGAGGGTGAGCCGCATCAACATTGTTTGTGTTGTGTGTGCACACTGGAGTTTATGTCCTGTCTGTGTAAAGGTTTCTCATTTGTTGTAAGTATTTGAACTACCACAAAAGACTGGAACAGTTTGTTACCTAAGATTAAAAGTATCCTTCGGAACGGAGCTTGCTTTGTGCTTAGGGATAACGTCAAACTCTTTTGCAATATATTGTTTTAAATCTAACTTCTGTCACTTTGCTGCCTTTTTTTTTTTTAAGGTGTGGTATTTAAAATATCGCTAGAGCTATTTTCCTGAAAGACATTTACAAAATAAGGCTGCTTTATAATCGAGGAATATTTTTATTGATTAAAGAAAATGATTGTACTGCAATTCAAAAAGTAAACTTATTTTACTATGGATATATATATTATTTCTTAAAGATATGTTTATACCTTAACATGAAATCCATGACTACACTGAACTTGGGTGTCCATAATTTTTTCTGCTAACTATGCAACACTCTAAGTAGGACAGTAGCGCCAACACTGGATTTATTTTTGAGGTCAAATTCCAACCCATGTTAACATGTTAAGCTTGCAGCAGGTTACATACAAACTAGGTGTTTTTACTTATGTTTTGCTTATTGAGTGTCAAAGTTTATTTGAGCATTAATAAAAAAGGGAAGCTGTCTGATTTTGGAATCTTGTCATTTGTCCCTTCTGCAACTCTTCTTTTCTCAGAGACTCGGGGTACGTAATTTCTCTGTGTTATTTGTCGTCAGAGTACTGGCTTGGATCCGTCCTGTGCCATCGCTGTAACATCTAAGAAAGCTTCATGCCTCGTGCCCCACAGGCCAAGCTGTGTCCTGAGCCACACTCTTGTTAGTGTTGCTTTGGTGAACAGGAAGTCACTTAAGAATGCATTCCTGCGGTTTTCTAAAATTGCTTAGCTTTCTCACATGGAGAGGATTCCACTTGTTTATCTTAGGCTAACACAGACCACATTGAATTTAGACTATAAATATGATGTATGGACATTCAGCTTTCCAGAAAGCTTTGTTTCTATATTTCCGGGTCGTTGGCGAGAATACTTTGACATGCTGGAAGAATGTTCAGACACAGACGTTTGCTGACTGAGCCGAGGACCTGCCTTCCTACACCCTCCTCACAACACCTGAGCATTTACTGTCCCTTGGCTTCCTGTCCTCCCTGTAGACGTTGGCAGTTTTATCCGTCACTTTATTCCCGCCCTCAGTAAGCCTCCTGGGCACTTAGCCGACACTCAGCGGATGTTTGTGGGTGAACAGAGGCAGCGACAGGCATGGACTGTTGACAACATGGATGCTCTCTGACTGGCATTGGGTAGGCAGCCTTGCCACATTAGGAACAGGAAGGTCCATTTCTTTACACGGGAGCAAAGAGGACAAGGAAGGTGTGACTGTAGCAGTCCAGCTGGAGCGCCCCCAAAAGTAAGAGTTAAAATAAAAAGATGGGGAGTGGTTGGGGCAGGAAGGGTTAGAGAAAGAACAGGAGCAATTTCTTTGTTGGTCCGATGGTCATTTAGGCAGCATGTCTCATGCCTGGTTCGTTGTAGTTCAGCCTAATGGGGTCCTCTATGGATTTCCTCTCAAACTCACTGATGACTGAACATGGTATTTTTCAAGTATTTTTCAGGTCAAATCAGACTGACATGAAAACCAATCATGTTAAAATAATATGTACAACTCGAAGCCCTTCTTTTTATTCTTTCTCTAATAGAACTTCTGAGATTCAGCTTATAACTCAGCTGGTAGTGTTAATGACACTGGTTGCCCCTGCCAGTTCTTGTTAGGAAATGTAGGCGTTACCATCCAATATCTTTGGGGAAAAATATCTTAAGACGGATTTAAAAAATGAATTTGAATCGTCATAAAATGACTCAGATTGATGGCAGGGGAAATGGATTTTGTATTATAGACAATGCCCAGATAGAGTATCATAAAGCAGTGAGCAAAGGGAAAAGTTATGATCACCTTCCTTGAATCTGCTAATAAAAGTGGATTTTGAACAGTAATTCTGAGAGATTATACACATCCATTATAGATAATGCTTCTCTCTTTGGTGAAGGGAACAGGTTTGGGAGTTGAGAAGTATTACAGATTCCCAAGAGTCTGCTGCCCTGCCGCCATGTCGCATGTCCTGAAGTGTGACAAAGGGAAACCCCAGATGTGTTCTGCTTCAGAAGCGCAGCTAGCTGCTCACCAGTATACAGATTCCTGTCTGTGAAATTCATATCTGAGAGCCATGAGATGCTATGTACACGTTACACTGAGAATAATGCAGAATTAAATCCCACTCCATCCCCAACTATTAGATGTAGTCAAATGTAGGAAAATCACCCATGGCTTTCAAAATCATCTTGTCGGGATGTCTAACTTTGCTGTCTTTGTGGATTCCCTGCTTCTAGATCCACCGTAAAACTGTATTATTCACAACAGGTTTCCCCAAATTGTGATCCAATTGCATTGATCGTGCAATAATCCTACGAAGAGGAAGTGTCTCCACTTCTATGGGAATTGGTAAAGAAGGTTCTTTAATGAATCGCCCGCCCATGATAGCTGAGAAAGGCCAGAATCCACAGGCACTTCTTGGTCACCAGCATCTTGCTCTTTGCCAAAGAACCTGCAGTGGTAGCAACTGTAGGAGAAGGGTGGTGTGAGTTTGAAGGCATGGAGGGTATAAGATGGACATGACTCCTGGTCAGAAAACCATCCTTTCTTAATTTCATTTTGCTATAGTAATAACTTTGTTAAGGTAAAAATTTGTTATCGTGACAATTTTATCATTTGTTAAGGAGCTTTTTGAACGGAAAAGGTTAAAGTGAACTGACATTAAACTTTCTAATCTGTGTTGATATAAAGATTGCCTTTATTTTGGCTCACTGGGATTGTGCACTTGAATTAATTGTCTGACTCTCAATGAATTCAGAGTCAGGTTCAAAGAAACACACATGCACGTGTACACTTCAGTCACCTTCTGATGGTTTTGGAGTTTATGTTGGACACAGTGAAGTCTTACAGAATCGCACACTTCCATAATGGAAGGGGGCCTAGAAACCAAGCCTTTCATTTTCCAAAAATGAGAAAGTGAGAGTTTCAGTAACTTGCCCGAGCCACACAGGTCAGGAAGCTCAGTCTGGCACCTGGATCTCTTAACTCCTGCCCGGAATGGTTGCTGTTTCCCAGAGAAAGAAATGAATGCCCAACTACCCAGGATGAGGGCACCACCTGACTTTGGACCAACCTGGTATTTATCCATGTTGGCAAAGAACTCCTCTTCAAATATAAACATAAGTATTCTAAGGAAAGCTGGTACCCTAGTTGCCAAGGCTTAATGTGATTTGGTTGGAGAAGACCGCCTTTCCACTAACACCAGCTGCCTTGGGCTTAGCAAAGAGACATTGGTTGATGACAACATCTCATGGCAGATAGTCACTGACATTGCAGAGGGGTGACCTGACGGGGAGGAGTGTGAGAAACGGACAGGAGCAGCGGTTGCCACTAGCACTATTCTGGGGTTCTACTGGGAATAAGGCTTGACATGTGAGGGGTAGTCTGTTGGTTTTCCATTGACTGAATGCTGAAGAGAAGGAATTTTCCAATTTAGTTTTGTAGTCATGGTTCATTTTAACTTCCTACTTTCCAGTCCCCACTAACGCGATGTGATTGTTCTTATCATGCCTTTCCAATGTTTTCAAGTTGCTAAGCTAGAGTTAAAAAAAAAATTGCTTTGTACTTGAGCAGTGCATTAAAAGCTATGAAACACCTACTCCGGATGCCAAATGAACACACCATCTTAGGAGAAACTGTACTGCTTGCTCTCAGAATAAAATAATTCTTATTTTAGGGCACCATGGTGAGGATTATGGGAATGTAGGTTTTGCTTTGCATGTTCACACAACACGGGGAACCATCTGCTGTGCTGAAATTAGGAGTCAAATTGTTTGTCCTCTTGGGATGCATTTAAGAAATCATTAGCTAAAGACAGATTGACAACACACTTCATGCAATTTTATGAATCTCATCGTGTTCAGGAGAGTCTGAATTCATAGGCGTCTTGTTGAGGTCTACAGAGCTCATTATGAATTTTAATCCTGCGATTACTAGGGAAAATGTATTCAAATAGCCCAGTCATTTACAGTTTCTTAGGAATGTGCCCTGCAAATTTGGAAATGAAGGGCCCACATTTTACAGAATGAAGTTAATCCGCAGTTATATAAGGTCTCACAGCTATGGGGTTTACCAAGCACTACATGGAAATGACAACATTGAAAAAAAAAAACTGATTAAACAGCTTTGTGTTTCTGATGCTTCTTTTTAACACTTAGAATTTCAGTTCAGTGGAGAGTCTTTGTATAATTCTTTTGAGCTGAGAAGAATTGAGACCTGGTAGGGCTTTGGCTGTGCTGTCACTGAAATGGTGCTGGATGAGGTAAAATGAGGCACCATGGGGAATTTAAGAGGGTTGGCTGCACACGGCTCAGGAGTTGCCTACAGCTGAGCGTGGACAGAGATGCACTGACCTGCCTGCCCAACCTACCTCCCCTGGGGCTTCCGTGGGTTGGAGGGGACTCCTTATGCTTTCACACAGCCTGTGATCTCCCAGAGGGTGGCAATGAAGGAAAAGTATTGCCCAGCCCCTCCTCCATGGAGATACCAACAAGTCAGACAGCCCCAAGGAGACAGGGGATCCAGAAGAGCCAGTCTTTGAACCACTGAGTGGAGTATACCCTTAGAACAAAATCAAGTTGATGCCTGCTGTTTTGGTTTGCTGGAATTGTGTGGTGCTCTGTGTTAATTGTTCATTTCCCACAAATGGCCGGTTTCCCAGTAGAACACCGGTGGATTGGTAGGTCTCCACAGAGACATAGGCTGGAATTGATTATGCTCGTTGTGCCTTCACTCACGTAGCTTCTGCACACATTAGCCATGCTTTGGGTGGAGCCTTCAATCATAGTTTGGGACGTGATCCCAGTCTACAGGATCGGTGCGAACTGCTGTAGCCACAATGGTTGGAACACGAGTTGAAAGGACAGGAGTCAAGTTTAATATGCAGATACCTGAGGGTTATGCTGACTCAAATGAAACATCCTGAAATCATCACAGCTCAGGGTGGAGTTTTTTATTTACTTATCCACATATACAGGCTTTTATGATGTGGCTATCATTACATGAACATCAATATCAATAACGACGATTAGAGAATATTGACAAACCAATCTTAGTGGCAGTAAGGCACAACCTGAAAATGTAATGCATTTGTAGCTGTTGTCTTAAATGGAAAGGGCCTAGACATCCTTCTACTGATGACAATAAAGAGTTGGCCATTTAGTCGTGTTTCATGCTCCCTGCTGAGCTGGTCACTGGTGTTACAGAGCTGAAAGTGTTTTCAGGAACCCACAACTCCTGTGTCACCATCCTCCAGGAGAGCGCTTTTTAAGTGAGATGCTTGAGTCCCTTGGGTTGTGAGTGAGAAAGGTGCCTTCACAGCTACACTACTTTGGTGAGTGGCATGAGCCCAAACTTGACCTGGATGGCTATTTCAAGACTGATGTATCTTCTTCGTGTATGTCTGATGAAGCTACTGTTGGCCGCCCAGCAGAGAAGGACGAGCCGTCCCCAGCGTCTCAGGACATCTACAGATGTTCAGAGCTTCCAGCTCTAGGGCAACAAACCGTCCTCAGGAATGGCTTAGAGTGGAATGGCTTGCCTGCACTCGAAGGGATGCTGTTCACATAGGTGAAGCTGAGAAGGGCCGAAGGGAAGAGACATCTGCTCACATGCGCATGCACACACAGGCCTTTGGCTTGGGAATGCTTGGACCCTAGCAAGCAAACAAACAAACAAACAAAAAAAATCTGTTCTCCTAAAGAGAGAGCCATCTCAGCACAGGAAAGAAACGGGCCGTGAGCACAGGGGAAAAGCAGAAAGGGCAAAATAGTGAAACTGCCCGCAGAACACGGGCACCTGAGTACACACGTGTGACACTGGGCAGACTGCCGACTTGTGCGTGTGTGTGGAATAAATTACATCTGGGAAAGCCAAGCTCAGGCCTCCCACGGTGACCTACCACGGTCACCCTCCACCCTCCACGCTGTCCTTAAGACCCTCCTTTGCCAACTAGAGGAAAACCACTTGGTCCCAGTGTGTCTCTGACCGCTGCCCGATGGCAGTGTGCCTAGTTGGGCAGGTCTGCACTCCGGCAAAGGAAGGTCACAGGATGAGACGAAGCATGGCAGGAGGACTCGGTGCCGGAGTCCTGGTCCAGCAGCCCTGGACGCTGGGTCCTCTCTGTGGCCAGCTTTTAGCCGAGGGCGGTCTCATGCATAGGGGTCTGTGCTGCGGTGTGCTCGCTGCTGCTGCTGCTGCTGTGGCGGCATGTGTTTGGTTTGGAAATGGTTCGGGTTTGTAATCAAGTCCTTTGAGATTTGGATCTGGCGGGCAGCCTCCCGTTCAGCATTTTGCCCTCTTAAGGCATGAGGTGTATCAGTGATGTGTTGGTATCTGAGTCTACACTGGTCTTTTCCGCCCACAGCGCTTGGGATGGTGGCCTTTGGTGGTGCTAAGTATGGAGATATATGTGTTCTGTTTAATCCTGAGGGTCCTGGTGTCCTTAGAATGAGCTGTGAATCTGCACACGGAGAGCGTCTACCCTCCCCTAGAGAGGCTGTCTGCAGTTTTCCTGCCCCAAGCAAAGAATGTCTTTCCCAGGCTGAACTGTTGGGAATAACTCCTTTATTATTTCTCTTCCTTCTCCCACGTGGCCAAGGGAAGGTGACAGCTAAGACTCCAGCTAGGGAACACAGAAGCAGCTAATTCGGACTACACTGAAGCTGAGCACACACACAGTTTGGAAGGAGCATAGCGGGGTGAACAACAACCATGCATGGAAGCCTCGGGCAACCGGATCCGGGCCTCGTCGTCTTTCTGTTCTCTTTCCAAATGAAGGAACGACTTAGCAGAGATGGACCCGTGCTCCAACCTTTCTTAAGCATCTCGAGAATACAGCGTTGGATGTGGCACTTGAGAACAAGTTGGCACGAAATGGAAAGTGACTGTCTGGTCTTTGGGTGGAGGAGTTGTGTGTCCCCCTCCCTGCTTGGCTGGGCTGGGGGGCGCCCAAGGGAGGGGGGAGAGAGAGAGAGAGAGAGAGAGAGAGAGAGAGAGAGAGAGAGAGAGCGAGCGAGAGCGAGCGCAAGCAGTGGTGCAGGGAGGGTGGGCTCAGGGCCCAGGCTGCTTGCCGCCAGCCTTGGCTTTCAGCACGGGGTCCTCGTAGCGGCCGGCCCCCGGGCCAGCGGCGGCCTCCAGCGGCAAGCCCTGCTGCTGGTAGCCGTAGTTGACATTCCCGCACGGGAAGTGGCGCAGCCGGAACAGCGGCACCTCCTTCATGCTGGCAGTCAGCGCCGCCGGCTCCAGGAGCAGGGAGCCCCCCGGGAGGCGGCCGGGGGCCACACCGCCGCTGCTGCCGCCGCTCGGAGGGACAGTACAGCTTCCCTCGTGCCCCGGGTGCCCCCGGTCCTGCGGCTCCTTTTTGGCCAGGGCATTGTTCTTTCTGGCGGGTTTCTCGGTAAACCACGAGCCGTAGGTCGGGTTCCACAGGCTGGTCGGCTTGTTTCTGGACGCCTGGCCCTTGGGCAGCTCTGACGGCACGGTGGACTGGGCGAAGGCCATGTTCACGTGTCCCCCCTCTATGGCTGACCCTCTAGGGCCTCGGGCGGGGACCTCGGCCGCTGCGGGTTTCTTGGCGACTCTGCCGGAGGAAGTGGCCGGCAGAGCAGGTGGCGCGGCTGGGGCGGGCACCTCCTCCCGCGGGGCCTGGGCTGGAGATACAAGCAGCGGAGGGACGCCCTCGGGGTCCTTGGGCCGCGTGGGCACCTTTTCTTCCTCTTCCACCAGGGGCCCGTATTCAATGGGCAGGGCGGTGTTGATCACATCAGGGTCCTAGGTTGGGAGAAAGGAGTTGATAACAAGTTTGCCTCCCCAGAGACTGGGAGACTCCTGGTTTGGATAATCTCATTTAAATGCATCCTTCAGAGGAAAAAACAAATACCTTCCCCCCCCACCCCCCCAGTATTTGTAGGAGGCCCTGGGGAGCAGGAAACGAAGGAGACAGTCTCCCTGTGGTGAAGATCTTGGAGGGTGCGTTCCAGGGGTGTTAGACCATGGGAGCAGGGGTGCAGCCAGGTGCTTGGGGCAGGAGACCTCTGGCCTCATTTTACACATGAATGCATTCATTGGAAACATACGTAGATTAATCTTCCATTTCAGTATGTTCCCCACAATTCTTTCAAGTACGAAAAATTAAATTCTATGAGTATTTGATATCTAGTGTGTGTGTGTGTGTGGAGGGGGGGATGGACAGAGCCACCCTTATGTCGGCTCTCCAGGGTTGCTTCTGCTCTCTTCCTAGCTGTCCCTCCCCCGTGTCCCCGTGATGTGCAGCTTCCGTGTGAGTGCAGCCCAGCCACGCATGGCAGGCAGTCCGTTGGAGGGGCTGCCTGCTGTGGAGGGCCGGGGCCCTTGGTGAGAGCGTGGGAACCGCTAAGTGCTTGGAGGAAAGCCACCTGTGTCACCTCCACCACTCCGCATGCCATCTACCTCACAGTAACAGATGGAGACCCAGAGGCCTCGGGAGAGAAAACCTGAATTTGGGAAATTTCGATAATATTTTGTGCAAACTGCAGAGGGACTCCTGTCGCTGGGGGTTAACAGAAAATGCACATGGGTTCAGCGTTCATTTTGAAGGGTTTAGGAATAGGGGCTGTGGCATCGGGGAAAGCCACCACCTGCGATGCTGACACCCCACATGGCCACTGTTCTGAGCACCAATTGTTCCAGTAACGACCGGGGCCCTACTAATGCCTGGGGAAGCAGAAAATAAAAACATAAAAAATAATAAAAGCCCAAGTTTTTGAGCCCCTGTACTCATGTGGGAGACCTGGATGTGTCTTCTGGCTTTTGGCTTCGGCCTGGTCCAGCCCTGGCCTCTGAGGCCAGCTGGGGAGACGGAAGACTCTCTCTGTGTCTCTCCCTCCCTCTTTCTCTGCAATGCTGACTTTTATTAAATCAATCTCAAAGAAAAGAATCGAAGTAACTGCCTCCTGATACTTTTTACTCTTGCTCACCATGAGCCATTTAAATGACCTCACAGACCCCTTGAACACCCCGAAGAGGGCACCTGAGGGGTCTTCCAAGGGCTGATGGGAAATGCATGTTATGGAAAAAACTTATGCATGGATTTCAGTGTTAGGCACCACAATAAACCTTAATTCCATGTTCCCTGAGCTTTTGGAAGTACCTTTGCGTACCCTATCTAAACTGTGACATAATAACCTAAGTAAGAAGTTGACAAAGTTCTCTGGAGTCACCGCAACACCTGAACCACACTCAGTCCCTAGCGACTGTAGGATTGAACACGGAAGTTGAGGATGCTGTGGTTTGTCATGTGATTCTTCCAGAACTCCCAGGCTTGGGATTAGAGAGCCCAGTGAGAAGAGAAGCATGGGAGACAGGCAAGGAGGGACGGTCACCTTCAGACAGAGCCTCCAGGGAGGGGTAGCTAGGGCTGCAGGCGGGTTGGGGATAGCCTTGAAGTAGAGGAGGTCGGTGGTGGGGGGACAGTGGACTGCCTGCTTCTGATGGGTATGGAACACCCAGAGGGGTAACTCGGGGAGTGGGTGGAGCATCCACACAGGTGCCAGTAGGAGTGCTGGGAAACCATGACTGGGCTGCCACTCTCCCGGCCCTAACTCCCCACCAGCAACCTGGAGGTGCTTCATGGGCCTCGGTGAACTGAAACACATGCTTTATGGGGTATAGAGGTTACCAGCAATGCTGGTCCTGGACCTTCTCCATATTATTTGGACCTGTAGTCCCGCAGTAGCTCTCACAGGGGTGGTTGGACATGGAGCTTCACAATTTCACGCTACTGCTGGTTATAAACTAGGGAAACAGATGTGTCCCATCCTGCTCAGAAGCTCTACTCCTGCTTACTCTAACAGGTGCCCAGCAGGGGTTGCATTAATAGCTGTGCAAGGAGCAGATTCCTAACTCTCACTGGGTGCCCCATGTCACATTCTGGTGAAGAAAAGTAGGAGCTGCCGGTATTGATTTTATCAATGGGGCAACAAAGATACCATCCTTTCATCTTACAGTTCTCTCCCCGACCATATATCTCATTCTCTGACTAGATATTTGCCATATAGAGGGGACGCTGGTCGGGGGGAGACCCTGTTTATACCTGGGTGCAGTATTCAATCCTCTCCAAGATGATGGCAAAGTTGGGCCTGTCTTCAGGTTGATGCTGCCAGCATTGAGTCATTATCCGATATCTAAAAGAGGAAGCATGTGAAGTAAACTCAGAAATCTGTGGTTGAAAACTCCGGGTCTCCCAGCATGCCACTTGGGGACCACCTGATTGGCAGATGCTGCCCCCTACTGATGGAACTAGGACTAGCGCTCAAAGGTGTGATACTTTGGGAGTAGCTGACAAAAACTAGCAGACATCCTGACATTATGTTAAACACAGCCCCCTTTATTTCCTTCCCAAATTAAAAAAAAAGCTTCAGCCACCGAATATACTAATTATATTTCCCATCCACCTTGCTCATGGGAAGGGGCTGAGGGCGCCAGGCCACAAAGCAGAAAGCTCAGGGAATGGACACAACTAAAGGAGATGCAGATCTATGGCGCAGGGGTGTAGGGTAGCAGGGCGGAGTCTAGAACACCAACTCCCAGGAGGTGTTTAAAGGTTATGAAACTGCTAAGCCCACAGCCTCTGGCCAGGCAATGGAGTCCCTTCCTGGGACATGTCACTGCTTTGCAGGGGCTGGGTGACTGGCCCAGCTATGGAAATCCCACCCCTACCCCTGTCTGGGGAGGCAGCTCTTTGCCCCTTCATCTCAGAGAAACACACGTGGCTCCAGACACTCTGTGAAAACAGCCACCGTGGGGAGGACCTGGCTGAGTTCCCAAACAAGTCATACACAGGCCCGGGGCAGTTCTTGGGCGGGTCCATCCGGCCTCCACTGGTGACAAACTCCAGCACCTCCTGGTTGCTTTTGCTGGGGTACGGCATGTATCCGAGGGAGAAGATTTCCCACAGCAGCACTCCGAAGGACCTGGGCACGGGGCAGAAGACACAGGTTTGGGTGGGGACACATATACACGAATTCCAGCTTTTGTCTCCTATGCTTTCTTTCTTTTTTTTCCTTTCCCCATAATAGAGAACTCTTAGACTGCAGGAAGAGTGAGAAAACACCACTGTGGTGTTCCATGAAAAGAGAACTATGGTTGGTATGTCAGTTTCTGTTTTGGTCAAGGTTCAAAGCTTAGATTTTTAAAAAATCACTATTATGGTCAGTAGGCAGTTTTGAACCTGGAGTTTTTGCACATTCCATTACAGAACACTTTCCATGCTAGTACATCTTGTAAACAGAACTTGAAATGGTTGCAAAAACTTCTGCTTAGCAGTTGTGTGACAATTTCCACGTTTTTTGCTTTCAAAATATTTAAAATACGATAGTGAATATCTTTGCATCTTTTAAAACAGGAGGATTTCCTTAGGATGAGCTCTTTGAGTTTCTAGATTAGCATAATTCAGTCAAACCTAGGGTACTTCTGCTATTATAACTAGATCAAAACAACATTGACATTGAACAATTCTTGCGTCTTTTATTGAATTTCAGCCACGCGATTTGTCTTTCTGTCTAAATTGATGGATAGATACAAATCATGATGTCTTTGGAGAGAATCTAGGTGTTAATATCTTGCCTCATTTAGTCAGTTCTTCCTTTTATTAAAAACCATTACTTTTATTCATTTGAGAGGCAGAGTAACACACACACACACACACACACACACACACACACACACACACACACATAGTGAGAGGGAGAGAGAGGAGGAACAGAGAGAAAATAATTTTCCATCTGCTGGTTCATTCTCTAATGGCCACAACAGCCAGGCAGAAGCCTGGAGCTTCTTCCAGGTCTTTTGTGTGGTTGCAAGGAGACCACATACTTAGGCCAGCATCCGTTGCTTTCCCAGAAGTATTATCAGGGAACTGGGTTGGGAATAGAGAATCTGGAACTTCAACCAGGATTCTCATATGGAATGCTGGCACCACAATCAGCAGCTGAATCTGCTTTGCCACAAAGCTGGCCCCTCCCTTTCTTTTCTGAAGAAATTAAACAGATACAACTAAGTGCCACCTCTGTTTCTTCCTTCCTCCCTCCTCTTCGCTGAAATCACACGGTATTTTCACATTTTCAAGCAACATGTGAAAGTATATGAAAGCATATGAAAGCATATGAAACCATAAAAAAGTCTATGTTATAGATTTATTTTCTGTTATGTAGAATTATCCACAAGTGACATTCTACTCCTTGTTGTACTTGGCTTTTTTCTCTGCTTACTCCTCTTTTGGATTTATCCAAGTTGGTACATGCAGACTGCTCTGCCTCCAACCCAGCTCTCCACTAATGTGCTAGGAAAGCTGCAGAGGATGTCCTGAGCACTTGGGCCTCCGCCGCTCACGTCTGAGACACTGATGAAGCTGCTTGCTCCTGGCCTCACTCTGGCCCAGCCCTGTTCTGTTCAAGCATCCGGGAGAGTCAACCAGCAGACGGAAGAAATCTTTCTCCTCTCCTTCTCTCTGCCATTCAAATAAATAAATGAATAAATAAGACTTGGAAAAAAGTTTCCTGGGCCTGCCTTGGTAGCCTAGTGGCTAAAGTCCTCGCCTTGTGTGCGCTGGAATCCCATATGGATGCTGGTTCATATCACGGCTGCCCCACTTCCCTTTCGGCTCTCTGCTTGTGGCCTGGGAAAGTAGTCGAGGATGGCCCAAAGCCTTGGGACCCTGCACTGTGTGGGAGACCCAGAACAGGCTCCTGGCTCCTAGCTTTGGGTTGGTTCACCTCCAGTAATTGAGGCCATTTGGGGAGTGAACCAGTGGATGGAAGATCTTTCCCTCTGCCCCTCCTTCTCTCTGTAAAAATCTGACTTTCCAGATCTTAAAAAGTTTGCTGTGATAGAACTAAAGCATACTCTGTTTTGTCGCCCCTACTAGCAGGTGGTCAGGCTGAGTGTGCTCCCTCTCCCCAGTCTCCAAAACCTTGCAAGGGAACATCACGTTCTGGCCCACATCAGCTTAGTCCGTAGTAGAGCTGAGGGCTGCGGGACATCCATGTGTCCGCACCATGGCTCCATTGCTTCACGACTCTCGGATCCTGACGGGCTTGGCTGCTGCTGCTGCAGGTGCTCCAGCCCTGGGGCATGCCTGGGTCATTTGAGGGGCCATTCCAACAGATAACCCATCCACTCCTGCAGTGTCCATTCCATCAGGCCTGAGAATGGAGCACTGAAAGAGTTCCCAGGCGATGCTGGTGTTGTTGACCACAGGACATGCTTCGGGATCCACCAAGCTGAGCTAAAGCCACAGCTTGCTGGCTCGCCCCCAGCAACGGCTCTTCTTGCTTGGCACCAAGCAGGAGCTTTGACCACTGCAGCTTAGGCTTGGAGCACTGGCACCTGTCGTCTCCCTGTATTTCCTGTGGCCCATGTTGTCTGGATTCCCTGAGGTTTCTCTCTGACTATTTTCTCCTCTTTACTCTCTGATTCCCTCCTGCAAGCTTAAAGAACATCCCCACCGGTGTGTACCGTCCTGGCTACGGGCTGCTGTGCATGCTGGGTCTGCACTCTTAGGGTCAGGGGCTCCTCTGGGTGCTGGGCTGCACTCCCATGGCCACGGGCTGCTCCATGTGGTTCTTTTTGTCCTTTGTGCTTGGCACCTGGTTGCTTTCTCCTGGAAATTTACATCCTGTTCTGGGAAATCTTTACATCTTTACATTCTTGCATTCTCTTCATTTCATCTGTTCTTTTTTCCCAGGACTCCCATTTTGTCACCTAATTAGATCTATGGGTCTAATCACCTTAATTTTCTTCCCTTTCCTGTCTATCCCATCCCTCTAGAGTTGCTTCCCTTTCTTGAAGATTTATTTAACCCTAAATATTCCAACCTTTCAGTTCCTTTTGCTTTTCTGTCATCATATATAACAAAAAAGAAACTTGAGCATTTAGAACAGCTCGCATTGTGAAGGATTTGTGAATACCGAGAGTTCTTGGTTCCTGCTATTTTTGGCATCACATTACCATGGTCCATTTGTCACAATTAATGACCCCATATTAACATGTTATTAGCAAAAAAGAAAAAATACTTCACTCAGATTTCCTTAGTTTTTGCTGACTTTTCTTTTCTATTCCATAATCCCATTAAGATTTCACAATGCACTTGGGATTCTGTGTCCTTGGCCTCCCTCTGATTGTGACAACTGCTCAGCATCTCTCCTGTTTGATGACCTTGATGGGCTTGAGGCAGATGGAGATTTGCATAGAAAATCCAGGAACCGGACTGGGTCTGCAGTGCTTAGGTTGGGGCTGTGCAGTGTGAAAGGTGAAGTGCCCTTTTCACGACATCTCAAGGGGACAGATAGGCTATGGCAGGATGGTGACCTCGACCATCCTTCTCCACTGTTGAGCTTCTCTTTCTCCCCTGCTTCCCCACTGACCCACTCCCCACCTGGCACCCCGTGCCGTGCACTTTGGAAGGGAGATGCCAAGTGAGCCCCATTTATGATTCGGGGACTATGCCCTCTTTGAGGGCTCCTATTATATTTCAATTTCTATTTCTATTTCTATTTCCCACAGCTCTTTCTCCCTCAAAGTCTTTTGTTTAAATAACCCAATTGTTCCTCATTTACAAGTGCAATAGTTTTTCTTATCTATTGGGGGATATAACAGTCTTAAAATTTTTTTAAGCTTACTTGCTCACTTTAATTTTATCTGAAAGGCAGACAGACAAGAGAATGTGTTTATGAGAGAGAGAGAGAGAACTCCCATTTGATGGCTCACTCCCAACAGCTCAGAAAAGCCAGTGGCGGGTCAGGTCAGAAACAGGAGGCTAGCACTCTGTCTGGGTTTTCCAACATGTGTCATGGGAAGTCTAAGCACTTGAGCCATCATCTGCTGCCTTCTGTGGTGTGTGAGCAGGGGAGCTTGGACTCAACCCAGTGCTATGGGATGCAAGCATCCCAAGCATGACTGCAGTGATGTGTCAAACACCTGTCCCACACGACAGTGTTCCTAAGTGGTCCTGTTTCTTCTTCCAAGTTCTTCTCTATAGGTTGGTTTGCTTCAGTCCAGAATTCTTAGATGTTTGTTGCTTCTTGGTAGTTTGTTCATGTATGAAGACTGGGACATGTAAAAGCTCTGGGGAGCCCATTAGACACGAGGATTGCTGGCTGGTGGTTGGCACATGTCCACACACCTGGTGGCTTCAAGATTCTCTAGGAGAGAATGTTTTCCCTGCTGCTTCTGACTTCCAGAAACTGTTGCTAGGTGGCTGCATCATCCCAGTGTCTGCATGTTTTCTGTGCATGAAATTTCTTGCTTATTCTCCCTTACAAGGACAAGGGTGATGGTGATTAAGACACCCAAAACTTGAGAATCCAAGTGTATCCCCCACCTTTAGATCCTCAACTTGGTTATATCTGCAAAGACACTTTGTTTTATTTTTTTTCTTACAAGGTCGCACTTATGAGCTTCTGGGATTGGACCTAGCACCTTTGGAGGGCCATGATTTGACCCATGCATTGAGAGAGCCCACTTGTGCAACCTCCTGCCTGTCAGTGTCCTTGGTGCTGAAGTGACAGGTGAACCATGCAGGCATAAGCAGGTGCACCTTAAAGAAATCCCTGCTTATCGCAGAACAGCTGACTTGTGGTGGGGTCTATGTACCCCAGACCAGAGTGACTTTGTCTTAGATTGTTTTATTCCCCCATTGGAAAGGGAGACACACACAGAGAAGGAGAGACCGAGAAAGATCATCCATCAGCTGGCCCACCCACTAAAAGGACACAACAGCAGGAACCAAGCCAATCAGGAGCCAGGAATCCCCTTCTCCAAGCCCTGCATACAGGCACAGGTTGTCAAGACCTGGTGCCACCTTCCACTGCCCTCCCAGGCCACAAGCAGGGAGCCAGACGGGAAGTAGAGCAGCTAGGACATGAACTGGCACCCCACATGGGATCTCGGTAAATGCAAGGCAAGGATTTAGCCATTAGGCCATCGCGCTGGGCCCCAGAGTGACTTTAGTTAAAGAGGAAACACCAGTCTCTTTTCTTACAGTTTATTTTAAAAATTTATTTGAAAGATGAGTTGCAGAGAGACTGAAAGATGGAAAGATTTTCCATCTGCTGCTTTACTCCCCAAATGGCTGCAATAACAAGGGCTACGCCAAGCCAGAGCCAGGAGCCCCGAGCTGCTTCTGCTGTTTCCCCAGTGCATTAGTAAAGAGCTGGAGCAGAAGTGCAGCAGCCAGGCCTCGAACTGTAGCCCATGTGGGATGCTGGCGTCAGAGGTGGTGGCTTACCCCGATACAGTTTTGATCCTAGAGGAGAGACCGCTGACGAGTTCTGAGGGACCAGGGGATGGCCCACACTACTTAGTTACTTGAGTTCTCCAGTGAACTTTCCCGCTTGCTCCTCCTCCATGTGCATTGGCAGGGCCTTTGGGGCTCTTGGGGAGAGGGCACAGCCCGCTTCTGGACCGAAGCCATTGGTGCAGACAGGAGCCTCTGGTCTCCTTGCAAAGGGACCGCTTGTCCAAACACTTTCTGGCTTCCTAAATGTCATCCTTACTGCCTTCTTTGTCCTTGTGGAGTTGAATACTATGAAGACTCCCATCTTGTGTGTGTGTGTGTGTGTGTGTGTGTGTGTGTGTGCTTTGTGAGAGAGCATGGATTCACATTGCTGTTTAAAATGACTCATGCTGTCCTTCATTCACCAAAGTTCATCAGCATCACCTGGGAGTTCATCAGAGATGCAGACTGCCAGCTGTAACCTAGAGCTTCTGGGTGGGGGCTGCTTTTGTTGTTAAGATTAATTTATTTTATCGGAAAGGTAGATTTATAGAGAGAAGGAGAAACAGAGAGTAAGATCTTCCATCTGCTGGTTCTCTCCTCAAATGGCTGCAATGGCCAGAGCTGAGCTGAGATTCAGAAGCCAGGAGCTGCACAGTTGTGGGTGCAGGGTCCCAAGGACTTTGACCATCTTCCTCTGCTTTCCCAGGCCATAAACAGGAAGCTGGATCTGAAGTGGGGCAGCTGGGACATAAAGTGGCAGCCATATGGGAATGCTAGCACTTGACGGTAGAGGATGAGTCAGTTAAGCCATCATGCCAGCCCCAAGGAACTGTGTTTTAGGGAAGCCTTTCTAATAATTCTTCTTGCTGATGATGCTGTGAAACCACTGTTGAGGTGATCTCTGTTCCTCTTGACCTCTTTCCTCCCAGCACAGGGTCCCCAGCAAGGGGCGATGGGTTGTCTGGCTCAAGAGCACCCCTAAGTCCACAAAGCTATGGAGGAGGGGAACAGAGAGACTTACCAGGTGTCTGTTTTGGAAGTAAATATTCCTTCCATGAAGGCCTCTGGGGGCATCCACTTAACTGGCAGCATGGCACACCCACCCTTTCTGTAGTAGCTTGCTCTGTCGGGAAGAAGAGGAGAGCAAGCTTGGACCTGGAACCGGCACAGAGCAGAAGCCGGTGGGACACCCATGAGAGAAGCAACAGCAATAGTGACTTGGTAGAGGGTGAAATTAGTTGGGGAGGGGTCCTGGTTGAAACTTAACAAAACAGTCCCACTTGAGGCAGGAAGGAAAAGGTCTACGCAATGACCAACATCCGGCAGCAGACATTTAGAGATCCCTGCTGGGGTTTTGCTCATCCTAACCCACAATGAGCAGCAACACTCAAACCATGTGAGTACTGTGTTCCTGGGGACCTGCAGGAATGAAGATTCCCAGTGGGCACACCAAGAGCAGGGCTTGAGTCTCAGTCATCCTGGAGCCTTTCCAGCACTCAAGCAGCTTACGCTTCCACCCAGGCACTTGACACATCATCTAGATGGGCTGGGGAGGGGGAGCTGCCTCTCCTGACACACAGCAAGGTGCATTCGTGGCAGTGCTGATAGAAGTGAATTAATGAACTCATCTGCCTGTTAGGGCAACTCCACGCCTAGCCCTGTATTCTCCTGTCTGGATGTGTTATGGGAGCTTCCTGCCAGCTGCCTACATTCATTAATTAGTTCACAGAGGTGCACTGATGGGGCTTAAGGACCAAGGAACTTACTTGGATGAACACTGCTGCCCAATGAGATTGGCTGGGTGTGTGGGGAACTGCGGGGTCATGGGCGAGTTCAGATTTGGGGGACTGCAAACTCTACGTGGGCGGCAGAAGCTTCCATGAGCCCAGCAGTGAGCACAGAGAACTGATGCAGCGCTGGGCTCAGCTCATGGGATCTGCTTTGTCCACACCAGGATGAGAGCATGTTGGAGAGCTGCCAGAGTCGAGGCTGGGAAGGAAACAGATGGCAAGGGACTCACTAAGTCCCATTGCACTTTTGTGCCTTAAATCGGAAGTAGTCGGGGAAATTCTGAGACAGGAGGACAAGCAGGGATGGAACCTTGGGTGGGGGGGTGGAAGGTCAAGTGGAACATGTGGGATGGACAGCCATGGAAGGAGACTCCAGAAGTGCTCTTCTTAACCCAAGTTTCCGAGTGCTGCTGTCCTGTGGTGAGGTGGCAGTTTCAGGACCCTGGGCCCTCCGGTTGGCTGATGAGGCCTTCCTGTCACCTACACTTGTCTAATGAATCTTTCCAAAGCGCTAGAGCCTTCCAGAGCCATCTCTCCTTGCTCTACCCCTGAAGGAGAGGAAAGTGGCTATTAGTGACCACGCAAAGGAGTAATGCACTCAGCTCAGGTAGCAAGTCTCTGTTGGGAATAACTAGAGAAGAGGAAACTAGGCATTGGGAAGAGAAGAGGGAAAATGAAACAGAAGATTTTAAAAAATTCAAACATTTTAATTCTTTTAAAAATTGCAGCCTTAAGACTGGAACAGGGATAAAGAAGTGAGGCTGAGCTAATGTCTGTGGGTTGGAGATACCCACCCCCACCCCCCCACACACACACACACACACACACACACTCATCCTGGTGTGGATAACGCAGACCCAGGAGCTCAGCCCAGTGCTCTGTCAGTTCTGGGGTGCTCACTCCTGTGCTCATGGAAGCTTCTGCTGCCCACCTAGAGTTTTTGTGGGTTGAGGAGAGGAGCTGAGGAAGCTAACACTTATTTCAAAGCTTTTTCCGTTACAAAGGCCCAAGCCATTCAGGGTCTCAGAACATGGCAGGGTTAGCGCATTGGAGCCTAATTAAAAACCAGGTGTCGATTGCTGCGGGCAGTGTGATTGTGGAAGGAGATTCCCAGACCAGAGACCTAATTAAGGCTTCTCGCATTCTGAAAGGGACTCTGATGAAATTTCAGGTTGAAAGCTGACAAAGGAATGGGGGAGGTGAGGTCCAAGGGGCCACAACCAAGGAGACAAGCTTGCTTGGGTGGCAACAATCTTACCTGTAGATGTCTCGTGCCATGCCAAAGTCTCCAATCTTGGCCACCCTTCCGGTGCCTGGACAGGTCAAGAGGCAGTTCCTGGCAGCAATGTCCCTGGGAAGAGAAAAAAGTAAGGAAACACGAGTGTTGAGCTTGTCCTGGGTGGGTGAGGCTACAATATCCACCACTAGGATCGTCACCTCCAATCTGCAGTTCAAACAGTTCTCTATTCTACTTGGTATTTCTTCTGTTCTATTACCCTTCAGTGTGAAATGGCTGTGCCAATTCTAGGCCTCAGACCTAGCAGGGAAACGGAAAAGGATTAGGGGAAATGATCGACAATGCTTAATAGGACAGTAATAAATAAAATGACTATAATAGGAACTAGAATTTATCGGCTTTTTACTATGTGGTAAGCATTGTTGTAAGTGCTTCGGATCTAATTCTCACAACAATTCTATAAGATACACGGAGCTGTTAATATCCTCATTTTATTAAAAAATTAAGCCTAAAGCAGATACAATACAAGGATGTCAGAAATGTAGTTTGGTCTTTGGCTGTCATTTTATTTTATATAAGCTAGAATATATTCCAGAAGAGTGGGACAGAGACAGAGACTCCCCCATCTGTTGATTCATTTTCCAAATGCTCATAATAGCTGGGGTGGGCCAGGCTGAAGCCAGCAGCTGGAAAGCCAATGCTGGACTCCCCCGTGGGTGGCAGGTCCTTGACCACCTAGCCGCCCCTACTGCCCCTGGGGTCTGCAGTGGCAGGAAGCTGGCACTGGAAGCAGAGCGGAGACTCAAACCTACGCACGTTGATACCAGCATCTCCGCGAGGCCATATGCCTAGCCCTGGCTGCTGTTTTGCACAGACCACTGTTTTGTGTCTGTCTATTGTTTAAAGGAATGTTCTGGAACTATATGACTTCCATGATAAATTCAAGTAGGTTAAGGTATTCTCCAGTATTTCTACTTTCTTGAAGAAATCACCTTTAGGGTTCCACTCCTTGGTGGAGAAAGAATTTGCAGGACATGCAATTGGCTGTTAAGATAGTATTATTATTATTTTTTAATAGGAGCTACAGGCCAGCATTGTAGTGAGGCCGGTTAAACCGCTACCTGCAAAGCTAGCATCCATATGGGCACTGGTTCAAGACACAGCTGTTCCACATGTGATCTGGCTCTCTGTTAACATCCCTGGGAAAGCAGCAGCAGATGGCCTGAATGTGTGGGTCCCTGCCACCCACACAGGAGACCCGGATGAAGTTCTGGGCTGCTGGATTCATCCCTGGCCTTGGCCATTTGGGGGAGTAAACCAGCAGATGGAAGATATTTGCCTCTCCTTCCTTCCGTGTAATTCTGCCTTTTGGATAAATAAATCTTTTTTAAAAAAAATTCCAGAGCAATGGGTTGGGATATGGAGTGGACGTGGTTAGTCACTCGCCCGACCCAGAAGGCTTAAGTTGAAGTTTGAGGGACTGTGGTGCATAAATGCTTCAAAAAAACCACCAAAAAATGTAACATGTATGAAGAAAGATCGCTGACTACATCGTCAGTAAATCTTGAGAGAAACAGTGCAGGAGGTTGGAAACAATATTTATGGCTCCAGAGAGACCTGCAAGTTGCTGGGTCTGGAGTGGTTGCTGAAAAAAGTGAGCTTAAGTGTAATGGTGAGAAAGGAGATGTGGTACTATAGAACATACTGAGAATCGCTAGCACGACCCATAATTCTTGAGGTCGCAGGAAACCCTGTTCAAGGAAAATAGCAAATGGCAGGGAGTGGGAGCCCAGGCCTCTGAAGAGGGAGCTGCCCTCCCAGTCCCCAGGGTGCATCTGTCTGGCCACATTGGGCATGCCAAGGCAGTGCAGTGTGGGGTGGAAGAGGCACTTCCGCCAAAGCGAACACACTCCCTGGTCTCATCCCTCCGTTTTCACTAAGGAGAGGGCCTGGCTTTCTAAACTCTAGGCTCCTGTGGCATCTCTGATTTTCTGTTTTGTACTCATGTATCCTAGCTGTTAGGAACAGGCCTTCTGCTGTTTGTGGACATGGGAGAGTCAGTGATTTTAAACAGGAGCTTTTGCTTGTTGAATTAGAAGCAAATCATCAGGAAGAACTTCGCGAAGAGCCCAATGATTTATTTCACTTTTCAGGTTTCAGAATCAAGGTGAAAGCTGAAAAAGTCACCAACATCCCCCAGGATGGAACAGAATCATGTGTGGGCCTGATGTCCTAGTCACACAGGAAGAAGCAATGTGTAAGAGTAAGGCAGAACTGGTGTGATGGTTCAATTGGCTAGCCATCTGACTGCAAGTGCCAGCATCCTTTACGGGCACTAGTTTTTATCCCAACTGTTCCAGTTCAGCTCCAGCTCGCTGCTTACGGCCTGAGAAAGTAGCAGCAGATGGCTGAAGTCTTTGGGACCCTACACCGCTTTTGGAAGACCTAGAAGTTCCTGGCTTCAGACCAGCTCAGCATTAGTCATTGCAGCCATTTTGGAGCGTGAAACAGTGAGAGGGACATCTTTCTCTCTGTCTCTCTGCAAATCTGCCTTTCCAATAAAAATAAAGAAATCTTTAAAAAAAAAAAAAGAAGGAAAACATTCACTCTGCTTTATTTCAGAGAGTTTTGGAAGACATTTTTGTACCCCTATTATAGATCAGAAGATAAATGGGCAGGGTCCTTGCCTTAGAGTTTTCCATTGTTGGTTGTGTGAAAGTGTGAACTCCTATAGTGTCCCATTTAGGGGTGTAGTTTTTAAGTGGGAGAACCTTGGCGAGGCAGGCTTCAATGGTCAGGTGACAGGCAGGAGCTCCCTAAGAGGCTGAGAATAGCGTTCAGGGCTCTGGATAGTTCCCTCTGCCCACGTGACTCAGGAGGCAAACGGAGCCCTGATTGAGTAAGGACAAAGCTGAGTCTTTCCAACAGCTCTGGAGAGACGAAGCCGTGTGGACAGGCAGGGGCGCTCTCCATGTGGAGAGCAAGACCCCTGGGACTCACCGGTGGATGAAGTGGTTTTCCTCTAGATACTGACAGCCACAGGCAATGTCCCGAGCTACATGCAGCAGGTCCAGCATGGCCAGGGAGGAGGGCTGATTCTGTGGGATATAGTAGCCATTAGTGTGGGGAGACTCTGGCATCAAGTTCCCTGAACGTGTGGCTCTTGCCAGCAACTTGGCCCTGGCTGCACACTAGCATTCACCTGGAGGTGCTGAGAACACATAGACACCTGGGCTCCCACCCAGACCAAGGACTGGTTCAATGGGGGTGGATGCTGCAGCGATGTGCCTGACAGCTTTACAGGTAACCATAAGCCACAGTGGAAGCTGGGAAGGCCCAGACAACAGGATCGGTCCACCCCTGTTCTCCTCTGCATCTGTTTCTAGCACAGCCTTCTGAAGCTGCTGATCATCCTTGAGGGATAACCAGGCCTGGGAGGCAACCAGCAAGGACCAACGTTGCTTTCGGAGTTCTCTCTTTACACCTGTGCAGTTTTTACATGTGAGGTTTTCTCTGAGAAGATCCATGTCCAAAGCGAATGGAGAAATATTTTTGGAAAGGACTGGGTGACCTCTACCTCTTCTGGAACAGGTGAAGCCCTTCCCTGCCTGGGGCCACACATGGGCATTGCTTCTGTCCCAGCCTCGCTGGGTACCAGCTATATTTTCTGAAGGTCTCATTCTGTCTCGGTCTCTTGTTTTGTTGCTGGGACCCCAGGGTCTGGCAGCTGTTGTCAGGCTCACAGGTGTGTCAGGACCCACACCAAGAGGCTCTGTAGAAACGCTCCACAGAGATATACAGCCTGGGGCTGTGGGATGGGAGGGCTGTGCAGGTCCAGGCAGTGGCTTCTGGGGTTGTGAGATAGATGGGAAGTATCCTGAGGGAGGCACTCAGGGTGCCACGATGTTGGAGGCATCTTGTTTCTCTCCAGGCAAAGGCTTTCTGCTCCTGCCCCAGAGGATCGAGTCCTTACCGTGGCAGAGCCATGAGGGAGGAGCTTATCCCCCAAGTCCTGTGTCCCAACCCATGTCCCTCGGGACACCTGCTCCCGGGCTGGCATTGCTTGGCTGAAACTGCTGGCAGAAGGTTCATGCTCCCTGCAGTGGGCAGTCAGCAAGTGTGCCTGTGTCGAGTGTGCAGTATGCTGTGTCTAGGTACTGCACGTGTCTGGGCTATCTGATGTGTGTATGTGTGTGTGGCTGTCTGCTATATGAGCATGGTGTGTGTGTGTTGAGTGTGGTGTGAGGAATGTATGTGTGTTGTGTCTGGATGTTTAATGTATGTGGTGTGTGTGTTTATTTGTGCATGTAGCTGCCTGATGTGAATGAATGTGTGTATGTGGTGTGTGGTATGCATATGTGATGCGTGTGGGTGTTTGGTGTGTATGGGTGTGGTGTATGTATTTGCGTGTCTAGCTGTTTGGTTTGAGTGAGGTATGTGCATGGAATGTATATGTGGTATGTTTGAGTGTTTGAGGTGTACATGGTGTGTGCATGTGTGTGTGTGTGTCTATGTGTAGGTTATGTGTTTGGGGGTATGGATGATGTGTGGACACTGTGGTTAAGCTGACACTTGCCCAGCAGCGTGGGTGGAGCTAGCCATGCACTTGCTGCTGTTTGTACGCACCTGGAGCACAGAACAACCTGGAATCAGGTTTCACTGCCCCCCTGCCCTGTTGCATGGTGCTTCCTCTGGCATCCCAATATTCCTCCCTCAGCCATGGACACCCGCCACGGGCACTTGGAGAAGGTCCACTGTTTTCAAAGCAGACTGTGGGATGGATGTGGGAGATTCAGAAGGTAGGGAGATTCTGGCTCAGCAAGTTTCTCAGGGACAGGAATGCCCCGAGTCTTGATGGTTATGTGTGCTGGCTCAGTGGCTTTGCCAGTATTACCTGAATCAATGAAATTGCTCCTAGGACCAAGCAGGCTCGCAACAAATATTTGCAAAATAAACTCTTGCATATGCAAACATTCTGTGGATATTAAAAAGGGATGTTCTCAAAGCAGTGAGGTTCTGGGACCAACCAGTGGTTTTGGTCTGTACCCATGAATTCCATTTCCACTGCAGACGTGGTTGGTCTGGGCTCCCATGCTCTTGATGTCAATCCTGTGCATCTCTGGTCTTTGTCAGGTCTGCAGAACTGTCCTGTGCCGGGGCTGGCAGAAAGTAAGGATAGCACCCTTGCTAATTCTGCTTCATGAACCTGGTGCTTTCGCACAGCAAGCTGCTCCGAGAAACTCCAGGTGACTCAAACAGAGGCCCTGGGTGGATGTCACGCCATTGGAACCAGTGCATCTCCAGGCACATCTCCAGTCGCCCTCTCGCAGTCATGATTTTTCCATCCCTGCTTGTCTCTTGGCCAGCTTTCCCTTCTTGGTTCCTTATGAGCCTCCTTTGACCACTGGAAACGACATTTAGCTGGATCCACATCTCACCAGGATCAGTTTTGTAGCCCATAGTTTCCATAGGGGAAGCCCAACAATAACCTTGCTCCTGCCCCACCACAAGCACATTTATGCTGTCATTCTGGAGGGTCATTACCCATCATAGGTCAGGCCCGTTAGGAAGGACCAGCTCCCCTGGGTCAGGTGGGTGTAAGGGGAGGCACAGAGAAGGATGACTGGGTTACCACCTGGAGTGGGCTCATGAAGACACAGGTGCATGGTTGGCAAAGGGACTCTCACAAAACACAAGCAGGGGAAGAGGAAGAAGAGCAGATTTGTGGGAGGAATACAGCCTGGTCTTTCCCAAGGTTGGGCTGCCTCCGTGTTGCAAGCATCCCCTTCAGGAGCGGGGAACTTCCAGCCCATGAAATCACGCAGTCTGGCCCTGCCAAGGTAACAGCTGGCAGGATTTGGAATTCAGTAAATTTACAGCAGGCTATTTTTTAAGTTGAAAATTACTGCCCACCAATGACTGTCTAAATATCCAACTGAGCATCGGCAGAGAAAAGGGTTCCTCATCTCTGCTGGTCCAGGCAGGGCCTGCTGATAGATGTCGGAACTTGGCAGTAGGCTCCAGCTCTGAACCTTCCCCGTCCCACCCACCTCCCTTTGCCCAGGCATGGCAGGGATGGGAGGGATGAAGGATCTGCCTTTCCCTGTCAGAGCTTGGTTCCTGTGAACAGTGTTTAAATCCTCTTTTATCACCAAAGTAGAGAGACACCTTTGTCTGCAAGAGAGAGAGAAGCTCCACTCCTCACGCCCATCTTCTCCCATCTCCAAAGTCCTTGGACTTGCTACATGATGGGTTCCTAAATTCCCTTCACAATGTCTCTCTCTCCCATGCATGGTATTTTTTTGCCTTAGTCCTTAGCAAAATAGAACTCATATACAGACAGCAAATAGGCGATTCTTTTCTTAGGATTTCTGGGTCCACTCCAGGGTTGTTTCCTTTCCAAGTGCTAGCCTTTTCACCAGCACATGCATGCAACCTCTTCCTAAAGATTTCAGCCCATCAGTTCCATGGCCAAACCACAAGGCTGGGAAGTCTGAGTGCTAGTATTTGAATTTCAGAGAGGGAGGACATCAGAGTGAGAGGATGACATGACTATTCACCCTGAATCAGTCTCTGGCTTCCCAGAGAAATGGAGCCTGGCTAAAGAATGCTTTGTGCAAGTCTTACACAAGCTCATTGTACCTGGGGGAACGTGATCCTTTCCATCCACTCTGTGTTGGTCATTCCCTCCTCTCCAAACCCAAGGGCTACCTTCATGGGTCCTAACCTGTCCTCCCTCCTGCTCTTCCTGGCTCCTGCTCCCATCTTTGCTCTCATCACCCCTGCAGCAAGTGTGGGTCCCACTCACCGGACGAGGCCGGGTCTCCCGGAGGAAAGACTTGAGGTCTCCTCCTGCCATGAGCTCCAGCAGGATGAAGCGGGGTAGAGCTTGTAGACTGACTCCGATGCAGCGCACAATGTTCTGGTGGTTGAATTTGCTGCAAAGGAGATGCCTGTGACCGACTGAACTGGGCAATCAGGGATAATCTTAAGTGGGGGAGTGGGATGCAAAATCATGTTTTCGGCTTGCATTCTGCCAATATGGGCAGCTGAGAAGGGGGCGAGGTCAGTGGGCAGGAGGACATTGGGTTGGAGGTGGGAGGAAACTGCTCAGGCACATGGCTAAGAAAGCAGAATCTGGACTGAAAGATGATCATACCCTGAATTAGAATGGCTAATTGCTCCCCTGTGGTGAAAGGGAGTGATTTAGGTCTCTGTCATATACTTTCCAAGTTTTAGTCAACACTTGCACAATCAACAACATGCAAAATAAATAAAAAAAAACCACATGTTATCTTTAAAGCGAGGTGCAGACCTAGCTGTGTGTCTGTGGCTGTAGAACCCCCCAGGCACATCAGTCACACTGTCCTGCTCTGTTACTCCAGTCACTCCCACCCAAGCACATGCCAGGCTGTGTCCACAAAGGGAAGCTGTGGTCAGAACAGGTGTTCTCATCATCAGTGAAGAGGAGCAGGCCAGCTGGCATCCTGCTCTGCTAATGTGAACCCAGAGAAGGGTGCTCCCAGCCTGGGAGAGGCACGTTTCCGTTGTGCCAGATCTATGTGTGGGATCAGTAAGGGGCCTAAACCTTGTACTGGGATTACACTTTGTGGCGTGCATGCATGAGTAAGGCTTGGTCCTGTGACACCGGCATCCCATATGAGGCCCTGTTTGAACCCTGATGTGCCACTTCTGATCCAGCTTCCTGCTAATGTGCCTGGGAAAAGCAGCTAGAAGATAGGCCAAATGCTTGGACCCCCTACCACCAGGTGGGGGAGACCCAGATGGAGTTTCTAGCTCCTGCCCAAACCCTGGCCATTGTAGCTATTTAGGGAGTGAGCCAGGGGATGGCAGATATCTCTGCCTGTCTCAATGTAACTCTGCCTTTACAATACATACATTTAAAAAAAGAAAAATAAGAAAGCAGTGTGGAGAATCCTGGGGAGAGCAGACATGGCGTGCTGGGGCCAGCACCGCTTCCCTTAGACATCTGTCAGCTGGAGAGTTCTCCATCATGTTTGTGGAAGGAAGGGGAAGAGTAAGGAGAATATCTCCTAGGCTTTACCTGATGATCAAGGCCTCCATGAGGAAATCCAGCTCGTCCTGTTCAGAACACACCTCCGGCAGGGTCTGGGCACAGAAGGGCAGGGTGGAGAGGAGGAACCGGCTGTGAGAGGAGAGCCATGGCCCACAAAAACTTTAGGCCAAGGTTAACCTCAAGATATAGCCACCTCTTACCTTGACAGCCACTTGCAGGGGGCTTGGGTCATTGGGCATCCCAGACACCTGGCCTTCATATACTTCCCCAAAGGCACCATGGCCCAGACCCCTGTGAACAGGATACACGATGAGGCAGATCCCATCGGACCACGACACAAGCTGGGTTTCCTGAGGCTGTGCACTGCACTGGGCGGGGGGGGGGGGGGTTAACACACACACACAGAAGGGCTGGCTGCTCAGAGAAGAGACTCTAGGCTCTACCCGTGGTAGAAAAGAGCACCATGAAGGGAAAAGGTGATTTAAAAAAATGCAGACACCTTTGGGTGGTACCGAGAAGGCTGGGGCACTTTTTTCTACTTTTGGGGTCTTGATGATCCCCAGCCTCTCTTACCAAGGACTGCTGTGGCACTGACCGGATGAGGGTGATGTTCTTCCGGGGCACCTCCTTCAGGTCACTGATGGAGGAGGTCTTGCCGGCGAAGCAATAGTTAGGGTTGTAGTCGGTCATGATGGTCGAGGTGCGGAGCTTGCTCAGCTTGTACTCAGGGCTCTGCAGCTCCAGCTGCATGGCCTGTAGCTCCTGGTGCTTGCGGCGGTACACTGCGGACAGACAGGGGGACAGTGGCTATGTGGCTAAGACCCGGAGACTGCAGGAAGCCCCTCTGGCTCTCTGTCTCCCCTCTTTATTCAGAACTAAGAACAAAAGGACTGCAGGTGTGAAAGTGAACCAAAGAAGAGATGGTTCTATTCTCTCAGACAGGGCAAAGCCACCAGAGTCGGGAGGGAGTCAAGCTACAGGTCTGACCCTGCGTGGGGAAGGGAGACAGCCAAGGTTGGGGACCATCAGCCTATGGACCATGCAGTGAGGTCTCAGCGAGGCTCTTAGGAGCCACGACTGGCCACCAGAGGAGCTCCATGTGCCCCAGCAAAGGCCCTGCCTTGGCCTCTAGATGCGCTCAGCCATTAGGCAGGGTGGCTGGAGTCCTGGTGAGTTGTGGAAAAACCTTCAAATGGCTGAATGATTGAGGTTTGATTCCTCCTCTTGCCCTTACAGGCTGAACGACCCTTCCAGGTCACCCACTCTCACTGGACCCCAGTTTCCTTTCTCGAGGGCAGGGACAGTAATTCCTGCTTTGTTTCCCTAATTGACCCCCCCCGCCCCACCCCCACCATCCTGTATTCCTCAGGACCATCATGCCTAGATGAATTTTGCCAACAGGAAAGGACTGTGGAAGTCTAATGCTCTCTGCCACATGAGTGACCATCGCCACTGACACTGGTACCCATGAGGCCTGTCCTGGGGCCAGGAGAGGAAGGAACCTAAGTAAGAGGTGGCTCCTGGGAACAAGTCTGGGCCACGTGCCGGTTTGTGATGTGTTCTCTGTGTGCTCTGCTCTCCCCTTGACAGAATAAACCAGCCGTGGCCATGTGGTTACTTATGGGTTTAATACCCTGTGATGTGGAAAATCACAGTGTGTGCAACAAGTGTTGCTGGCTCTTATTATCCTGTCCCTTTGAAGGATGGCACCATATGGGGACACGCACGTGCTGCCATCCCCCATCTGCCCCTAAGTCCCCTCACCCTGAGTGCCACTGGGAGTCTTTTTTCTCTGCCCTTGCATCTCTGCCATCTGTCCTGGGCATTTTGCTGCCAACAGTGAGGCTGGCTGCACCATGCCAAGCCCCCTGTGCTATGTGGACCTGCTCGCCTCGGCTCACAGATGGAATGGAGACACACTCAAAACGGCTCTCCTCTCCCTTTGCTAGAGTCCCGGGGGAAGAGTGGGACCTGTTACCTAGGGAGCTGCACCCCTGAAGCACAGGGGGCTCTGTGGAGCAATGGTGGGTACAGGCTCCTCTCCCTTCTCTTCCCTTCCTTTCTCTCCCTTCCCACCCTTCTCAAGCAGCCAGGAGGCCATACACAGGTCTGTGCTGCAGAATCTGAGGCTCCCCTGGGAGCTGCAGCCACTCTAGTGGGTGCAGGTTTGAGAGTTTCTAACCTGGTTTGGCCCGAGTTGCCCTTGCCACCACCTGACTCAACCCCAGGAACTTGCAGGACACAGTGACACCTGGGATCTCATGGTGTAGGCCAAGACTCCACTAGGGTCCTCCAAATGTGTGTCCTACCCAGCCAGGGGAGGTGCAAGGGTCCTGGGGTACTCACCAATCATGATGCCAGAGAAAGCCAGGACAAGGGCGGCCACTAGGGCAGAGGTGACCACGGAGAGGATCAGTGAGAGCGGCAGGTGGGGCTCTGGGGTGGGCGACACTGAAAGACAGGTTCCCGATGGGGTGTGAAAACCATGCTCTTTTGTTCTCCTCAGGGCTGGTTGCCTGTCAGAAATGCCTTCCACAGCCGCTCCTTCCTACCCTGAGACCCTGCCACATACCACCTCACACTCTTCCAGGGGAACATGGCACAAAGCAGGTTCCTCCTGGCCTTACAGCCTCCATCAGTAGCTTTTGGGTGGGGGTGGGGACCTGAGCAGGGTTGCAGGTCAAGTTCTGGATGTTGATCCAAAACATCACTGCGATTCAAGGCTGAGGATGGGCAGGAAGCAGGAAATCAGGGAATGACAGAAACCAGGAGCTGGGGTGCTCAGATGACTGTAGGCATAACATGATCATGCAGAATGAATGGCCAATGGTCATCTTGGCCTGAATGACCTCCTCAGAGCACCTGGCCAGGGGCACATGGAGAAGAGGCACTCCCCCACCCCAACCCCCACCCTGGGACCATGCTGGGTGGTGGCATTCCAGACCCCATACTTCAAAGGGTGCCTCAACTACTGGATCACACACAAAGAAGGGGCTCTTGGGTGGGAAGGAGACACCAAAATGCAGCTTCATGAACTTATCAGAGCAATTGGATGACTCAGTGTGGAAAAGACTTAGGGGGACAGAAACATTGCATGTGAGTGCATGAGGTCAGTAGGGAAATTGATGGAAATAAGCTCCAAGGGACAGGGTCCTGGCTCTGAACCCTCTACGGAACAGGTTGTTCCAGGGCAGGTGGGATGGCCCTGGATGAACAATGGGGCAAGGTGATGTAACCCTATCTTCAGGATCTTTTCTGCATTGTCCCTCTGCCCTGTCATCAGAACTCCCACCCTGTACAGACTGGCCAGGGACAGGACACTCACAAAAACCCACATGCCTGGTGTCCTGGAACCCCAGGCACCAGCTGGGGCTCTGAGCCAAGGTCCAGCTCTGGAGCCTTCCCCATCCCCAGTCTCCACTTCTCTTACCAATGCAGGAGACGCCATCCTGGGCCAGCACCGTTCCATGGTCACAGAAGCAGATGACCTTGTGAGTCTCGGGGTCCATGTGACACTCGTCTATCTCACAGTGACTGCAGTTTAGATAATGCTTAATATTCACTTCCCCATGGCCCTCCATCACTGTGACAAGGAGGGAGGGTCAGGCTTGGGCTGGACCTGGGGCCTGCACCCTGCACCCACACCCAGCCCGGGTTCTGTCTCCAGGGTTCTCTCTATGGCTTCTATGGTTCCTGTTCCTTCTTCCACAACTCAGTGTGGGGTGGTCCTCCTGGTGCATGTGGGCTGTGGCACCCATGGGTGGGTGTCCAGGAACATGAGAGGTTGTGTGTAGGGGGGCAGTGGGAATCCTCACATGTGCCTCTGAGGTTGGTGGGGACAGGGACGTGGGCTGTCCCTGCTGCATGTCCTGGACCTGTATGGCGGTTGGCATTCTGCCTCCCTGTGCACCTAAAACCAGATGTCCTGACCTCCAGGGATCCCGCCCAGGGAGATGAGCTATAGGAAGGCTTGCCTGGGCGTGGGGGAACCCCTCATTTTCCTTGATGTCCTGGGCTCTTGTCAGTGACCCTGGGGTGTCAGCTGGGTGGAAGAGCCTTGCAGCGGGGGGTACCTTTCAAAGCCGGGGTGTACAGGATGCCCAGTGGACTGATAAAGGAAATCCCATCTTCCCCATCCATTTCAGGGTCATTGTTTGAGGCTGCGTTGCCGCCTGTGGCAAACCAGAGCAGAGTTGAACACAAAGGGGGTGGGCGCCAAGATCTCAACATGCATGCGCGGCAGCGGGGCGTGCAACTCTAGGCTGGGATGGGAGTGGGTTGTTGGGGACTCGGAGGGGGGGGGAGGTGGGAGGGAAGGGAGGCCCAGGGCACAGATGCTGAACTTGGGGCAGGGCTAGGTGCTGGGTGCATGGACCATATTTCCCTCCAGGTTTGGGCCTACTTCAATAAAGGGCAAGGAGGGGGGCCTCCAACCAGTCTCTGAGGCCCTTCCAAGGAACGAGTCAATGTAAGCAGCAGTCCACAAAGTTCTAGAGACCCTGGAGGGGGTTGGGCACTTAGCATATGCTCTGAGCTGCGGCAGCCCTCCAGCCTCACTGGGTGAGGGCTGGGCTGTGGGGGCTTGAGCTCTGTGCCTGAAGGCTCCCGTCCCTCCTTTCGTCTGGGCTTGGGTGATCATGGGGCTCCCCGGGGTGTCCTTCCCTCCCCCTGGGGCTTGGAGGGGAAGAGCATGTAGTTAACACAGCATCTTACACACAGCGCCAAAGCCAAACACAGACAGGAACATCACGGTGCAGGCATGCATTGCATCCTAGTCTGGGGGTTGGGTTGGGTAGGGTGCATGGCCTCCCAGCCTCTCAGCTCCAGAAGGCGCCTGCTCAGCAGGGGCTTGGTCCACTGCCCACAGGAGGCAGCTGAGCCTAGGGCTGGCTGCTTGCTGGGGTCTGGGCTATAGTTGCCCATGGTGGCCCTCATATGGAGCTCCCACTGGAGCTGCGCCTTCTTGGCAGCTGGCGACTGGAGAGAGTCCGGAAGGGAGAAAGAGGGGTCTAGGCCTCCAAAGGGAGGCTTGAGGTTGGGCAGTCGGGGCTCTCCGGGGCAGCTCAGGCCAGTGAATCCTCAGGGGTGGCTCCAGGAAGCCAAGGTCCCCTCATCGCTGGCTTTGGGGAAGACCAATTATTCCTGTGAGTGCGGGAAGGACCATGACGCTGATGTTGGGGCAGCCTGGAAGCTGCGTGCTGGCTGAGGAGCCAGAACGCTGCCTCTGGCTGGGGGGTACCCAGGGGCTGGAAGGGGGCGTGCAGTGACATCACAGGCCACGCTGGGGCGGCCGGGATGGGAAGGGGTAAGGGGTGTGTGAGGTGCCTAGGACTAAGAGGGGGAGGGAGTGACACCTTGAACACGAATCATCTTTACCTATATATCCTCCGCCTCCTCCACCTGAGGAGCACCCCCCTCCACCCCCTCCGAAACCCCCTCTTGTCTCCCACCCCCACTTCTTCATGGCCTGGGGGCAGGAATGTCCTCCGGTGGCACCCTCCAGCAAAGACTTTCCGGCCCAGAGCAAGGAAGTGTTATCACTCCAGCCACCTCCGCCACCTGCCAGATGAGAAGAGAGCAGGCTTGTGAAGATGCCAGCCTGGCACCTCTGTCCCCCGTCCACCGTTCCCTGGGTCCAATGCGAGGAGTTGCCCCTGTTAGGGATGAGGTGGGAGGCCTGGCAGCTGGTTGTTCAGCGGTTTCTTTGCATTCCTGCCTGTCCAGCAAAGCGCCACGCCCCCATCTCCATAGCTTCTGGCAGCTATGGTCAGAACTGCCCATTTGAAATCTCAGACTTCTCGTCTGTAACTTGGAATCATGAAGATCCATCCTCAAGGGTGGTGTTGGGCAGTGTAGGGATCATGGGAGTTTGTCAGATAGGGCACAGGCGTCCTGGTGGCCTCACGCTTGGCTCTGGCTGCCTTGGGTGACTCGAGGACCAGGTGCTCAGGGACTTTGTGCAAGTCCAGGCCCCAGCTCAGCCAGGTGGCATCTGGGCACCCCAGGATGCAGCTTGTCCTCCTTCCCTGGATGTTAACACCAAGCCCAGAGCTCCCAGCAGTGGGCCCCAAGACCAAGACATGCTCAGGTACAGCTGCATCATGGTCTTGGCTTGAGCTGAAGTCCTCACGGTCTGCGGGAGACCAACAGGTCTTGGGGGTGGGGGTGGGCTTTACCTGCGGCTCCGGAATTGCCGTTTAGCCCCAGGACCGAGGAGTTGTTCTCGAGCCTCTCCGGGTGGAATGTATCTGTCTTGGCCCCATAGGCTCTGCCACCACCGCCGGCCGCAATGATCAGTGGCACAGGCACTCCATCCTTCATCTGGCATGCATTCAGAAATTGAGAAATGCCGGGGTTGCAGGGTGTCTGGTTGTTGTCAGACTAAGTGCTTGGTGAGCTGAGCCATCCGCACTCACCCTGTAGCTGTGACCCTTCAGCTCCTGCTCTACTGCCAGCCTCTCTGGGGGTCAGGGTTCAACCAGAGAGGTACCACCACCAGGGCATGCGTGTACATACATGTGCTAACACATCTACATGATGCAGATCAGAAGACTTCTAAAAGTGCACGTCAACAGAATAATAGCTATTTATTCTGCTGCAAACAAATTTGAAATCCAAGTATAGCTCCTTCATGATGGTTGGATGCCGCCGCCCAGCAGCGACACTACCTACGAGGCACACTCTTGAGGGTCTGGGAAAAGCTGGAACTGCAACTGGACCCCTCACTGCCAAAAGGGGCCGCGTTTAAACCCTTTTCTTCGCTGCCCCTTTCCCCACTGGTCTTAGCTTTCCTCCCCACTTCTCCAGCCCTCTCGCCACTATTTTTCTTCCCATTCCTCTCCTGGTAGCTCTATATTGCCTCTATGCTGCTTTTGTACCCCTCTCTGCCGCTTTTCCCCATACACCTTAGCTTTTCCACCCAAAGATTTTAGCCCCTCTTTCCCTCTCTGCTGCCCCATTCTTCCCGTTCTGTCCGTAGTTGTTCTCTTAGTCTTTCTCCTCGTCGTCCCCCTCCTTAGCTTTTACCGACTGCTTTTATATCATTCTCTACCAATCTCTTCTCCCCTTGGGTCCACTTGGTGCTACCTGATAGGCCAGTAACAATGACATAATCGCAGCGAGGGCATCAGCCTATCCCTGTGACTTCCTGTTTACCTGCTGGCAAGACCGATCCCACTTCCTGGCCCTGGGCCAGCCTCCATTCTGCGACGGCCTTTCCTATTCCGGCTTTCCTATTCCGGGGAGCAGCTTCAGCACTCCGCTCCCCACAGTTGAAGATCTTTCATCTGCCAATATCATCGTGGCACCTGCCCTGGCGTTTTTCCTTCCCTAAAGCTCCTCAGATGGGCCTGGGAGGTCTTAGATGTAGACAGTTAGCATGGGTCTCCTGGCTCTCTCCTTCCTCCCCACTCTTGGGCTTCAGGACCAAGCCCTTCTGTCCCTTCACTGTCCCTGTAGGAGGACCTAGTGGCAGAGGTATCAACCCAGCAGCCAGCCTGGCTGAGCTGATGTCAGATGAGCCCAGCTGAGGCCCCAGAGCTGCCCAGGAGGACACAGGGGGTCCAGCGTGGTGGAACTGGGCTGAATGTCAGCAAGAGAGGAGCTGCTCTGTCTTGGCCATACACACTCTATTTCTCTCTTTTTTCTCTGGGTCTCAGTTTGGTCCTTTCCTTATGGGGGTGAGCAGATGCAGAGGGTTTCCATCCCCGCCCAATACCACCGTGCATGGAGATCCTCCCTGGGGCCCCTTGTGGATCCTTACAGAGTCAACCCTACCTTAAAGACATAGGTGGCTCCTCCACCTCCACCGCCTCCTCCTGCCCACTCGTGCACACTTCTGTTCACACGAATCTCCTCCTCGATCACATTGTTCTCACCAATGCAGACTTTCTGAATTAACTGGTTTGTCTGTAGAAACAAGAAACACACTGGGCTGGGGCCTAGGCTAGGGTTCTCCACCTCCCAAAAGACAGACTTCCTGCGCCCAATGATGGGCTCTGGCTGTCTCTCTCTGACAGCTGACGATGCTGGAAGGCAGGAAATCCACACCGGTAGCTGTGACAGGCAAGCACACCACAGGTGCAAAGGCTAGAACAACAGGAGGGAGGGGGAGCAGCCTTTATTGCTGACTGGTGACCAGAGAGCACTGCCTGTAGGAGGTAGCATTTAGCTGGGCTCCAAAGGATAAGAACATGTTTTAGCACAGAGTAGGGGGAAGCTGAAGTCGCTGGAGAATGAAAGCTCAATTCAAGCCTCTGGGGAACGAGGTGAGCTAGATCTTTGGGGAAAAGCATCATCAAGTGTCTTTGGCTTACTTAGGTTCACCTTAGAACCAAGAGATGGTCCAGGAGGAGCTGTGGACCCATAGGAGGGGAGGACCAAGGTCCCATGTGCTGAGGCAGGGTTGGATGGAAAAGTGCAGGCAAACCAGCGCAGGAGGAGGGTGTGCTCTTGGACAACCAGGTCACACCTGGAGTCCTTTTTTTATTTTTATTTTTATTTTTTTTTATTTTTTAAGATTTTTTATTTTAACAATTTTTACATGGTTAATTTGTGCATAAAGGGTCAAGGGCTACAGGAAAGGTGGTAAGACTATTATTTCCCACCTGGAGTCCTTGGCTACAATCCTGGGAGCAGGACTTCCTCATCTAGGCAGGACAGGGCCAGGAGCATATGGGACAAGTTACAATTGAGTGTCGCAGGAAGACAACACAGATTCAGATCTTCCTCCCATCTCACCTTTGAGAAACTCACTCCTCCCGTCATGCCCCATTTCTAGCCTCTGGAGAACCTGGGTCAAGCCCCAAGCAGAGCCTCCGGTCGGCCATGTGGCTTTTTTTGCCTGTTCTGGGATGACTGCAGAGGGAATTGCCCAGTTCCCAGCCCTCTAGGATGGAAGGAATGGAGGGCAACAGCTCCATGGGCCAAGGATGGAATGTCTGTTATAGTGCCTTGCATCTGTGTCGGGAACAAATTGCTGTCATTTGATTTAGATTCACTTCTGAGCATCCTTCATGCGGAGCTGGTTTGAATCTGGGGTGCTCCAATTCTGATCTTGCTTGCTGCTTGTGGCTTGGAAGGACAGCAGAGGATGGCCCAAGTCCTTGGGACCCTGCACCTACATGGGAGACTCTGAGGAATCTCCAAGTTCCTGGCCTTGGTCAGCTCAGCTCCAGCTGTTGTAGCCATCTGGGGAGTGAACCAGTGGACAGAAGATTCTCTTTCTCTGTCTTTTCTTCTCTTTCTGTTAAATTTGCCTTTCAAAGCTCTGCATGATTCTCAAGATCTTCTTGCACAAAAATATGAATAAGCTTATCTTTTAAGTTCTGCTTTTCCCAGGAACTTTTTCAAGCACCCTTGTACTTCTGGTGGAGACTTACATGTCTGGGAACTTCTGGACTGGGCTGGAAGTTTCTGGAAGTTTCCAGAATCCTAAAAAGCCCCAATCAAGGGGAGCAATACTTTACGAATGGCCATCCCTGTTCATCAATCACCACAGCTTTGAAACAATCTCCAAACAAAAGCCTGACCTCAGAGGAAAATGACTTTTTTCATGCAGCGGGGGAAAAAAAAGCCAATAAAACATCAAATTTCCATCGAGTACTGCTGTGTAACCAGCCAGTGGACACGGCAATTCATCTTGAGCCACTCCTTATGCTAACGCATTCAGGAGTGTTGCCATTGAGCAGTGGAGAAATTTCCAGATAAATAGCTGAGATGCAATCTGTTTTATGGCATTTTGGATTTAATGATGGAAATAATCTGATATTTTTTAGAGTGGATTTAGTGTGAGTGGAAGGCTGTAAATCGCCCTTGTAGAGAGTTGCCATTTTTCATGGGCTTGTCCTCCAGCAGTTTGGAGCAGTCAGGAGCCATGAGGAGCAGGCCCTAGGCCCATCTGGTGGGCCAGGGGAGGCTATTAGCTGGGTAGAGCACAGGGTATTGGGTCCAGGCAGGGATCCTGATGGCTGGGTCAGGGATTCACTGAGCCCTCCCTGGACTTGCCTCTATCAATAAACCAAGGCATGGCCCTGTGTGAGCCAGGGGTGCCAAGAGGGCCCCCCGCTTTTGCTCCTCTCTTCTGACTGATGGCAGAAGTAACACCTCTCTCTGGAGATGTTTTCGGCTCTACAAACAGAACCTGGAGACTGCCCAGGTGGGGAAAAGGGCTCAGGGGGTTTAAAGATGGCTTTTTGAGTAGCTGGCACCTGGACTCATGCCCAACCACCACTGCCCCTGCTCTGGGTGTAGCTGTAACTTGAGTTGGAGGTAGGAAATGTGGGTTTTGGGTCTGCTCCAGGCTGGGCCCAGCAGCAGCAACGGGGGCTGATGCGCTTTGTTCTCCATGCTGCCAGAACAGCCCTCCTCTGCCACCGCCGGGAGTTCCTGCCCTCTCCGGCGCCTCTTCTCCTCTGACTCCCCTCCCCACATGTTGTACTCTCTCCTGTGTCCCAACCTTGGCAAACTCATCCTGTCTCAGTCCAGGTTCAGCTTTGTGGTCCCCACCCTGGACCTGCCTGCTGAGCCCCAGCAACTGCTCTCCCAGTGCTTATCTGAGGCCTGCAGCTCAGGAGGCTGACTCTGTGCTCTGGACCATGCTCACACACCTGCCCAACCTCAGCACCTCCAGTCCACAGTCCCATCACCTCTTGCCCAGGTGAACACAACAGCCTTAAATTCAGACTCTGGCTCTGGTTAAGCCTAGGTGCTTTGCTCTTAATGGAGCAGCCATAAATGAGCCATTTACTGCCTACTAGTTTGACACTTCCAGGCTCAAAAGCTTCCTGAGGCAGAGCAAGGTCCTCATGAGAGGCTAGTCCTGCGCATTCTCTGTTGTCCTCATTGGGGCTGCTATGAAAAGTGGCCATGCTCCCTCTCAGGGATGTGGCCTTTGTCTGCTCACTCCTTCCCTTCCTTGGAGGTGACATTCTGGAGAACAAAGACCTTTCATTCACTAATGCATCCCAAGTTCCTAAGACAGTGGACAGTGACACACAAAGCATCCTCATCATCTCTTTAATAAACATAAGTAGAGAGCGCTCAAGGCCATTCACGGTACTGGCCTTGACGGTGAAGGTGGTGATGGAATTGAACACTTAGACCAATGGTGCTGCTCCATGGAGGGCATGGGGAACTGTCTGGGGGGGCATTTATGCAAGTCCTGGGGGATGACAGTGCACAGAGTGGACAGAAAGCAGGGATGCTGCTCACCACCCTACAACACACAGAACAGCACCAAGAATTAGCTGCTGCCAGGGCATACAAGGCCACACTACTTAGAGGCCTTGACTTAGTCTCAAGCAAGCAGGAGGGCTCTGGCAGGAGCTGAAGGAGCAGGGCTAGGGGCTGAGTGGTACGGAGGATTCAGAAGCTGGAAGATATTGGGAGCTCAGGTGTGGCCAGGTACACAAGTATGTAGTTGAACCAGCAAAGCAGTTTAATGCACTCTCGTGAGGACTGTCTGGACACTGAGCTTCTGCCTTGGGACCACTGGAGGTGGAGGTAGGGTCTGACCATGGTTTGTCTTTCTGCCTGTTCTAGTGATCCTAGTAAACGGCCTGGTCCTTTCCCCTAGTGCCAGAACTATGCCTGGCCCCATCAGCAGAGGGGGCTGACTCGCATCCCTGGCTGGGAATTGCCTCTCTTGCTGGCCTGGGAACTCTACTGTGCATCTACAAGTATGGAGAATAAGCAGGTTGATTAATAAAAATGATAAAGTGCAGCAACCCAGAGGAACAAGTAGATTCCAATTGAATTAAAAAAAAAAAGTGGTCCTGTGAAAAGACATAACTGATTACAATCCAATCAAGTTAAAGTCCCCTGTAGAAGTCAATGCAATCGTTCTGCTCAGATGAAAGAATTACATTAGCACTCAATAAATTCCTGTGAAAATTACAGCAGCCTGGAATGTAATGACTTAATATATTGGAACAGGTTGGAAAGTCCTGATTATTGTGGCTAAATAAAAGTTGGAGTGGAGACATTTCTCATGCAAAGGGCTGGTCTTCTACATGTGTTCCTTGGAAAGGGCTGGGGAGGAGGACAAGGCCCCAGCTTTACCCTTGCTGTCTCACAAGTTTATTTTGTGGAACTGAACTGCTTTCTCAGTATCCTTGGTTCCCACATCTAACCTCCAGAGCCATGGGATTCTGAAATAAGCGCTCATGGGAGGAGCTGTCCTGGGTACTGGAACCCAGCGCCTGCAGCAGCTTGCCCTTAAGTTTAGCCAAAAGCTGTGCTCAGGTGAGGCTATAGTTTGGTACAACCTGGAGACTAGTCCTACAGGGGTGGCCAGCACTGTCAGGGTCCTGGCACACTGATCGCAGACAAGGCATAGTCACTGGGATGTGTGGGGTTGGTTCAGCTGCTGCTCCATTGGTCCCATTGCCCTGTACTCCTGGCAGTCTCAGGCTCGTCTGGGCTTTCTAGACACTGCAGCTTGAGGTCTCCCTCTGTGACTGTGGGGCAGAAACAGAGGGCCAGGGCAGCCATCTCTAGGGCTGTAAAGCCTTGTCCAGGATCTGCTGCAAGGGAAACTGGGGATAAAACCAGTTGAAACTGAGGTCCAATGAAGAGCAGGGACTTTGCCTGTTCTTGTTGTAAGTGACCGTGGCTAAGTCCTATCTTTCCCTTCTGGGAGGTGAGCAAAATAGGCCACATTCCAGTCTATGCTTTCATAATAACTGTTACTATTTAGCTTTATTATTATTAATACTCATTATTATTGACTTTTAATCACACAATTAGTAACTAGAATATGACACATACTGTCTTGGGCATTACTGATAAGGTACCCCCATCAGCCACCTGTATCTTTCAGAACTTTTTCTGAGTGTTGGTGCACACCAGTGCATGGCTGTGAGTCTGATGTTGAGCTGAACAAGAAATGTCTAAGCTGCCATTTTTCTGCTGAGAGTAACATGTCTGAAGAACCAGCACCCTGGGCTAGAGGTGATGGGACCTGGGCTCTTATGTCTGTGCCGAGAAAAATGATCAGAGGCTGCCCCTACAAGCAGGACTCAGTCTTTAGTGTTGAAGGTCACTCAGAAAACCCAGCTTGGACCCTCAGGCCTCACAGCACCTGCCTTCTTAGCCACCCAAACAACCCAGGAAGGGAGAAGCACTGGCAGGCAGACCAAGGGAGAGCCCTCCTGTTTTCCATCTCCCCAGAGGAGCAGGTCGGGCATCAGTATCCTCCTGGAGTAGCCTCTGGACCTGGGTGAGTGTTGGGCCACTTACGCTGGGACAGGCGTCCTCGCCCTGCTGCCCAACCAGGATGTAGAGTGTGTCGTCCTTTTCCAGGTTGAAGATGCCCAGCACAGACACACCATGGGACCGCATCATGGTGTTCTTTCCGCCTTTGCCGCCAGCGGCTCCATAGCCCGAGATGCTGCAAGGGTGGGGAAAAGCATGTGTATGTGAGCCTTCCTGTACTGCATGGAGTTGCAGCTGCTGACACAGCAGCTGCCAGGGCAGCATGCACATCCCATCACATTTCAGGGTCCTCGCCTGTGCCAGTCAATGGAGGCAGCAGGGGCCAGGCCAGTCCAGAGAGGAACAGAGAATGCCTCAGTTATAGAGCCAGGAAGGGGAAGGACCAGGAAGGGGTGAGGAGAGAGAGACAGAGTGTGTGTGTGTGTGTGTGTGTGTGTGTGTGTGTGAGAGAGAGAGAGAGAGAGAGAGAGGCAGCATCTGCATGAATAAGAGTGTTGGGGTGCTGGCTTTCTGAAAACCCAGGGTTTCTCATTGTGGATTTTCCTGTCGAAGACAAAGACATCACATGATCCAATCCCCGCTCCCCTCCCCACATGTGTCCCCTGGGGACATTAAGAGAACATATGTTAGGACAAGGACAGGAATTCAGACACGGAGACTCAGATTGTGGCTGCCATGTCCTAAGCTCTCATCATCACCAGCATCAGTGACGCTAGAGACAGAGGCGAGTGGGGGTTCCCAGCCCAGACTGCTTGCTGCCTCCCTCCCATGGCCGCTCCCTCCAGAGCAAATGTGCGAATACAGACGGCAGATGACCGACAGCAATGGAAACACACGAACAATCGATGGCAATGACAATACACGCACTCACTCCCCACCCACACACACAGCCTGGGGGTGAGGCATGGTTCCTGCTGCCCCCATGCTTGTTAGGAGGGAGTCAAGCAAGGATGGAAAAGAGCTCAGCTCGTGAACTGTGTCAGAGGAGTGGCATGTTCTGGCAGTTAACTGATGTCTTCCCAGGGATCTGCTGCCAGGGAGAGGCACTGTCATGCCCCCTCGCCCTGGACTTGGATCCAAGGCCCTTAATGAAGAACTAGGAAGGCAGGTAGAGATGGCTTTGTACAGGATACACACAGTGGCTTCTCCCATGGTTCTAGGGAGTGTCCTGTGTTGGGAACCAGCAAGGGTCCCCTGGGGGCTGTCCAGCGTAGAACTCAAGGACTTTCTGTGATCGGTGACAAACTTCTGAGGCTGCTCATTTGCTCCTGTGACAGGGAAGGGACTGAAGTCTCCATACCAGGTTAATGAGTCTCTGTTGCCCATGGCCCTGGTAGGTGCCCATGTGCTGATCAAGTGTCAGAATGGTCTCAGGCTGAGTGGACAAGAGGAAACCAAGATAGACACCAGGCCCTGGAAAGGCTTACAACGAAACTGAGGAGACAGAGGCACCAAAAGCAGAAGCTCGCTGCTCCCTGAAGAACACAAGGTGGTGAAGTCCCAGGATTCCTGTAGCAACAGTGGACCATCCTCTTTCACCCTGCCTTTCCCAGAGGCCTGGCTTCTTCAGGAGGATAAAGAAGAACCGCGTCTTCTTTTGTGAACTTTGGTGAGACTGTGATACTGGAAGGCACAGTGGGGTGAGAGCTCTGAGAAGCTGCAAGTGTCTGCCTGCAGCAAGGGCTCCCAGATGCTCAGTGGAAGACAAGGTGATGCTGAGGTCAGCCTCACCGTGGAGCTAAAAGGTGTGTCCCAGACAGGCGGAGAGCCATGAAGTGTGGCTTAGGGCTTGTGGACTGCTGTGACTGTAGCAACTGGCAGGGGTGGGAAAGAGGGAGGCTTGGAGATGCGCACCAATCGCTGGGTGTGCCCCCATGTTCCTGGTTTGGTGCTGGCTGACCTGCAAGCAGCACTCCCAGGAGCTATGAAGAGTGGACGCTGCTCATCTCACTGGACAGATGAGGATACAGGGATCAGAGGGAAGGGAGGCCACGCAGCCGGACAGCAGCAGACTGTGCTCCAAACAGCCCACCATATCTCCTCTCTGCCCTGGCTGGACACTAACATGCATGCACGAAGAAGGCCTGAGGACCTCCTGGACCGCCCCAGTCTGTCTGGCCTTCTGACCCAACAGAAACGGAGGTGGAAGGAGGACAATTTCAAAACCCAGGAACACAAACACTTTCTGGTTGGGAGGTGTCATAGTAGGGTCCTATATCTCGAAATAGGGAAGCCTGCCCAGGGACCAGGTGAAGGGCAGGGATGCCTGCCAGAGAACATGTAACCAATGGACAGCCATGTGGACTGGCTCCATCTGCCTGCTCATGGCTCCAGGTTGCTGGTGCTTGGTAAGGTTGCATTAAAAAAAGTGATCTGCACTTGAGACTTGCTTGGGCAACTTCTACTCACTGCTGTATGTGTGCAGTCTTCTTTGGGCATGCCTTTCTGCAGCCTTGGCATCGTCATTTGCATTCATCTGCTTCTATTACCAGTCACTCTGAACTCTTCCTTATACTTAAATGTAGCTGAATGGTTATGGATTAGAAGTCGTCTGCTCCTGGCTCAGGTTTCTTCCCCTTCCTAAGCCTTCTAGTTCTCCTGCCCCTACACCAAATCTGAACGCCATCATCCTCCGTGTGTTGACCCAGCTCTGGCAGTGAGATGCGATGAAAGGAGCCACAAGCTCAAAGTCCCCTGCTGGTTCTGGCGGTGTGTCCTGAGGCAACTTGATCAACCTCTCAGGACCTCAACTTCCACTACTGAGGGAGAAGATGAGCTACTGCCCTTGTGGGGATGTCCAGCAAGTCTGAATAAAAGAAGACTACAAACTGATGCAAAAGCGTCGGATTGGGCTCTGAGCCAGACTTGGCTCTTAGTGTTCTAAGGCAGACGGTGGAGCTGGCTTGGTGTGACTTCTCTTGGTGGTGGCCTCCCTAACCTGAACTGGCCTTGAGTTGTGGGGAGAAGGTAGTAGTTTTCTTGAGCTGCCTGGAGCATTGGGGTGTGTTTGTCGGGTCCTGGGATTTCACTATTAGAGCTTCATTCCTCTAGAAGCCTCTAGCAGCCACTGCAAGGCTGATGGTGCTTTTGGTGGATGTGCTGCAGTGAACAAAGCAAGACAGACAGCCCTGGATCAAACAGAGCCCTGCCACTCAGGGCCAAGTACCAGGGCAAAGGCACCTCCTTCTCTGCCCCACTGCCCTCACCATGGGCTAACCTGTCACTGGACTGACCCCCAGTGATGCATCTGGGTCCCAGGTGCTGAGCCCTTCCTGGTTCTGTCAAATGTGATTGTGCAGCTGTCTGGCATGGAGGAGGTCTCTGATCTCCTCTGAACCTGGCTGCTCACTTGGGCAAGAGGAATACTGCTTCTGTCCTTGGAAGACAGCTGTGAGGACTGAAGGCCATAATGTGTAAGAGGGGCTTAATTCAGTGCCCGAATTAAGAGGGTGACATATTCTGGCTGCTTCACTGCTAGCATGTACCTCAGTGGTGCATGACCAGGTGGGCCACCCCCATCTGTTCCTCTCTATGGAGTGACTTCTGGAGGCAGCAAGAGGAGCATGAGTGAGATTGGGGTGGTGGCTGAATCAGGGCAAGGCTAGAGGTACATGGGGTCAAACTGTCCAGTTGCACTGGGGGACCACCTCTGTAGGGAGTTGTGGGTGCACATGGCACCCTCATTGTCTCTCAGGACCCTGGGACGCAGTGGAGCACGCAATGTGAACTTGTACCAGGATAACACCACTATACCGGCTCTCTCAAGCCTTCTCCCCGTCTCTTGTAAACAGTTTATTTTTGATGGTTGACAAATGACAAGAAATTAATATACCTGCCACTCAAGTGGGGGAAAATGACTCGCTGTGATTCCAATTTGCTGGAAATTACAAGATGCCGCTCTTGACAAGTTGATGCTGCAATTTTTTTGTTTTTCCTCATCTCAATCCATGTCACCTGGTCAGAATGGATGTTTATTGGGTTTGTGTTTTGTATTATTGACTGTGAGCTATTGTTACCTGATGTAATTGAGTTGTGAATCTTTTTTAAATAAAGAATTAGCAGCAAATCAAAGTGGCTGCCTGCTGGATCCTGAAATGACAGCACAGCTGGTGTGCAGCCTGCTGGTGGCATCCACACCCTGCCCAGGAGGGGGTGCCAGGAGAGGCAGCAGATACAGGACTCCCACAAACACAGTGCACCCCAATTGTCTCTTGTACCACAGAGAAGTGGAAGACCTGTACTCCACTGTGGGCCCTGCCTCTCACTCTCAGTGGTACTTTGGGTCTCAATTTCCTCAGCTGAAATATGGTGACAGTCAGATGTACCCTGCCCATCCTCCCAGAGTCAGGGGTTTGGGGAGAATAGTCAGAGAATGCTCTCGGAGAATATGGGGCTTGGTCAGTAGGAGATTTCTGAGCAGATGCAGGGTTGTTTTACCCAGATGGGTCCTTTACGCCATTGGGTAACATCCCTAGGGACAGGACCCAAGGGGTTGGGAACAGGAGCACATGCTAACTGGACAGGCAGTCCCATGTTCCATTCCCACTGCACCAGTAATTAGGGCTCATGGCCCATCCACTGCCACATTCAACCACAGTACCTTCCTGGCCAGTGCAGCCCTAGGTGCCTGGGACAGCCAAGTGGCAACAATCTTGGTGATGCCAGCCTACAGACAACCCCGAGAGCAGGGAAGGTCCCATGATGCACTGGTGGCAAAGGTTAAGCCCAAACTCATTCTGCCTGTGGCTTTCCCTCTTCCACCCCCGCCTCTGAGTAGGTCATGGTGGCCTGTCTGTCCTTCTGCTCGTCTGCGGTGTCTCTTATGCTGTGCTTTGCAACCCGATGGCCACCAGAGGCTGTTACTGAACATAGCTACCCTTAGTCTTCCCAGAGACTGAGAGGCCAAAGCCTTGACCCTCTCCATAAGCCCCTCAGCCCCTCCCCAGCACCAGGCATGCAATGGGGGCTCCATGCTGCTTGTGGACTGGGTTGGATGACAGCACCATCCAGTGGCAGGTGCTGATCCCTGGAACCAGTAAGGAAGCAAGTGCTGAGACTCTGCCCCAGCTCGGGCCCAGGTCAGTGGCTCCAGCTCGAACCTGGGCCTCTTGCATGTCAGTGTCTGAAGGGTGGGTGACCTGTGTGAGAATTTCTATCGTGAACCATGGGCCAGATGTGTCTATATGTCATCTCTAGTCTGTGGGTGTGTACACGTGTGTGCACATGTGTGTGTGTTGGGCTAAGGGCTGGGAAGGATGCAGAAGCAGGAGCAAGTGAGGGTTGGAGAGGGTGGATGAAGAAGGGGAGAGATTGGGAGGAGCAATAGGTGGGAGCTGTATGGAGAAGGGTGCCATGCCCAACACTGATCTCCCTCAGTGCGCCCAACATTCTCTGTGGCTATCTGCTACCATTTCCTCCTGAGGCTGACCATGGCCAGCACAGACCTCATAATCCATGCTCCCAGTATGGCAATGATTTCCTGTGCTCTGCCCACTATGGCTACCTGCCCCTTAGGAGAACATTCTAGAAACCGTTGTCACACAGAACCATGGCCCAGAAATCCCCCTTGGCCAGGTACTGCTCTTTACTGCCCTAACCTTTGCCTTTCCTTCCCAGCCCAGCTCCTAGGATAGCATCTGCCTTTCACTGTCCCTGCTTCTGTAGCTCCACAAGCCAGGGGTGTGGAGGCCATCCTGGGAGTTGTTCCCAGCATCCACCTTGTGTGAAAACCAAGACCACTTGGCCCTGCAACATCTCCTGTCCTTTGCCAACACTGCTGTATTTCCCTGCCCCGGGGCCAGCCTTGCTGATGAGAGCTTCCCTTGGTTCTTCCCACCCATAGCCTTACTTTATCCCTCCCAGCCTCACGCCGTCAGCAGAGGGAGCTAGAAGCATTTGGGAGGTGGTGCTTTAGCCCTGGCCAGGTCCTGCCTCTTCAGCCTCAGCTCCACATACCAGCCAGGCCTGGCCCCAGCACTCTGGCTACCTGCCGGGAGGGCCCTCCTGCTTTGGTGCAGATGATCCTAGCTCAGTCCCCTGAGTGTGACACTGTCCCCGGGGCTGCAGACAGCAGCGCCTCAGTGCCAAGTGTCTCACAGCTGCATACGATGCTTCTCTGTGAAGCAGGACAAATCCAGACACCAGGCCACGTGGACTTGGGGGGAGGGGCTACGTCACCTGTCACGTTGTTGATGGGAGAAAGTGGCAGGGGACGCAGAGGGATAAGACGCGGGGTTTGGAGGCACACCTGAGCTCCAGGCCGGTGTGTATCTTCCTCCTGGCACCCCTGCCTCCCTGCTTTCTGAACCTCCCTCTTTGAGGTAAGCGGTTAGCAGAGGAGCAGTGTACGGGAGCCCAGGATGAGGTGAGGGTCAGTCAACCTCTTTGAGTCCCAGTGTGGTTGAAACACAGGTACCTGGAATGTCTTCTCCAGTAGTCTGGGCACCTCAACAGGAAAGTGGCTCTTTGTGGTCATTGCCGTGAGGCCATCATCAGGTGGGGGCTGCGGGTTGTGCCAGGGTCCCCTGGTCTCCAACAGCCACATGGAGTCATTTTCTCCATCTGAGCTGAGGTTACTTTAGTGCCATATGGCCATACAGGGGGCAAGCCATGCACATCAGAGACCTGACTCAGACCCAGCTGTCCTGAATAATAAATGGGAAGATTGAATGAAATCTTATAAGTGCAGTTCTTCAGGCAGGATACGTCTCAAAATATGGGGCACCATCTGTGGAAGCTGGGAGAAAGTCCTTGGAAATGGCCAAGTTGGGCACTGCTGGGGCACTACCTGGGGTTGGGGGGGATCTGCCTGCTGTTGCCCTTTTGGGCCTACGGGCCAGCAAGCACTGGGCACATGGGCATCCTGCTAGCCCCTGCGTATCACCTTCACAGCCAGCTGGGTAGCTGCAAGTGATCCTCTGTCTGTTATGGATGGGGACACACCATCTCCAGGGATGAGCTTCCCTAGGCAAGTTTGGCTCACAGTGCCCATGGGCATGGCAGCTCACAAGGGCCCCCTATGGGCGTCTCATGATCCAGTGTGTCACTTGTTCATGCATTTCAGATGAAAGGAGCCTAAAGTTCACTTCAGTGCTTTCTTCCCAGCATTGCTCAGCAGGAAGTGGGTGGGGGTTGGGGGAGGGTCTAGTTCGCTTTCAGTGAGGGGACTGGGGTGGCCTGGGCGTCTTGGGACATGGACTAGGGCTGTGTGGGTCTGGGAGTGGTCAATCTGATTACAGGCAGGCCTTCTGCACAGAATATCAATCATAAGGCACTTAGGGCTCTGCCTGGGGTGGTGATGGGAGGCTGGGCAAGAACAGGACAGTCTGAGAAGCCTTGCCCCCTGGGGAAAGAGTGAGGCTGAAGCCTTAGTGGGGGGAGGGTGCTGTGGGAGGGGAGGGAGAGCTGCCCTCCTGCCCCATGTTCAGCCCCTGGGAGCATGTCCCAAGTAGGGGTCCACCTTCACTGGTACTCCTGCCCTGTGCCCTGTGCCTGAGCTGCAGCGTGGGGGTCTCAGCCAAGGGGTGGCAGGCAGTCTCTGGATGCTGTGCCTGCAGAGAGGTGCCTCACTCTCTGTGTGTCCCTTTCCTTGCTTGCCAAAATGAGGATGGTGGCAGCGGCCTGGATGTGACACTGCACAGCCTCACAGGCTCACGAGCCCGGAAGGGTCTGTGAAACACAATGTTCTCACAGGGTTTCGTAGCATCACAGGGAGCTCGTGAGGAACGCACCTCTTCAGACGCACCTGGCCCTGCGGACTGGGCTGCCTAGGGCTGGGACAGCCCCTCTCCCGTTGCCATCAGTTTCACTGAGTGCCCTGGCCTCTAGGTGGTGCAGTGGAGTCAGGTGTCCCCCATCTGGCTTTGTTCTACTGGCATGCGCTGCCGGGCTGGGAAGGGGGCGGATGAGTGTTTGAGAGCAGCTGCTGAGCTTGTGAGCATGGAAGCCTGGGGAAGGAGGTGCCAGGGAAGGACAGCAGCTTTCATGTGAATCCAACGTTTGTTTCCCAAACATTCTTACATGCACCGCCTCATTTGAAGAACACCAAGTCATGTTCAAAGAACATGCTCGCCGTAATTATCATCGTTAGCAATCATCCAGCAGCTACCGTAAGCACACCTCCTTGAAGACAAAGAACACCTCTTCTTCGCCAGCTGCACTTCCCCACCTCCAGCCCTTACACCCTCGCGCGGCCCAGAGCTGGTCACCCTCAAACCTTGGCATGCTTGCACAGCCTGGGGTTATGCACTCACAGGCTGCACTCCAGCCCCTTTCAGGAGGGCAGTCATGTCCCTCGGCCTCCCCTCTTCTATACGCACCTGTAAGTGTCGGTGGCCGGCACTGTCCAGATCTGGATGCCTTTCAGGGGGCCTTCGCTTCCCACTACCACACTCTGGTTGGAGTTCTGGTAGGCGTTGTTGCACTGGGCCTGCGTGGGGCCATGAGGCCCGCTGGCCCCGCACGTGGTGAACAGCCAGTGAACTGCGGCACAAGAGGAGAGGCAGTCACTGGCTTGGCCTGGGCAACCTTCCTGCACAGTGTCCCTGGGCTGTCTAGACAGCTCTGTGCTCCACAGGTTAGCACCAAGCACCAACAACCTGTGCTGAGGATTTGCTCTACACCACATGAGGGGAGCTGCAGGTGGAGTGCCCCTTGGACTCAGCCTTCAGAATCCTACAGCCCCTGAGAGAAACCAAAAAAGACGTAAGTAATCATAATATAGGACATCGGTGGTATGGTGATGCGGGAACAGCTGCTGACCTGGAGGTGGAGGGTTCTGGGAGCGAGTGCGCCCCCTTCAGGTGAAATAGGCACCAGCAGCTGGTCTCCAGCACAGTGCCAGCAAGCCACAGGTACTCCACCTGCATTGTTGGGACTGTGTCTAAACTGCGTGGGAAGGCCTGGCATTGGGCAGGTAGGAGCCCCTTGCCTCAGCAAAGACTGGGAGAGTACACTGGAGACAGCATCAACTCCATGAGCCCCCTGTGCGTCTAGGTACCCATAGTAGAAGTTGGAGCAGGAAGCCTGGTATCCCTTGTCTATGGTTTTGTTTGTCAGGAACCCCCTAATAGGCCTCCAGATGGACAGGGATCCTTCTCCATGTTTAGCCAGGTTGCTGTTGGGGATGCGGTAGAAGCAGTTTTTAGGGTGTCTATGTAACAGAGATGACAGGAAACAGAACAGAGTGAATGTGCCTTTAGTGGGCGGCCCTCCCTTTCCTGCCTCTGTGTAGCGTGTTCTGTCTTCACCTTCTAGGGACATTACCCTTCCTCACCTTCTCCAGAACTTTCTGTAAAGGCCAGGGCTTTGAGAATTGCCAGATCTCATGTTGGCTAGAATTCTAATAAATTTACAGCCAACAGAAACCTAGAAGTATATTCTTAATAACTTACTTAGAACTCAAGAAGAAAAAGAGAGAGAGAGAGAGAGAGCATGTGTGTGTGTGTGTGTGTGTAAATTGAATTCTACCTACAGAAAATGATGGGAATGTTTATCTGTGTGCATGGGGCATTGTTTACTCGGAACATTAAAGTGATAACCTCATCAATGGTGGATTGTCAGACCTTAATCTAGTTCCTTTGCCTGTGAAAGAGAATGGGTTGGAAAATTAAAAGAAGCCAAACCCAAAGCTCTGCAACCATGACTTGTGTCGATGATGCTTGCCTACATGCCAAGGCTGGAGCGGCCCCTGATAACGAGGTACATGACCACGGTCATTTCTGTCCATTTCAGGGCCAGCAGCACATGGGAATTGGAACTCAGTTCGAGATGACAATGAAGACAAGGGAAGGGAAAATAGGGAAAGGTCAGGAAGAGAGTTGCAAAACAAACTCCTCCCAGCCCATGATCTGCAGCACAAAGCTGCTTCCCGGCCTGTGCCCAAGCAGGCAGCTGAGGTTTCCAGCAGCTTCTTTTACCCGGGGGCAGAAGAATGGGTGTTCACAAAGTGAATTCAATCCTGAAAGTGAGATAAGATTTGTGTAGTTTTCCCTTGACAGTGTGGTGGGGCAGAGGGCTGAAGGGATGGTGTGGCCCCCTATGCCAGCTTCTCCCCTCCAGTGGGTCTCCCTGCCACCTGCAGCCCAGGGCAACAGTGCTGTGAAGGGTCCAGGACAGTCCTAGGGGTTTGAGAGCTCCTCCTTCCTGGCTAGTGGGACAGAAAGAGGGCGTGGGCTTTGGATTCAGATAGACCCATTTTTCTCATCCTGGATTTTGCTCCTGATTCAAACAGTGACACCCGGGTTAGAGTACCTAACCTTTCTAAACCTCCATTTATTACCATGTACAAACAGAGATGATAAAACCTACTGCGTAGACTTTCTGTGCAAATAAAATGGTGACCCGAGCAAAATGCTTAGCACAAAAGCTGCCAGCAGAGATGCATAGTGAATATAGTTTAAAAAGTATGTGACTTCATATTCAGTTTTTGCAGATACTCAGTCTTGAAATTTATTTCCCTGATTCCACAAAGAAGGGACTTTGGGGCCATTTTTCAGTAAAGGGACTGGTATTTCCCCAATTCAGAGGACAGATATTGGTCTCAGGTGGTTCCTCTACTCAAAATTTTGTTTTCATTTGCAGCAATTTCAGATGGAAAGGTCCAGAGAGGGAACTATCTCTAAAGTGGATTCCATGGGAATGGAGAATTTGCCATCCCAGGTCAGAAGCATGATTCACCCGGCCATAATTCCGTTGCTCCCAGCAGCCTTTGAGGCACGGTGGTCCTCTTGCTCCCCCTGGATGGCTCTGACCCTCATAAATCTGCCCCCATTTCGTTTGCAATCAATTTATGCTTTCCACCATCACTACCATTTGGGATCATGGAGCTGGAGTTTATTGCTCACTGGGTGAGGGCTGGCCACTTCTGACGTGTGCACTTGCCTCTCTCAAGTTTTGTCCTGCTGGCTCCTGTTGCGTGGGCTGTCCAGAATCTGCGGGAATCACTGCATGTCACAGCAAGAGGGAAGCTTGGAGATCACCAGACTCAGTGGTTCCCCAGTGACCTGAGGAGTTTAAGACGAAGTCCCAAGGGCCCTGAAGTCTCAGACCCAAAAGCTCCTGAGGGGGAATATAGGCAAGCAGGACTTGCATGGTGCAGAAACTTTCCCCAGGGAGCCTGCTCCTCAGTCAGGCTTGCATCCTCATTCCACCTGCCTCATTGTCCACATGAGCCAAAGAATTCTAAAGAGGAAGAAGCTCTTCTGAGCCTATCAGCCTTGGAGAAAGGAAAACACTGAGGGTTCTTCCTCCTCTGAACAGGAGTTCTTGGCTGTGGTCAAACATCTCTCAGCTTGCAGTCAGTTCACATTGTCCCCATCTGAGTCCCTGACCCCTGGTGTCCTTTCTCAGGCCTTCCTTTGGTGCTACAATCGGCTTTTGAACATGTGCCCACTGGAATTAAAGATGTCTGACTCTTGCTTAGTCTGCAGCACAATGAATGGAAAATGGGTTAAACCAGAGATACATGCAATCATCTATCAAGCCAAGTTCAAACCTGAAAAGATGTGGGAATCACTAAGAAATTCCCTTGGAATGTTTCAGAGGGGTTAGTTTTTGTTTCCTTTTAGATCTCCAAGCATGAGGCTCAGTTAAAGCCATGAACAGACTATTCTAATGTTGTTGAGGTTTATTGGGATTCCAGGTGGGAGTCTGGTCAGCGTACTGTGATGGGTGGGTCTCAGTGCCAAGACAGTGGTCACAGAGTGGTGGGCTTGACCAAGGTCTGCCAAGGACAGCAGGTGCTCAGTTAGGGCTCTGGTCCTTGGGAAGGTCATGGGGCATCAGTGGAGAAGTCCAACAATTGGGATGTATACAAGATGAGGAAGCAGAGATGTAGACAAGAGGGACTATGTCTCCTGCAAAGCTTTGGTTTGTGGAGGGAAGATCAAGGTCACAGAACTGGCAGTGGGTGGGCTCGATGCTGAGCTGCCAGTCCGAGGATACCAGGGTTCCCATGTTTCCTTCCTAAAGGAGTTCTATTGGTCTCTGCAGCTCAGTGAAACTGTGGGGGTCCAAATGGCCACCAAGAGGAGCTGGGGGTTGGCAGCAGCAGAAAGAGGAAGTGTTTCTTCTTTTCTTATATAGAAGAGCAAGCAAACTAGATAAAACCCATTTATATTAAATATCATGAGGGAAAAAAGAGAATCACTTTCCCTTGTTCTTATACACATTACACAGTAGAAACACAGCTTAATACATCTGAATTGTATGTGGAACTCACACACATCAGATGCTGACTGGTTATAGACAGCTGAGTCAAGAAAAATGCATTAAGCACCGGGTTTCGCTGTAAGTATCTAGCAGAATACTTTGAGAAGAAACAAATCAATTAGTAATATATAGCACAATGCAAAAGCACTAAGCTAAGATGGTGATTGCACTGGTTTTATGACTGTTGCTAAGTCGTCTCATCTGTTCGACTCAAGTCAAAAAGAGCAGGACAGAGAGGAAGGTAAGCTCCCGATCATCACTATTCATCACAATAACACGGCCCTGCTGCGGTGGGAAGGCCGATGTGTGCTGCACAATGGGAGGGCACTCAACGGCTCCCATGGGCGAGTTGCACCATTGAGGTTCTGATCCACAGAATTGGATTTTTTTTTTTTCATAGTCACTGGGTAAACTGAACTTTTTAGAGGCCGTGGCAGACTGAAACTTATTGTTTATTTTGAGAGGCAAAGAGAAGGGAAGCAGGAGTGAGAGCGAAAGAGAGATCCCAAATGCTGGGTTTCTGGGATAAAGTCAGGAGGTCAGAGCCCAATCCAGGTTGCAGGAATCCTATTACTTGGTCATCCTTGCTGTCTCTGAGCATCTGCATTAGCAGGAAGCCAGAGGCACTAACCAAGTCAGGTACACTGATATGGGCCTGGATGTCTTAACCAGCTTGTTAACCACTGGGTGATACACCCTGTTCTGAAGCGTTGTGAGGGCACCCTAGGGCGCTTTAGCTAGGATTCGTGACCAGTATCTGAGCACACCGAATCATTCACCCACCCATAAGATGTATGTAGCACTCCTCATTATAAATTAGAAAAAGAAGGCATTTTCTTGCATACCTGATAAAAATAAATTGTCCTCTTATTAGAACAGAATAAAAATTAGACACATCTTGTAGCCACTGTGATTATAACATTTCTTTTACCCATCTCAACTCCTTGAACGACAGAGCAACGTTCCCTTATAGACACACAATCTGTCTGATACCGACATTGCAATTAGCTAGGCGACTCATCAACAACCAAAAGACAAAGGAAGTACTTAATTAGATATCACCTGGTATGGATGACCAGAAAAATGCATCTGTTTCAAAATCCTGGCTTTTTTTTTTATCTGTTGCAAGTACAAAAACAAAAAAAAAATACACTGGCAACTTAAAGAGATCCACTGTCTAATGGTATGTTTACATAAGACCTTCCAACAGTGAGAAATAATAGGAGACTTTCATTTAAAAATGAAACACAGATATGAAACCCGCCACAAGG